AGAAAACCAATTATTTTCCTCGTGGATTTTGATGACAATACGTAATATAATTTTGAATGTCAGAAATTATTTTTTATATTATTTTCATTTATATCAGATTAAACTACCCACTCATTGGAATGTATGTAAGTAGTGCCTTCGTTTATTTTGTCATCGAACTTTTTAGTTTTCCATTTTACCATAATGTTTTTCTATAGCTATTTCACTCATTTCCGTTTTATCTAGCTTGAGCTAGTCGCTAAATGTAATGGAAATGAGCATAATATTCCAACCAAGTAAGTGAAGCAATAAAAAATATCGAGTGTGAATCATAATATGATACATATTATCAATACCTGGACCTTGATCGCTGAGGTCGCAAGTAACTTGAGTCTTCATTAACACAACGAAATTTATATACACAATCTTCTTAAGAATTTTATTAAAGGGCACTAGAACAATTCAACCAATTAACCATCTTTGGTGTTTCATTCTTATCGGATCAAGATTAATCACACTACTTAAACCGTCAGTCTCCGGAAAATGACATTTTAAGTCTAGTTAATATATACGGAAGTCCTAAAGATGCAATTTTGGATGAAACAATGTTTTTACGGGTTGATAGACACAAAGCTGACAACCTTTCTTAACGTTATACATAAAAAAGTCGCAAAAATGTATCTGCCAGAATGTTTAAAATTATTTCAATTTAAGAAAAAATGTCTGTTAGAATAAATGAGTTTTTGTCTTCTAGACGAATTCACATTAAAGTTCCAGCCTACGTTGTATTAATGTTTATATTCAATTTTAAAGAAAATCAGTGGCTCAATTACGTATTTGAGTAAAGCCGCGATGTGCAATACAAGCAAAAGAATAAGGAGAGTGTAATGTTTCACATGAATACATTGTCTTAAAAATATAATTATTTCTAGCTTTACAAATATGTGCACATATTTAAAATTCAGGCACTAAATAAATCTTATTGCAGCAATATTTTCACGATGTGTAATAGTTGAACAAATACATACTTTATTTCAATTAATATGTTTATATGAACATTATTGTTCCAATAAATATTCTTTAATAAATCGTGGAATTACTAGATAGCCTGTTTAATACTGTCTATTTATTACAATGCATAAAACACATACGAAAAATTTAAATACGCAGTATTATGACATTACTACGAATAAACTCAAAAATATAACCTTAATATCTTATAAATTTAACGGACCCAAAATGACCTGTCACACAATATCAATAACTCACAAAATCGAACCCAAAACACTGCCATTGAAATATATCTATGATATTCGCCTATTATCAATGGCATGTCCCAAGACTTTCACGCGCAAGCACTACACCCCCTCTGCGCACGCGTCGAACTATAAAAGCCAGCTCCCGCCCTCATTTTGTACAGACGCAAGTTGCACTTCAACATAGCGAATCCTGGAAGACACTAGTCTTTCATCAGCGCTATAAACTCGATCCATAACTACTTTCTATTTCTTTCACTTCTGTGCTTTACTTCTTAACACAAAAATGAAATCCATGGTAAGTAATGCTTCGTTTTCTTCTTTCGCTTTTTTTTTCAATTTATATATGAAAAAATTAAGATAAATAATTTCAACTTGATAACTTAATCGCATTACTAACAATAGTTTATTTAATAAATCATATCGAAACAAATGTAACTTTCAAATGATAAATGGTGCACCGACAAATATATCGGCTTGTAATTTTAATAATTGTTTATTGTATCTGATATGAAAACCAGTTATTGCACCGTTTTCAAACTAAACCCAAGCCAGATATTTAACCTTCAACTAGTTACCACTATTGAATAAAGTAATCAAATTTTCTGTCAGAACAGTAAGTCGTTTTCACAACTATTCGTCGGCCTGTATTTTATTAAAACGATAGTATCAAATTTGCAGGGATTTTCCAAACGATTTCTCTTTGTTCCAAATAACATTACATTTCCTTTCGACACATCATTTCATCCTTTGATAACAAATATGCGAGACTAATGTCTATATCGAAACATTTAATGGACCGTTAAACGATTAAAATATGTTTTCTATATGAATTAAACTCATTCAGTAACTGTCCGTAACTAGGGCTATGACGCAAAATTAAAAAGTTACTGAATCAGTGCGTGCACGCGACTAGCAGGTCATTGTCAATGCATATATTTTTTCCGCTCTACTTAAAGTTTTTCTTTAGTAAGGTTATTTGCCCGCGTTCATTAAAAAAAAAACAACTAATTACTATGATAAAGCTCTACAAATCTCTACGATTAATATTCGTAGAACGTCTACGGGACTAAAACAAGATGCGCGCGGAGTTGGCCCATCAATACAATGCGGATTCGATCAATAAAAATCAATGTAATAGAAAACAACGAAAATAAATATTTTATTTTTATGTGGTTCTAGAAAAAACTAACTCCTTAACCACCAAACCCATTTTGAAGTTTTTACGTTTAAATAAATGGGATTAAAAAAATAAATAAAACACTTTTAGCATACCAATTAGTACTCGGTCAAATATTGATTAGTAAACAAAAAAAGTGGATCAGTTAAAATCGATTCGTTAAATTTTAATTACTCAATAAAATATGGTAATTTTCCAGTTAGCTATGCAGGAAAATATCCAACAGTTAAATAGAGACCTAAAAGCTATTAATGTTATTGACAAAAAAACATTGCTATAAAGTAATAAAATTTTATGTCAAGTAACACCTATATTTGGCAAGATAAGCAAATTCATTAAGTTGTTCCCCGATCATGATCCATTTATGTAAGCAATGTCGACTGGACTGTGTTAAAATCAATTAACAATCACCTCACTCGCTATTAATTACTTCGAACAAAATATCACGATTATCTTTTATACGAAACGAGAATCTTGAGAAAGCTCCTGCATCTCAATCAAGTTATTAAAGGCCGGACTGTAATTTATGTGTCTGTCCCTGATAAAAATATATTTTATTTCGGACTATCATAAAATTATGATTTTAAAAAAATATTCGCGAAACACAAACAGTGACGGTAGGAAAATGGACACGGACAATTGCTTCTAGAAGCTACAAAGAAAGAATATTCAATTTAAAGGGCACCATTTTGCTGAAATACCTATGATCTAAGTCTTAAATGACTGTACATTTAACAAAGGCAGCCGCCGTCGCAGCAAGCGCCACCATGATTTTATCGATTTGATGTGAATCGAATGCTTAACGAGCCATTGTGTACAATTTGTAGCCGAATATTTGTCTTTATTACGATAAAATCTAGTTCTTGACATTTACGAGATTTGATTGGTCATCTAAAACAAATAATCTTTAAGTCCCGTCACCATGGCTTGTTAAATGTGGGCCAATTTATACTTCCAATAAATCAAAGATGCATAGTGTCTGTCACTATTAGGAAATTTCATACGTTTGGTGCGGTGGGATTTTCATTGTGCATATATGTTTCGTTCGACAACTAAATTGGAAAGGAAACCAGAGCTGTTGTCTCTATAATAAACGCTTTAAACGACTTCCTTTATTGGTAGCGTTTTTTACAACAATCTTTTCAGTTCGGTATTTTTCGTGAATTTCTTTTATTCTCCCCAAATAAGTACATCTTAATAATTCCAGGACGTCATTCCGACAGTTTTCAGTTAGCTCGTGGTCTAATTCACATTCGCCACTCAAAGGCAACTTTTTGCTTGCATTCCTTTGCGCACAGTTTAGAAGGGCATGCCTACGCACACCGTCACACTAATCAATACTCAATTATACCAAATTACGGACCGCCTACCAATGTTAGAGATAAGCATGTTTAAAATTATAATTACTCTAATAATATAGTTGATTTAATTTGGCGAATACAATTATCGAAGATTGTAATTTATGTACGTACCAACCTATTTTCAAAATGCAAAATCAAAGTAACTCAGCCATATCTATACAACCGGGCATGACTATAACCATAAACAACGCGTGATAATGACCAACAATACCATAAACAATAAATAGGGCAGATTAAAAAAACTCTGCGCAAATGTCAATTTGATATGCGAGGGTAACCAGTTACTGAATGTGACGGTGGGCTGGTCCGGAAGGCTGGCTTCCTGCTCCGTGACCTTCAACTAGCCTTCAGACCTTGACGCCATTCACTCGGCGTTACTTTTATTTCTCTTGAAAGCGTAGGTTCTGGTAAATGCCTTTACTGACATTCAATTCGGCTGTCGCTGATCAAGATAGCTTTTGACAATTCGATGATGCCGATAGTATGCGACCTATACCTACATTTAAATGTATTTAATAAACGTTCACAGTTATACAAAATGTATGCCACTCGCGTAAATAATATTTCTTGAACATTGCAAATTCGCTACGAAAACATAAGTCGTATATCAAGGGCAAAACATTGCAAAATATAACCACGATTTTATCAAATTTTGCAACGTCACGTGCTTTTAGAAATAACAAAATATAGCCCACGTTAAAACATTTTCACAACACGTGAAACTATTTGCAATGCCTTTGTTTTAACCTAATAACGTTTTAATTCTAAGGAGACTATTTTTGATAATTTCGATTAATTTGATATAAAATTTAATTTGAATTTTTTTTCTGTAGTTAATGCAATGATTCTACCGCCTCTACAACCATATCAATACCTATAAATGCGAAGTAAATAATTACCACAACAAAAAGATGCAGAATGCTAGGTCAAAATAAATTTATGCATGATAACAAAGTTGTCAAATTGACCGGCAGCTCTTTGGATTAGATGTGACCGAGTCCAAGCCATGACATCATTACGTGATACTAAACTTACGGCAAAATACCTTAATAATCTCATCATGTTTCAATCATATTGCGCTCCAATTACCCAACTGACACAATATGCCTAACCGTTTGATAATGACATTGTAATAAAAGCTAATAATCGGATTTAAAAGTTACAAAGATTTCATAATTGAAAATCTACATTATGTTAACAAAAAATTAATAATATAAGTTAAATATGGCAAAGACTGGGGCCTTCTACAAAATTATGAAAGTAACTAAATTAGATAAAATCTCTTGCGAAGTTAGTTCACATTAAACGTAAATAAATGTATGCATTCTCACGCATAATTATTTAAATAATTGAAAATACTGCGCGTAATAACCTTTTGTATAACAGTAGTATGATAATTCGAATAAGATTTATATGTCCATCTTATGTCGATGTTAATCGTCAGTATTTAACGATTATAACTTTGCACAATAATTAGTCGCATATTTCCAAGCCTCTTGTTAACATTGAGACCTCTCGCTAAGTGTTTGTGTAGCAAGGGCTTTTAATATGATTAATCAGAGCAAAAAATGTACCTACAGCATTCTTATTCCTGATATATAAATCTGATACTGAATAAAACATAACCTACCACAACATTTTGTAATTACAGCACGTATTTTCTCACTTCAAATGTTAAAATCAATAAATAATTACGTGTTTAATAAGTCTAATAAGAAAATATCTGTACTTTTTTAAATTTTAAAAATATAATCATGCTACAAACTGTTAATACGCAGTACATAAAACTAGGGCATAAATAAAACTGAAACAAGCAAACCGGCATCATAGAATAATTTAACGACCGGATTTGTCACTTTAATACTAAACAATTTCGATATTTCGCGACAAATTATGTAAGTTAATTATTAAGTAAATTATTTTCAACAAGAACAAATATTTTTTGACCCATTAACTTTGTAGGTTTACTCATTATTACTTCATTGTTTTATGTATATTAAGAATGTTAATTGAGGTGACTTTCGTTTTTTTATCCACGTAATCTATCTGGGTTATAATTAGTTGCTAATTACACAATTATAACCTTGTCTATCAAACATTAACATTGCATAAGCCCAAAGTTAGGGTAATATATTTTCTTAGTATACTGTATTTTGTCTCTGACCGAATTTCTCTTTGTTCATAGATTGTAGTAGCTTGCTTGGCGTTGGCGTGCGGTGCCCACGCGGGATGGGCCGGTCCCCCAGCCAACATCGCTTTGTCTCAGGATGGACGGAATATCCTCGACACACCCGAGGTAGCCCAGGCCCGTGCCGCACATCTTAGCGCGTTACAACAGGCCTCCCAACACAACACAAACCCCCAAGATGATGGCTCCTACGACCCCAGATGGGACAACGAAGAATACTGGCAACAAGCTGATAACAAATGGAACGGTGCCCAGGCTAACCAATGGAACGGTGCCCAAGCCAATCAGTGGAACGGTGCCCCAGCAAATCAATGGAACTCTGCCCCTGCTGCCCCCTCTTGGAACTCTGCTCCTGCCTGGAACGCCGCTGGCTCAGCTCCCGCTCCAGTCGCTGAAACCCCAGAAGTAGCTCAGGCCCGTGCCGCTCACCTTGCTGCCCTTTCCGCCGCCAAGTCTGCTCCTCAATCTCAGTGGAACTCTGCCTCCGACAACCAATGGGACGCTCCCGCTAACAACCAATGGGACGCCCCCGCCAACAACCAATGGAACGCCCCAGCCCACAACCAGTGGAACAACAACGGTGCCAACTGGCAAGGACCTGCTGCTAACATCAGATTGGCACAAAACGGTGCCGGTATCTTAGAAACCCCTGAAGTTGCCGCCGCTCGTGCCGCTCACTTACAAGCTCACGCGCAGGTTGCCCACAACGCTCCCCCAGCTCACCCCCAACAACGCTGGTGAACACTTCTTCCTTTCTTTCTTGGTAACTAGACACCTCTAGCACGTCACGTGCAACGCGGTGACCGCCAGCTCATGACGCTCTAGAGCCACGTCGAGGTGCCTCTCTTTTCCTTCGATCTCCCCTTCGTTTAGGAACTCTTCAAAGTGCAAGTGCGTCAGCCTATTCTTTCCTATGGCTTTCTTACTTTTATACAAACTATTAAACGGACTTTACTTTTGTACATACTACCTAAATATATTAATTATAATATGTATGCGTAATAAACAAAATATATGAAACGGAAAATTGTTGTTCGGACTTTCTTTTACGATCTTATCCACACCCTTTTTTTTTCGTATTTCAGTTCATAAGAAAACATTTATACTGTAAAATGTAAACGTAAGTTAGAAAAAAAGTTTATTTTATTTTTATTCTATTTTGTTATACATTACTTTATGAGAAAGAGTCGCTAATTACTGAACGCAAGCTAATGAAAGCGCAAATACAAATTGCTTTGTAATTAAAATGCAATAAAATCTACAAATTAGAATACTTTCCTGGAACCCTAACGTAAAGGTTTGTTCAATTCAAACAGCAATTCATTAAAAATAAAACAAATATACATAGGCTAATCAACGATTGTGCTGTTTTTCCAATTTACATACTAAATTAATGTTATAAGTACAAATTAAATAAAATCTTATCCTTATTCTTTTTTTTTTATTAGTCTAGCTACTGGGTGGCGCAAAAGTAAAGACTACCTATTTGGTTCAGCTATAACATTTTTTCTAAATTAGAAAACTAGATTTAGGTTTTTTTAAATGTATATTTGTACCATTAAATTTCGTACCATTAGGATTTAAAGATGATGTCTTTTAAATGGTGACCTCCAGAGTTGATGCACATTTGAGCCCTATTTATGACATTTTGCAAAACTTGCCGTAATACTTCCTGCGATATGTTCCTTATTTCTTTATGAATGTTTTCTTTTAGAGTTGCGAGAGTCTGTGGTTTGTTCACATACACCCGAGATTTCAAAAAACCCCAAAGAAAGAAGTCTCTGGACTGGTGCAGGAAATCGTCGACGAAATTCACGTTGTGTTTTTATCACTGATGAATTATTCCGTAAGAACATTGACACGATTATTCCACGTTCTTGGGGACTAAAACGGTCCATGTTTATTTTCAGTGTATTTTACATTTGTTCACTACACAATTTTCAACAACAGAATGAAAACTATCGTCATATAAAAAAAATAAACAAATTTTCTTTAGTGCCAGTACTTTTGCGGCCACCCAGTATTTGGGATAAAATAAAATACTCGAGCCTGTTTGAAAAATGTATTGTTAAATATTTTGATATTTACATTATATTATCTGTTATAGAAATTTAAAAGCATAAAAATAACTAGCATGTCAGGACTATCAGGATCGCGTGAGCATCTTGATCGAAAACTGTAACTAACATAGAATTAGGCGTTTATGGACACGAAATCTTTATAGCTATCAGCATAATATAGTTAATAATGGTAAGTGTAACCAACATTTTAAACGATGATGTTTATTACTACTTCTACATTAAGTTTCAACGAAAATGAAAATATTTTTTATATTTTTTAATCGCTGTACGAGTATACTTTGAGTTAAAACTGATTTCTTTCCTTCGAAAACGCCATTTACTTTAGCAATTTATTCATTAAACCTATGAAAAATAGACCTATAAATTTTATTAACTTTCTTCAAGATAATTTTTTACTTAATTGTACTGACACCAACGAAAACAATTAAATTGTCTGAGAGACTATTACGAGACTAGTAAATTATAGCTGTTTAAGTTGATTTACGATAAGTAGTAACTATAATTACAAGTTAAGGTCACAGGGACAAATAGATAACTCTACATTAAAATAATATATAATTTTGCCATCAAGAGCGAGTATCGGGGGCGTTGCAAGGACGGTGTATCACTCGATCGCAGCAATCAACTGATTAAACTACAAATATTGGCTGTGGAAAATTAGCTTGCAACTAGTCGACGTTTGCCCTGGTTGTACAAAAAATTATAGACACAACTAAGGTTTTCAAGCAATAAGGCTTTAGCTATGGTATCTAAAAGCCGCGGGAAACGGAACAAAACTTCCAGTTCTATAAAGGTAACTAATATTAGTTAATGTACCTACTAATACAATATAACTTGAGTGTCACTAGGCACTATTCATTCACATATATTTTTTATAAATAAGAAAATAAAACAAGTGTGCAGGAGGCTCACCTGTGTTAAGTGACACCGCCGCCCATGGGCGAGATAAATTTTTTTATATTTATTGGATAAATATAATAATTTTGGCAACGATCGTGAATATAATTTAAAGTATTTTTAGCAAAATGAATGGATATCTCACAGTAATCCATTTAACACTCCTTGGTACAGCTGGAATTTCAATAAATCTACTTTAAGTAGTATTGAGGTAGGTGGCTTAATTTATGATCATTACATTAACAGGCTGCATTGGTTAGGTATATATAAGACCTAATACTTAGGTGAACCATTAAAAATAAAAGAAAGAAATTGTTAGAAACTGTGAATTTTGATTTAAGAAAAATATACCTATAATAAATACGTATCACAAAGATCAGAAAAGGTCCTCGAATCGACTCGAAGTGAAATATTACTTTCTTTGTTTAACAACTAATATTACACATGATTTTTTATTAAAACCAGAATTATAAGAAAAATAAAACACAAGAAACTATCGAAGGATTTCCTCAAGATTTGAGAGATTATTTGCTAACGTCTACTTTGCATGGTCTACGGTACATCGGCGACAAGAAGTTAACTTGGCTTGAAAGGTATAATTATGCTGTTTGAAATTAATATTATAATTACGAACTTTCAATGATAATAAACTGAATTTAAATATATTTGATATTACTTAATTTCAGATTTTTTTGGCTAGCAGCATTTCTATGTTCTATAGTCTGCGCAGGATTCTTTATCCTGAACGTTTACGCCAAGTGGCGGAAGTCACCAATGATAGTGAGCATCAACCCGGAAGATATGCCACTTAACAAGCTTCCGTTTCCGGCACTTACGATCTGCAATGTTAATCAGGCGAAAAAATCTGTTGCGGAACGGTATATGGCTTCTGGGTAAGTAATAAAGAGTGTTCAAAGTCTTCAAGAGAGTTGGAACTTTATATGTTATTTGTTCATAGATGATAGTGAGACAAGTGATCTTATCTAGATTTAACAAAAATTACAGAAATTCCCTCGAAAAGAAACTACTTGAAAGTTTATGTTCTACACAAACCGATGCAGATCTGTTTGAAGACACAATTGCTGAGAGCGCGGATTGGGATCACACGCGATCATTTCTTATCAACGTAAGTACATCTTTGTTTCCCCAAAAAAAAAGAATATTCATTTGATAATTTTCTGAATGTCTTAGAAACAGTTTCGATATCAATCATTTAATCTATGCAAAGTTTATTATTATTGATGTCTAAATAATGTAAATTGTCTGTCTATCTTCGAATTTTGAATTGAAGTTTGGAAACTTGTTTAGTTGGAACTATAATATAAATTTCAGTCTACAGAACTCACGAAAGGTTTATCTAGTTAATCTTCAATAAAAATATTTTTTTAAATAACATTCTTCGGTCATAATTGTTACAACTCTGTATACTACTACTGTATTTAAAAAATAAGGTCTTAAATGTTCTATATAACGGCAGCCTCATATGTAAGCAAGTACAATAATCACGAGATATTTTTTTAGGTAACACAACCATGTGAGGAAATGCTAGCAATATGCATCTGGAGCTCTGAAATATTGAAATGCCAAGATCTCTTCAATGCTCAGCTCACTGATGAAGGCCTTTGCTGCACATTTAATGTCGTACATAGGGAAATGATGTTTAGAAATCCGTAAGCTTGCAATAAAATACTGTTAAATATTTTCCTTTATGAAGTTTCCTGAGGCTTCGGTCACCAAAAAGGCGAAGTTTCACAAAAAAATAGTTTCACCTTAAAATTTTCGATGAGAAAGCTCAAAGAGGATAACCCTGGAGACCGGCGATTGTCGGCAGAATGTTTGCATTGCATAGAACTGCTAGTTAATTTTAGCATTCTTTAGGTAAAATTTACTCAGGAATTCAGTAATTTACACAAGATCTAAGGTTGTTATCGCATTAATTCGCTGACTAGATATATCCTTTTAATCGGTTTGCAACTTCCTGTCAATAAAGCTAAGTGTTCCAAGGATGGTTGCTTAATAAAATAATTGAATTGCAGGAGAGATTTGAACGACATGAATATAACATTTCCATCACCAGCTGTAGATTGGACTCCGGAAAATGGATACCCTGACGATGCTCCACGTGACGGATTTCCATGGAAACCTCAAGGTATATTTATTTACTGATAGGTATCTAAAAGATTGAAAAATAGAAATACCATGACGTACAAATATTTTGAAATACATAGAAAAGATTTTTTTTTAAATTATTTTAATTATAATGACAGTGCATATATACTTAAAATCTATATAATATGTATACTTACTTTCTAGAGCCGCTCTTTGTCATAACCATTCTGCGTTATATCTTATATATATTAAATATATATGTATATATGTACATATTGCAAAATAATAATAATAAAATAAATATAATAATATATGATTTCGTGTTGATTCCAATAGCATAGATTCAAAAAGCAAATATTTAGAAAGAAAAGAATGATAATTTCTTGCAGGAATCGGTACGGACCATGGATTGACATTAATACTAGATGCAAACATTGCTGAATATTACTGTGCTTCTACCAAAAGTGTTGGATTTAAAGTACGTGCTTTTGCTCTAGTCTATATAAATTGTTCCAGAAAGTATGTATTGTTGATCGTAATAGGTGTATAAGGAGACATTGGTTTCTGAATGTATGTTGCCCGTGGTCATTTCAGTAGCAGAAAGATCTTACAGCATTTATATTTATTACTTATAATGCCGTTTGACCAAGTATAGGCAATAAAGCATACGAAACATGGTTATTTTCAGATTCTCCTGCATAATCCCACTGAAACCCCTAAGATTGCTAAATTAGGAGAAATTTATGGACCAGGAATTGAAGCTAGAGTCGCTGTAAAACCACGGATTTTGGACGCACAACCTGCCTTGAAAGACATTGACGTTAGTAAGAGATTTTGCCTGTTTTCAAGTGAGCGGAATTTGGTTTTCTACAGGTTAGCCTACTTTTACTATCTAAAACCTTATATATATCAAATACGAAATAAAAACTTGTAAATACCTAAATAAAGTATAAGGGGTAAATTATTCAGCAGACGGGGCACGAAGAATGAAGTAGGTATAGATCACCTTGCAGATGTATTGTTGGCCTCGCATGACGAAATAAAGCATCTTATTAGCTTGTAGCACAAGAATTAACACAACAATATTGTAATTGTAACAGGATCTTGACAAATTAGAAATGATAAAGCTAGCCGGAATATACTTTTATTCCTACAAACCAATTTTTTCAGAACATACACCTTCAAAAATTGTCAAATGGAATGCGAAGCACGACGAATGTTGGAAATATGCAAATGTGTCCTTTATTACATGCCAAGTAAAATATAATATTTAATTAAAATAATTTGATAATGTAAAAGAATTTTCTGAAACTAGACATATGTTTTAGAAAACAAAACCACGAGGATATGTGGCAAAGCCGATGCAAAGTGTTATAGCGACATATGGAAAAATTTTCCTAAAAGTAAGTAGCACTTATTCCGTTATCGTTTTTTTGTTATTTCCCATCCATTTAAAAGCCTACCGACTACATCAAATATACCATATAATGCTTTAAAGTTGTAAAGAATAGAAATAAGGTCTTAATAGACGTGTTGTAGACTAAAACACTGATCTGTTTTTTTTTTAAATTGGACGATATGAGTAGAAACTTCAGTTAAAATGATGAAACATTTGCATTACACTGATAAAAGCATAAAATATATCAGGTTAAGAATAATAAAATAAATCAGTTTTTACAAGGTTAAGATGTTTTTTTTAACGATTTAATATGTCTTTTAATTCTCCAGACAATGACCAATCATGCGAAGATTGTCTTCCCTCTTGTACAGAAATATCATACTTAGAACGACTAAGCACAGCACCACTGAATAAGAACCTCATCATTAATTACGCGCAAAGCCTACAAATGTCGCGTAACATGACATCGGAATATTTCACGTAACTACTTGTTAACTTATGGCAATTAGTTGCTTGGCTAATTAAATAATTGGATTAATCGGTTGCAGAGCAAATATGTTAGTCATACATTTCTACTTTGAGGACAAGACATTTCTTAGGTTCACTAAAGGGGAAATATTTGGTTTGACAGAGTTTCTTTGTAAGTATACTTTTGTGATGAAATGTTTTTTTGCCATTTGTTTGATAGCACTGTGAAACCAGACTTAACTTTGATTGGCATTGTAGAATACAGGCACTAGACGAAGACCCAAAAATCGACGACGATGTCATCAGGCTATAGCGCCTTTTTTAAAGAACAGGGAGCAAACGGGTAGGATCACCTGATGTTAAGTGATACTACCGTCCATGGACACTCTCAATGCCAGAGGGCTTGCGAATGCGTTGTTGGCCTCCTACTTGAATTGGTACGCTCATCGACCCTAAGTCGAATTGTTTCGGAAATACTACAGTTCGCAGCTGATTCCACATAGTGGCGGTGCGCGGCCAAAAACCGCTCAGTTGTGGAACGGACGTCGAGGTGATACGGGTGAAATTTCGTATTCTGCCTTGACGTCCGATGATGAAACTCAGCTGCAGGGTATTAATCCGAACAACTCCTCTGAACACTTCCCGTGGCAAATGCGGTAGAAGATGCAGAAACACCGCACATCTCTATGCAACAACAAGGGATCAAGAGAAAAAAATCGGAAAGGGGTTGGTCGTCGACGAGTTGAACCTCTCTTTGTTGCATACGGTCAGGTCAAGTGGAAAGAGCTGGTACTGGGGACCTCCTAGAGCTGAGAAGAGTACTCCACGTGGGGCCGAATTTGCGCTTTATACATTCGTACTACTATACACACACCAAGCGTCTTAAGGGGATAATTTAACCTTTGCCTCCAAATGACCGAAACTGAACGTCGTTCACTATATCAACGCCAAGTGTTTCGATTGCTGGCTGACGATAAAAAAGGAGTAGCGATAAAATTATTAATTAAACTTAAGAAATCTGAAGCCAAGACTCAATTTATTATAATTTAATATACATTTCATTATAAGGTATTTGTAGTAAACAATTTTTATACTTTTTTCTATTAAATTTGTAATATGATCATATATTTTAGCTAATACGGGCGGCTTATTGGGTCTATGCATGGGATTCAGTATGATGAGTGTTGTAGAACTATTGTACTTTTTAACATTACGAGTCATGTGTGTCGCACGACGAAGGCAACGCGTTCGACCATTTGTGAAATAAATTACCTAAGTAAAAATAAAGAGTTTTATTGAATTAATTTGAATAGCAGTCTCATTAATGTAATGTGAAAATGAAGTTTCTACGAATAAAACCGTTGAATGTTCTACAAAAGCTGTATTGTAGGACATAATCAATTATCTTTCTTTACAAGATAATTATTGTAAAAAATTATTTTAGTGGTGTGACCATTATGAAACATGTTAATATCTATTGTAGCATAATTTACAGATCACCATACTAAGTCAAATATAAAATTATGTTCATAGTGTTGTCTGGTAGTCATGATTGACTGACTAGACAATGAGATATTTCAATTACTGATTAAAGACTATGGTACCATTAAAAAAAACACTTAGCAGTGCCACAAATGTGCCAAACTTACTACTAAATTTACATACAATGTACACTCTTTATAACGAATTTCATTGGGACCGAGCATTTTTTTTCGTTATAGAGAGTTATCAATGTAGGGGAGAAGAGAAAAAGCACCAAATTTAACCAATTACAATAATTTATATGTATATAATAGATAGGTCACGGTGGTGCGTTTAGTAACCACTAAAATTTCCTACAGGCAATGTAATCTAAGAATAATGGCACTTGTGTTAATGTAATTAACAATAACAAAGGCGAGACGGCTGTTTATGACCTCAGATGCGTTTTTCGAAACTTCGGCACCGCAATATGTTTGTTTTGGTATCTTATTATAAAAACAATTACACTTCAGTATGTTTTTGATGTCTTAATATGAAAATATTTCTTCGTAATAGAGAGTAGCTGTTGCGTTATAAACAGTGAATTAACAATAACAAAGGCTTATTGTTAAAGGCTTGGGTTTGTGTTAAGCCAACCAAATTATATCTTTTTTTACGTTATGGAGTGATTTTCGTTGTAACGAATTACGTTATAAAGAGTTTACACTGTATTTATTTATTAATAAAATTAATGGAAGAAAAATAATATAAAATGTTTGATTTTCTTCTCCCCTTTTTAACCCTTTATTAAGCTGTCGAACATTCTTTATAAGCTTTTAAATGTACACACTATTACTATGGCTGTCTTGGAGGACCATGTTGGTTTGAATTGGGAGCAGTTGGTGGTGCTGGCACATCTGGAGGTTGCAATGTACGTGTTCTTCTTCTTGTGTAGTGTTGCCATAGTAGTATAGCTTGATCATCCATAAATTTACACACCTAAAGAAAAACAATTATTTACTGATATTTTAATTTTAAAAATTAGGTGACATGTAAAATAAATCAGGAAATCTCTGTACAAAAAAGATATAAACAAATGTGCTGAAGTTAAGAGTTGGCAATAGTTGCACATTGCAGGTAAACAATAGATAAATATGTTGTAGTAACATCCCAGTGGCTTTATTTCATTCTAGATTGATTCCCATTCTGTAATATGTAGTGATGGTAACTTGCCCATAGAACATATTATTTAAACAATAAAACCGTAATGTAAAAATACCTGAGCCGAAACACATTCTCTCCTGAATGCTTCATGTTGTAAAAGTTCTAAAAAGTGCAAGCACATAGGATATTTAAGATATCTAGCATAATCTGGTTCTCGCCAGTATTGTAAATATTTTATGTAATTTACAAAGGTCTGCTCCTTAAGATACCCTCTTTGAGCTAAAACTAAACAATTTATAGAGTTAGTATATTAGATTGATAGATGAGAAATAAAGAAAAATAATGTATAATGGAATAAGAGATAAATATAGAACTGAGCTAAGATATAACTTACAATGGATATAGTTAGGGTTGGCAAGACATTGCACAAATTCTAGTTCCACCTGAAATCTTATTCTATTTTGCTCTTCTGTCTCCGTGTTAACTGAAAGAAAATAATTTACAATATAGCAAAGGTTTTTTTTTTTAAATTACAGTTAAGAGAAGCTACGAAAGGATGAGGTGTACCTTTTGCTGCTAGCATTTTTAATTGAAATATGTTTTATAATTATTTTCGATTAACAATACAGTTACTACGGTTACAACATTTTATATAACATTTTTCTATTTCGCAATATGCAATATCATTAAAAACCAATATACTACATAAATTTAAGACAAAAAAATTAAATTCAGAAGTATAACGTAATTAAAGATCTTTTAATACATATCAAGGAGATATTTAAAGTTTTACTATGATGATTGATAATAATAAATAACATAAACATAAAACAACAGATGTCAATTCACAGCAAAGTTTTAATAATTTATAATTACGCTAAAGTCTAAACTCTAAACAGTAAACAGTAAGCACGTCAAGAGTGTGTCTATTCTAGAAGAAAAAAATAATAATTTTGTTATTTAAACTATTAGTCTCGTGGCTAAGCTAAAGGTTTTCGACCACACTGTCTTTTTTAGTTGACTTCAGTGATACTTTTCACACATATGTGTAGTAAAATGTATATTTTTATATTGATTTTTGTTAATACTTTTGATAGTTTGGTTGAAGAAGAAACAAACAAGCACGGTTTTAGTAGTTATTTCGTAAGGTAGTTAGCCCGGTCGAAGAACTGTAGCCGACTCTCTAGGTGGGTATTAGAAAATAAATCAATTATAATATGTCAATTGTCAATTTTGATTTGTAAATTGTAGTGTAATCGTAAGGAGTAAGGACTAAAGACTTACCTTACTACTTTATACGGTTCCAATTTCTAAAATTTTAATTGTATTTTACTGGAAAACTATATTTTATCAGTTTCCGTTGTTTAATAATATTCTAAATCCGCCATTGAATATTGTTGTGTAGTATTGTGCTAAAAAAGATTTATTAAGTATCTATGTCACAATAGTTATCAAAAATAATTGCATAAACAAAGACGGTAGTATTTTCTAGATAGACTTTTCAGTGTGTTTTTACCATGTCGGGACATAAGTATATAAGTAATACTAGTAATCTCTTTGAAGATGAAGATGTGGATGATGACACCTTTGTTAATAGTTTCGCATCAAGAAGGCCGCCCCCTAAACCTCAGACTCAAACGTCATCATACATCGCAGACTTGGAGAGACAAAGACAAACAATGTTACTGAAACAAAAGGAAATCGAACAGCGTACTCTTGATTCTTCTTCTAGGAGCATCGGTTTACTTCGCGAATCGGAGCAAGTCGGAATTGCAACTGCCGAAGAACTCGCCCGTCAACGTGAACAACTACAAAATACAAGTAGAAGGTTGGATGAAATCAACACTAACTTGACTTACAGCCAGAAACACCTCAATGGTATCAAATCTGTGTTTTATGGATTTAAAAATTACCTCTCAGGTAAATCTGATCAAACTCCACCTAAAAGTTTAGCGTCTACAAGTTCTAGTATAAACCCAAGTCCCAGTAGTAAGTTAGGAGAAACACTTGATGGTATTGGTGGTTCTTCACCAGATGAGCGATTTAGTAGTCACCCAACTACACGTCTGAGAGGATTAAACCAGGAACAAACTACATTAGAACCAATGTCTGATACTCAACGTGTAAATAAAATGTTAGATGACAATTTGGATGAAATGGTTCATCATATTTCTAGATTAAAAGGCTTGGGAATGGCTCTTGGTGATGAAATTGAAACTCAAAACCATTTAATAGATGAGATTACAGATAAAGCTGATACAGCTGACATAAAAATTGGTCATCAAAATAAACAAATGAACAAGTTATTGGGAAAGTAATATAACTTCATTCCAATATCATAATAATATATAAATGAGCAAGTCAAAAGAAATAAGACTGCTCTTAATATCATGTAAATCCTTACATTTCTTATTCAGTTAAATTTGATTAGATAGAAAACTTTTAATGTCAGTGTATAAATAGCAAAACATAGCCTTAGTGTGATTTCATACTTTTTTTATAGTGATTATAGTTATTACTGTAATAGATGTATCTGGTATATATTACTGTAGAAATGTATTCAGTTTAATTTTATTTATTACTAATATTGTTTAAACAATGGTACAGGTAACTATATAAAGTAATTTGTTAACATTGTAATCTATCACATTTCTGTTTAATGCTGCTTTCACAAGTTTGTAAAATATACAGAAAATAATAAAAATACACACTTAATGTTTACTTTCTTTTTTATCACTTTTAGAATTATTAGAAAGTTAGTGTTTTCACTTCACCAAAGGTTCTTATTGAGAAAATACATGTTAAGACTGACATTTCATTAATATGTAACAATACTAAAAAAATCACTTCATGTCTTTATTGATTCATACAGCTTAAGAATAGAAAATAACAATACTCAGACTGAAGCCTAAACTACTGGGAGTTGAATCATACTCATAGCCTTCTTACTGACTTTCTTGATGAATTCTCATGTGTTTTTGTAAAACCCTTCGGTTTGAAATCTTTTTTCGACATATCTTACATGTCACTTCTTTACTTCCTGTGTGTGATTCTTTATGGACTCTCAAGCCTGATGTAGTAGCAAATCCTTTAGAACAAATATCACATTTGTGTGGTCTTTCACTAGAATGAGCATAGGCAAAGTGTACTAATAGTGAATGTTTACTAGAAAAACTTCTGTTACACTCATTGTAAGTGCACTGAAAAGGTTTAGGTTTCAGCTCACCAGTATGAATAAGACTATGACTTCTCAAATAGGAAGCCCTGGTATAGGTTTTGGGACATAGTGGGCATGAAAATTGTTTTTGGCCAGTATGAATTTTTGTGTGTTTCATAAGTGAGGATTTAACTGTGAATTGTTTTCCACATGTTACACATATATATGAATAGCGGTTGTTTGAATGTGCTAATCTGAAATGCTCTTTCAATGATTGTCTAGTTTTGTAAGTTTTGTTACAAAATCCACATTTAAATTGAGAATCTTTATGGGAAATAAGATGTTGATTCAATCCATTATTTGTGTAGAACTTTTTGCCACATTTAGGGCACAAATATTTCTGAAAACCACTATGCTTGGCCATGTGATACCTTAAACTAAATATCCTTGTGAAAGATTTGTTGCAAAAGGAACATGCATATTTTTTATCACCAACTGTCCTTGGTGGGTGTTCCGTGGCTGTTATCTCAGTTACCGGGGGTAATGGAGTCAGTTCTTTATTTACAGGCAAGCTGGACTCAAAATCTAAAACCGACTGACTGGTAAAAAATGGTAGCTCATATTCATGGTCTTGATAAACAACATTTATGTCAATATTATCTAAATCAGAACTCAGTGGAAGTTGAGGTTGTATAGTTAGAATTTGGGTGAGAGTAGCATTAGCTTTCAAACAGTTGAGCTTAAAACCATAAGCCATTATAGCTGTAGCTACACATGTAGAGCATATACCTTGAGGCCAATTTTCTTCATCATTATGCTGGAAACATAAGTAATCATTAGATCAACTATAGGTTGGGAATACTTAATTAAATAGTTATACAGTATTCAACATACCTCCAAGCAATTGAGAAAAACCAATATATCAATTAATTTGATCTTTATGTTCTCATGTTCAATGAGATCCTGTATTTTCATAAACATGGTGTCGTCATTTGAATCGAACTCTACTAAACATGTCCGACACATATTTGTCGTGAGAGGAACAATTAAACTTGTAAATTCCATTTTTATGATTTCAATTTATCCATAAATAAATTCTATGTCTATTTCATACATATTTTATAGTTTTATAATATTTTTCAATTTTTATGTTGGCACTTGGTGCGTAATTCGCAGTGAACACTTGAGCTGTGAGCAGAGCAGATCATCGATGTTTTGACATCGATGTTGCTATACGAAAAATATCGTAACATCAATGTTAACTGAATCGAACATCAATGTTAAGTGTTAAGCTTAGGTTTCCTAGAAAAGCGGTGCCTTTATCTAACGGCCGTAATGTAACGTTGGGTGACGTCACGCATACGTTGTCTTTAAATAACATCGGAGCTGTAGGTTTTCTAGAGAACGTCGAGTGTCACCGTAACATCAAATAGCGGTGCTGTCACTTGCATGACGCCGTCATAGCGTTGATAAACATTAGTTCAACGTTTTGCGCGTGTAGCGGTGCCCATATTTAATTAATACAATGAGTGGAAACGTAACTTGGACGAGCGAAAATGATTGTTTTTTTGCATTATGTTAAAAAGTATAGACGGCCCAGCTTGTCTAGGAAACCTAAGCTTAACAACCGTGTGAAATGATGGCCGTTAGTTAACGGCACCGCTTTTCTAGGAAACCTAAGCTTTAACTCACGGCCTACCGCACTACCAATACAACTTACGAAACAAATTATGTCTTCTATGAACGTATCCACAAATCAAGTATATTAAAATTTTGAACGCGTATTTATTATTTTCGCCCAAGTCGTTCCCTTCGTTCGTTCTTCGTAGTCTCACTCGCTCTTTCTCTATCACACTTCCTAACTACTCTTTATCAACAAAGAAATATATTAAAATGTTCTTCTTTGTCAAAATTACTTTTCATTCAGTCAGTTGATAAAAAATATCTGATATTACATATTGTCATAATTTGTTCTGTTTCTTGATAAATTTCCAACCATTTCACTGTATTTTTAGATATAGATGTATTTTTAGTTTTAAGTTTGATTTTTACTAATAAGAAATCTGTGGCAACATCTCATCGAGAATGGTAGTAGGTTTTATACTAGGTAATGGAGTCCGTGCTAATAATCTATGTGCCTTGCCACTACTAGAGTCTGGAAAGATGATAACGAAATAGCGCGTCAAATTAAAAAAAATAGTATGGTATCCCTAAAAGTTTGATATATTTTGTGGATTTAACTTACTTGATACTTAATTTTATTTTATTATTTTTTACATTGACAGTAACTGTATTTCTATGAAATTAAATACTATACGTATTTAGTATTTTACTATTGATACTTAAAATGACTAGCATTGCATGGAAAACTAAAACTATATTTATTATAAAACACAACTTTATTCGGAATAATCAAATCCTGCGAAAGAAACGAAATATTCTATCAAATAAAACAAGTTTAGGCTATTATACCTGTTAACTATATGAAAAAATATCTAATAGAAATAAAAATGAGTAATTGCATGAAGTATCAAGACAATAAATCATACTAACCTAAGAAATTCAATGACATTCTGTGTTGCCAAACGAAAGTTTAAAAAAAATTCAATTATCTTCGTTCATTAGCCAGACTCTAATATATGTGTAATGTGACTAATATCTGATCTGTCATCTGTGGCATTGCGGTAAGCGGTTGCCTTTTGACGTGTAGATTGTAGTGATTCGTGGGCGCATTTTTCAGTGTATAAAATTTTATAATTAAGTAATTAATTTCATGATTGAACTTTTGCACAATCTACACTCACATAAAAACAGTTTTCATAAAATTTTATTTCATTTGAAGGTATAATATTCTAATAATTAACAATAATATGCATAACCTCTTATCCATATTACAATGTATCTACTTCTTGATTATTAGGAAATATTGTATAAATATATATTAATATTATGAATCAAAATTGTTCATATTAATGAATCTAAACAATTTTCCAGGTGAAATTTTAGCCGGTAGTAATCATGAGTCGTTTCTTTGCAACTGGCACAGACTCTGAGTCTGAAACTTCTTCAGAGGAGGAGCATGTAGTACGAGCACCTGCGCCCGTTTACACGGTGAGGGTTATAACTTACTCATAGTTTTTTATTTTTTAACTTTCAAAATCAGAAAAGTATTACACAACATTGAACATAGTATCTTCAGCATGTTATCCCCATCTAACAATGTAAGGTGCTTCAAAAAGATCCTTAGATCTGATGTTAGGATGATTATATTTTTCAGTTCAGCGATGATGAAGAGGAAACAAAGCGTGTTGTGCGGTCTATGAAAGAAAAGAGATATGAAGAGTTGGAAGGATTCATTCATTCAATAAGAAATCATCGTAAGATCAAAGATTTCTCCTCTGCTTTGGCTTCATTTGAGGAGTTACAAAGGGCATACACCCGAGCTTCTTCTGTCATTCAAAAGGAAGAAAATGGAATTGCACCACGATTCTTCATTCGAGCTCTGGTAGAGTTAGAAGACTGGGTTACATCAGCCTGGAATGATCGTGAAAGCAGAAAGGCCATGTCTAAAGGAAACAGCAAAGCTTTGACCTCCTTGAGACAGAAACTAAGAAAATATACTAAAGAGTTTGATTCTGAAATTGTAAAGTTTCGTGAGAATCCTGATCTTCCAGATGATGATGAAGAGCGTAAGGGTGAGTTAGCATTTTTCATAAAAAATAATTGCAATAGTAATAAAAACCTATAGTAAACCTTTCAAACTAAGATTTTCTTATCACCCATCTGTTATTGAAACCTAGCTAAATCTACTGTTATTAAATAATAAAAATCATTTGAAGAAGATGTTGTGAATTATGTGCTGATCAGTTTAATGAGACTGTTTTAGTGTTTTATGTAAAAGCTATACAAATAATACTAATAAACAATAGCAGAGAATTCTTTTGCATAAATATGCCTTGAGTGTAGAGTAGCCCACATTCGGCTACTACTACGGCTCGGCTTGGGTCCTCACAGGGTGACTTGTTGTGAGGTTCGAGTCTCACAGGAGACGCCCTTGCGCTAGTCGCGGGAGAAACGCCCATTCAGGCCGCGCTACACTCGCCAAAACAGTGACTGAAACTCGCCCGAGCTGAGCTGTAAAGGCCCTTAAGGCCAACAGCGAGATTTCCACAAAAAAGTAGCCCACATTATTAACACTTCTATAGTTAAATATATAAGAGTGATTATAATTGTAATTTTTTCTGTAGATGAACCATCGTCTGATGAGTCAGATGAAGAAGAAAAAGTTAAAGAAAAGCCTAAAGTTCGTCGTTCACCAGAACCACAACGTCGGCCAGCTCCTCAAGAGGATGAATCCTCTGATTCCATGGATTGGGGATCCAGTTCCTCTGAGTCTAGTTCTAGTTCTGATGACGAAACCCGAGGGGCTGCTACTCTTCGTGAGCGCTTTCTTAAGCGTGCAACAGAGAGGGATGATGATGAAGAGGGAGACAGGCGCAGGGCCAGAAGAGAGAGACGTGAGAGGGTGGGCAAAGTGAGCAAGAAAGACCAGGTTGATGATGGTGGTGAATGGGAGACAGTAAGAAAAGGTGCTGCTACTTCTGACAAACCAAAAATGTTTGCTAAGGTTTGTATATCTATTGTGGAATTTTGTATGTGGGGAGCGTTCAAGTATTACGTAACGAATTTTTTTATCCTTTTGTAATTTTGTAAAACGTTACGATGCGGGACGGGGATTGAATTACGCGTTATTGTTAATATTATTTTCGACTTTCCAGGTGATCACGAAGTATGTAAAACAATTTGTCTATGAGATATTACAATATATACCTCAATCAACAGTCATGTTCTTTATATACCAAACTTTTCATCATATTCTTTATGTTGCCTGTATAGGCCATTAGTAGCTGGCATGAAAATCTGAGACTGGTAGGCAATTCATCAAATTCTTAACTATTTTATTAACAAACAAACACAATTTTTTATTATATCCATTATCTTTACATTGTAAAGCTGTAACTATATGTACAATAACAGTCATTAATGCCATTAAAATGTTTGAAACATACTGTTAGAACTAGTACTACAGTTGTCAAAAATGTGGACTGAAAACTTTTTATACAAACTCTATAAAATTGTGGTTCTATAGCTTAACTTATTTCAGAAAGTCTCTAATGAGTCAAGAATCGCATAGTCCTAAATTTATTCAGTTTATGAGAAAACAACTCAACTCAGACTCAAAATATCTTTATTCATGTAGGTAAACAAGTACACTTATGAATTGTCAGAAAGAAGTTAGATTAATTGTAAACCTCATCTCCCTTGCACTATATAACTTTGCTAATATTATACAGTTTCATTATGAAATAGTGACAAATTAGCAAAATGTAAATAATACGAAAAAAGGTACATAAAATTATATGTAAAGGCTAAGTGGAGGTCAGCTATTATATTTGATTATAGAGTGAAACAGGCCATCTTATAGCTAATAAGAAATCTGTTTGAGGCAACCGTTGTGTTAGTAAAAAGTGTTGGGTTTGTAACAATTCTATGTTGAAGCCAAATAATGTGTATTTGATTGTTAGATCTTAAATATATTGACTATCAAAATATATAACTTATGCCAGTTTGTTTTGTCTAATTACATTTATAGGAAGATAATTAAGATTTTTTTGTCACAGGATAGTGACATTGATGCTGCCCTTGTTGTAAAGAAACTGGGAGAGGTCAGTGCGGCTCGAGGCCGAAAACGCACAGACCGCCGTGCCCAACTAGAACTATTACATGAACTGCGCACTGTCGCTGCACAACACAATCTTGGTGATGCTCTTCAGTTAAAACTACGCGCAGCCACTGTTGCAGCACTCTTTGATTACAACCCTAAGGTGTCTGATGCTATGAAACCTGAATATTGGTCACGGCTTGTTGAAAACGTGGATCATATGGTAACTATTCTCTTAGCTAATGAGGACATGGTGCTTAGTGAAACAATCACAGACGAAACAGAGCAACTTGTAACTGCTCCATTTCAAGTTAGAGGCAGCTTGCTAATAGCGCTTGAGCGATTAGATGATGAGTTCACTAAACTTTTGAAGGAATGTGATCCTCATTCCAATGAATATGTTGAGCGATTAAAGGATGAAGTGAGAGTCTCGGCTCTGATTGACCGAGTCTGTCAAGTTGTGGAGCGTGATGGCACCCCTCAAGAAATATGCCGTGCTTATCTTCGTAAAATTGATCATCTTTACTATAAATTCGACCCACGTGCCGTGAAGAAAGATCAACCTCCTAGCGAGGAAACTTCTATTAAGAAGATGGAGAAATTTTGCAAATACATCTATGCAAACGACGAATCTGATCGTCTACGTACGCGTGCCATCTTGTCGCACATCTATCATCACGCTCTGCATGATAACTGGTTCCAAGCGCGTGATCTCTTGCTGATGTCTCATTTACAAGAGAATGTTCAGCATTCCGATCCCAGCACTCAGATTTTGTACAACCGCACTATGGCCAACCTAGGTCTGTGTGCATTCCGTCGAGGAAATGTAAAAGAAGCACATGGTTGTCTAGCTGAGCTAATGATGACTGGAAAGCCTAAAGAACTGCTCGCTCAGGGTCTTTTGCCGCAGCGTCAGCATGAGCGATCTAAAGAGCAAGAAAAGATTGAGAAGCAGCGCCAGATGCCTTTCCATATGCATATAAACTTGGAGTTACTGGAATGTGTGTATCTGGTATCTGCTATGTTAATAGAGATACCGTATATGGCTGCACATGAGTTTGATGCCCGTCGTCGTATGATAAGTAAGACGTTTTACCAGAACTTGCGCGCGAGTGAGCGTCAGGCTCTTGTGGGTCCGCCCGAATCGATGCGAGAGCACGCGGTTGCGGCTGCTAGGGCCATGAGACGCGGTGACTGGCGTGCATGCCTTAACTTCATCGTTAACGAGAAAATGAATGCCAAGGTAATCGTAATCAGTTTTATTAATTAGTCTCAGTTTCAGTAAAAGTTAGTTACTGTTACTGAAAGGGCTATGAATATGAATAACGTATGAATTCCGAATGTTTTATTTTTTGACAACAATCTACAATAGTAATATTTTTATTCTAATTTTAAACAGAGGAAAATGTGAGCATTTCTCAGCTAATTAGTTGACAATATCAATAATGAGTATGACAAGTTCAACGCATTCTAAAACTTACAATTTCTTCGCAGGTATGGGATTTGATGGTTGGCGCCGACAACGTCCGGGCTATGCTTGGTCGTTTGATCAGAGAGGAGTCACTCCGTACTTACTTATTTACATATGCTCATGTCTATGCTTCACTATCCCTTCGTTCTATGGCCGACATGTTCGAGATGCCGCGTCAACGCGTGCATTCGCTTGTCTCAAAGATGATTATTAATGAAGAATTGTTAGCCTCACTTGATGATCCCAGTGAATGTGCAATCCTTCATCGCTCGGAGCCCACTAGAATGCAGGCGCTGGCGCTACAGTTGGCTGATAAGGTGGGAATTATTTTTAATATAGCAAGTAGGAAAAAGAAAAAAGAAATACTCATAATATAAATAAATACTAGTGATATAATAAAAATAATCTTTTATATATAATAAATATGTCGACGTAATATTATAAATTCAACAATATTATTCTTTAAGTTTATCATGCAAATGATAATCCTATTATAAATTATATGAACGCAGTGGTAATATATAACATAATTCTAGGTGGGCAACTTGGTGGACTCAAACGAGCGTATTTTCGAGAAGCAAGGGTCGTTCTTCCAGCGGGGTGGAGCCCCAAGGGGCGAAGGCCGACAACGCGACCGCCCCCGGGAAGGGTGGGGACGCCGGCAACGCAACCGCCGTCGGGACGACGACCGCACCCACGAAGATTAAAGCATAAACGATCGTACACTATCCATAAACTAAGTACCCTGAATACTTTTCTACCATTTGTATCTGAAGAAAAGTGCTCACAGAACTTAGTCATAGACAATGTGCAGCAAGCTTATGAAGATTCAAAAGAAAATGTCACCAATTCAGTATATATAGAAAAATTTCAGACATTAATATGCATACATAATATCAGTCCTTCACTACGGTTTTCTTTTTTAAAACAATCCATACATTTCGATAAAGCTGCTAGTGTCTATTCTCAAATCTTCTTTTATACACCCGGAAGGAGGCGCCCTTTCATATTACTACAGTAAATATCGTTATATGTAGTTATGTGAAAGGGCGCCGCAAATACTACAGATTCCGAATACTTACTCCATCAATATTTGTCTATTTATCATACATTTATTGTGAATGATATCAAATATAAAAACCCGTTTGTATTCGTTTTTAAATAAATTTGTTGCAATTCATTTTGGTTTCATTTTGAATGATATTCAGAAAAAAAAGCGCACACCCATTTTATTTATCTTGATTAATACAGCGAAAAGCATTAAACGTTCACTATTTGTATTCTGCTTTTTTTAATGTATAAACTAACAAAGACGGCGGCTCGGCCGAATACTCTCTTCACAATTTGCTCCTACACTATTAGAAAATGAACTGTTAATATTTGTTTACAAACATTGTATTTGGACATACGGCTGTCATAGTTCGCAGTTTAAGGTAAGGACTAAGGATCAAGAGTTAGACTAAGGGTAAGATTAATCCTCGTAATCATTATGTAATGTATACTTATTATAGTTAAGTTTTAACTCTCAAGCAAGACTTGTTCGTCCCAAAGTAGACTGGGGTCTGCAGGCTATCTACAAGGTACATACAGCAATTAGAATAATGGCCAACAATAGTAGGCTAACCGCTAATGACTTTCTAGTTTCTGTCTCCTAGTACTTAAAAGACAGGCAGGATAGTTAGGACCACTCTTGATTTTACTTCGTGTAGATAAAGTATATATACACACTACACATATATAGCTGATTTGGTTGTAAATATATTACATACTCATTTTAAATTGTGATATTATTAATAAAAAATATAATTTATAAATATTTGTACTATCATAAAACATAGCTTTTGTGCATGTAACGAAACGAATGAAATGGCCGCCGTCGATCCGAAGACATGTCATTGACATTTTCATTTAATTAAATCGCTGAACTGAATCGGATTTTCGGCATTATAATAATAATTACGTATACTATGTTGTTTAAGGAGACGACTATATAAATATATTTAAAAAAAATATTCATACTTTATTTGAGAAATTTTATTTTGTAAATTAGATTACGATGGCAGCGACGAGAAGACTTCAAAAGGTAAGGCTTATTTTATAGTTTTTCTTTTTGAACTATGATGTTATTAAAGTGTTCAATTAAGGTAAATGGTAAAGTAATCAAAGATTAACAGCTGTATGTTCTTAGTTGCCGGTATATAAAGTGATCGTCCATATTTCAGGAGCTGAATGACATCAGGCAGTCGGGGCTGAAGTCATTTAGGGATATCCAGGTTGATGAATCGAATATATTAACTTGGCAGGGTTTAATTGTGCCCGTGAGTATTATTCAAGTGATTTTTTCCCGTCGATGACTCATCAAATGAATATTACAAAAGTTTCAGCTTTAAGGTTTTATTTCTTATTCCATAATATTATTTAGGTCAATTTTGTATTCTTATTTACAATAATAATTCTGGATCTAATCATCAACATTTATGTGGGTATTTAATTTTACAGGACAACTCTCCTTATAATAAAGGTGCATTCAGAATTGAGATCAATTTCCCAGCAGAATATCCATTCAAACCTCCTAAAATAAGTTTTAAAACAAAGATTTATCACCCTAATATTGATGAAAAGGGCCAAGTATGCCTACCAATCATTAGTGCTGAAAATTGGAAACCAGCAACTAAGACTGACCAAGGTAACTATTATGTTATTGGAGAATAAGTTTTACTATGGTAGTTTTCCACCTTATAATGTTAATTATTTATAGAACACTACAATATTTAGAAGTGAATCTTTCTGATAAAAATATATTACTAACAATAGGCAATTTGAAGAAACTTTTTTCCCAGTTGGGCAGCCACTTCTCAAGTAAACTATCTGGCAACTGAAATTAAAATGTTTAAATGTGGAGGTACAAAAGGAAGTCAGATAATTCACCTTAAATAATAAATAAATCATTGGAGCACAAATGTTTATTGTCACTGTCACATTGGAGTTAGCTGGCTTGACTATATTATAATCTATTTACCACATTTTTAGTTTTTCCATAACTATGACATGTTCCTTTCAGTAATACAAGCCCTAGTTGCACTTGTGAATGACCCTGAACCAGAACATCCATTACGTGCTGAGCTGGCTGAAGAATACTTAAAGGACCGGAAAAAATTCACAAAAAATGCAGAAGAGTTTACCAAAAAACATAGTGAAAAGAGACCATCAGACTAAACTATTCAAATTTGCAGCAATAATCATTTTACATGATTAGCTTGTATGAATTTACATTTTGCTAGCTACAGTAGATTTACTTATTATTTTATTATAATACAAGTTAAGTATTTATGTATTTCATAGTTGACATTTCAATAAAAATACTTTATTATAATTTCATACAAAATCTAATCATGTAAGATAAGACAAAACTGTTTCTGTGCTGATACAAAAATATTAAATGTCCACATTGCTTGCAATTCTATATGCACTATATATGTATAAAAATTCAATTTATAGAATGGGCTTAAACAGTTGATTTAACAGTTTCTGGGCTATTGATTCTTTATTCTCTACTAGTTTTTGTTATTATTTCAAAATTTCAAACAATAGTCAAAAATTTAAAGTAAATATGTTTCTGTATTCAATTTTAACCATGAGTGGCTCTGGCCTAAGCTTACATACAAATGTAAAGTCACCTATAAAGTGAATATTGTCTAAGTATATAAAGTCTTATCGGTGTTTAGGAACAAAACCTTATACAACCACATTATATAGACAAGTGGCTGTTCATAGAGCTAGAATACTCTGTGCTTAAGGGCATGCATTTCTTCTGTAATTGTCACCATTTTAATAAGAAATTTTTTGGGGAAACATACTACATATATACAATACTGTGTTAATAATTTTAACTTATTGCTTAACAATTAATATAAAGAAATAAATTCCTGTCTTGTTAGAAAATTGTGATTCCTTTATTATGTATCATTCATAAATTTTTGTTGTAATTTTATTCTCAGATTATTTTAATTCCATGTAAGAATATGCATTAATATATCTTTCTATGTAATAACTGTTCAGTGAATGAACCTTAAATAAATATTTTTTTTGATATTGGTGTTTTATTACTAAGACAGAATTCTATCCCACTTTGTACTTATTAAGTTTATAATGGTAAGAAAAGAAAATATGAGCTGAGAACTTTAATCAATAAAATTGTACACATCATTATTATTGGATGATTCATCATTGATTAAAACATTCTTTTCTTTAAACTGTAATTTCTTTCGCCTATTCCACAATGTTTCCTTAAAAATTTTATATGTACTAATTTGATTTTGTTTTTCTGCATCAGTCTTGTGTTTTATGGTTTCACCTTCAATAATAAATTTCAAATTATCTGCAATAAAAAGCAAATGTAACTACATTTAGTTTCTGCAAGTTCTCTAAATCCGTTTTTGAAGCATAACAATAGAAATCCGTTCTTCAATTCAAAGAATATTAAATATACTCTGAGGGTTTTGAAATTTTATTTTGCATTACAATATCTATTTTATACATAATTTTGTATGTAAAACAAAAAAAAGGTTCTTTGTAACTTTTGTTTTGTTTGTGTAAAACTAAATTTCTTAAAGGAAATTGAGCTCATACATTATATACCTTCAATTTTTGTTATGCAATTGTCTAGATCAGCTTTACAGTTTTTATCTCTTCCAAGTAGAGGCTGAATACTGAGGATATAATCTGGTCCATAGAAAGGCCAATAATCATGTTCTGGAATGTTTTGATCCAATTCTACATTCACAACTAGAGCTGTGATGGAAGCCCACAGCTTAGCTGTATTACTGTAGTTATATCCACCTTAAATAAATATTATTGACATATATATATATTTTGTAATTAAAAATTTGGATCCCAATAGGTATAGATTTTTCTATTATCCTACATTCATCTAACTACAATTTAAACTGTTTTAACAGCAACTTTAAGAGCAAAAATATTCTTAACATAAATTCTTTTTAACATTAATACAACTTTAGGTGTCAGTATTTATAGTACATATAAATTCTAATAAAGCATACCTCCACCTAAGAGCACAGTAGGCTTTTGTTTATCTAAGATATTTTGGACACAAGTACAGTATCCTTTGATTGTCAGCCCACCTCCTCCCATTGGATCACCAGCCAAAGCATCGGCACCACATTGAACCACTATGGCATCAGGTTTGAAACTATCGTAGACTTTGTGAAATACTCTGAAAAATAAACATTCAATCCTTAATGATAAAACTGAGAACTTCTATTGTTTTGATGAATATCAAATTGAAAGCCAAACGGTATTTAAATGTTTTTTTTTAAAAACCAATATAGTTAAATGTAGTACATAATATTTCTTGTGTGCGTGTGGATATTCGACTGAACAAACGACTGGACCGATTTTGATGAAATTTTTGTGTGTGTTCAAGGGGTTGGATCTGGGAATGGTTTAGATTCACAAATCAGCCCGGCAGATGGCACTGCAGTCGGTACTTCCTTCCTTCCCTGGCACTCCAGTCGGTTAATATCCTAATCGCTTTAAATATCATGCAGGACAACGTCTGTGGGCTCCACTAGTATTAATATAATTTCTTCTGCAAATATAAGGTAGAATTTATTACATTATTTGCTCTAATTGATTGCCAAGTTTTCAGCAATCACTGTCAGCGAAAGGCTGCCATATCATGTTGACAGAGTTAAAAAGTAGGAAGATAAAAAAACTTTCAATGATTAAAGTTTTTTTATATAAAAATTAATATTTTTAACATATTTTTGTCAATGTCTCAACTCTGAACTTACCCTAACAATTTTTTGTTATGTTTTGGTTACTTTACGCAGTGATATTGAGCCAGGTCACATATATATGAAATTATTATATGAGAGTTATACTTTGTGCTAAGTACCTTACCCTGATCGCTAATTCTAAGACTGTATTGGGATAATTCTTTACTTTCATAATCCTTCCCTCAATTCCAAGCTGTTTAATACACTTATCAGTAACATACTTGTATTAAAAGACAGAAGTGTACATGGTTCTGTCTATTGTATTTCAGTGCCATGCAGTTACTGTAAAAACCTTTGATTTAAAAGCAAGCCTGCTATTATAACTAATGGGTTATATTTTTTATTTTATACCTGAGACTATAAATAAAAAACTTACTTTCCAAATACATATTCCATTGTTTCATCATTATATGATTCATGTAAAGGAACATTGCATGTGTACCCTTTTCCAGTCAAATTACCAGCTTCATCCACACTTCCTGTACCTGGATAGAACCCAGGTTCATATTTGTGGATTGACAGGGTGAAAACTGAGTTGCTTAAATTATATGCATCTTGCACACCATTACCTTAGAAGTAAATTTTAGTTTTTATTTAAGCTTGACTTATTTTTACAGAAAAAACATAGAAGAATGGTTATTTTTCTGAAAAAATATTAGCAGGACATTCTGTCACGGAGACAGATCTATGACCAGTTGATTATTTTTTATTGAATGGTGATGATAATGATAATAAAATTTAGTAGTTAGTGCAGTAAATGCATGACAGGTAATAAACACATATGTATATGAAATTATTATAATGTTAACAAATATAACATTTCATACCATGATGGACATCTAAATCTACGTATAGAACTTTTTTAAACTTCAGCCTTAGTTTTTCTATACATATTACTATATCATTAACATAACAAAAACCTTCCGCACAAAACCTGAAAAAAAGTACTTCTATTTACAAACAATATAACAAAGTTAATCTATTCAAATTAAGTATTACTCTAAATTATAATTTACCTTTGGGCATGGTGCCAACCACCAAACCAATTAATAGCAACATCAGCAATGCCTAATATAATGCTTTTAGCAGCAGCCACTGAACCACCAGCTATTACTGATACCAGTTTATACATATCCGATACTGGTTGGCAATCATATCCTGGAAATAACAACAATCAAATAAAATTCAGTTAGCAATCATTAACAAAACCACTTATTTTACATGCAGATCAATAATTTCACAAAAGGGTTGAAAAAGTATCAAAATAATGCATAATTTACAAAACTTATTTATAATTAAAGCCTATATGAAATATATTATTTTCTTCTTATTACTTACCTATACCAAATTCTTCATCATGAATTCCAATCACATAATCATCATCTACTTTTTGCAGTGTCTTCAAATGCTCTAAATAAATTTCAGAATGGAATAGCTTTAGGTCTTCATATAACGCTGGTGTGGAATTTACAACTTGCAATTTATTAATAAGACTATAACTAGCAATTAAACTTTGAACTCTGGAAGCCTACAAAATTAAATCAGATACTTAGATAATGCTAGTGTTTTTAAGTTAAAACAAGATATCGTGTCTGCTAATACTTATTTTAGTAAACTTAATATTACCCTTTTAGCGACAGCCGGTAAACGATCACTTTCTGCCATTAGGAGTTCATCCCATATGTAACATGACTTAATAGTTTTCTTTGACATAGTTTATAACTCTTCGTTAATTTTACAATTGTTAAGTACTAACTAAAGAGATATAATATGAATAGATAGTCCTAGATATTTAATTTTCTAAGAACTTCACTATGAAGGAATTTCTAATATAGTGTGTTATATACAATATGAATATTGAATACTAGTATCTATTGGTGACATATTTATATAATAATTGTTTTAACTTATAAGTATAATTGAATATTGTCGTACTTCGTAGACGTAAATGGTATACGTTTTATTTTAAAAACTACTATTATTATTTTTATTTATTTTTCTGGAGTTTATGATCTGGTATCTAGGCCTTTAGGCGAACTTCTACTATTATTCTTTGTAATACCATATAATATGTAAATAAAGGAAATAAAACAATATTTATCGTGTTTTATTTTACGTAAGTTGTTATTTTTGAGCCAGTATCACCATTGTCGACATACTTTATCGATTAAAATAAAATATAGAGTGGTAATTTTAAAATTTTAATTATTATAATAATCTTTAAATTATTAGCTTTAATTATATAGATTTGTTTAGGTTTTAGTCATTTTGGTTTATGCTTTAGAGAGAAACCTAAATGACGAAAAATCCTTCCTCCTGACTTCTTCTCCTTCTATTTTATGCTCATAATAAGAAAGAAGGATATAAACTGGTTCTTTACAGTTATTGTTTCTTTACATTCGAACAAAAATAGTTTTGGTTAGGAAGGCGAATCAGACCCCTACTCGCCGTTGATGTATAAAAATTTCTGCTCCAGCTCCAGAACCCACTGAAAGCCACTCGGCTATATTTTCTTTAAAATAAATATTTCCTTATTAAAATATCATACATAAGGCGTTAGTGGTTACTTTGGATATAGCGAAACACTTCAATTGGGTGTAGCATAAAGTGCTTCTCTCGAAGCTTCCCGTCTATGGGGACCCAGAGAAATAATGAAACTGGATCTCGTCATTGACGGAGCATGTTCCGTCAACGCGGGAGCCCTTCTTACCAACCCGACAGTCAGTTTCGCATTACTTTTTGTATTTTCTACCATTATCCTACCTACAGCTGAGTTTCATCATCGAATGTCGAGGCAGAATACGAAATTCCACCAGTATCACCTTGACACCCGTCGTTCTACCGCTATGTAGAACCAGCTACCCACTGAAGTAATTCCGAACCAATTCGACTTAGGGTCAAGAAAAGGCCGGCATCGTACTTGCGTGCTTGCGGGCATTACGAGTATATGGGCGGCGGTAACACTTAATCTCCTGCCCGTTAGCGCCGTTCTATAAAAAACAAAGAAATATTTAATATTTTCCAGATAATTAAAATTGAAGAAACAGTAAATAAATAATCAACTATGTATTTATGTTTATTAAAAATTCATAATCATTCACATTTCCTCTATTGTTTAGCGCGCTAGCCTTTTCATCTACGTTCCACTACCTGTGTGCCGAGTGACTATAGACAAAAATTTGACGTTTAGACTCTAGCTTTAAGGAAGCGGTGATAAAATGTCTTGATTTTAATAATTTTGATGAGTTTGGATAGACCATAGTAAATTTTGTTATTCTCGATTATTTAATTTGTGTATAACTAGAATTCGTTTTGTTTCTAATAAGTATTTATAAACATGATTTAAATAATCGCGTTTTGTTGAAACTTGAAAGGGTAGTTGACAAGGTCTATTACAAAACAGTTGTAATTTGTCTGACTGAGTTTTGAAGCAGTTTGTTTTTGTCGTAAAATTCATCTTCTCGATGCTTTTCCGCGTTAGTGAATTAGTGATTATTAAACTAAGGTGGAAATGGTTCGAGGTTAGTAAGGTCGAAGAATATAAATAGGACGGTACAGACAGCATACTCTAAAACGCTATAATTTCCTTTGTTCCTATTTAAATAGGGCTATAAAATAAAGTAGGGTTATGTTTTAAATTTTTTTTTTATATATTACCTATACTCTAAAACGAATATAATTGTTTTTAGTATAAAGAAAAAGAACATAGCATCTTCATATATCTTTAATTAAACATAGTCCAGTATAAAATTTTTTTTTCAGTAACTAGCCCAATGTCAGGTCAAGAAGGTGTGAAAACTCCACATCGTATTGAGCTCTGTGAAGAAAAAAATCCCAAACCTAAAAGAACCTACAGAAAACGAAGGTACACTATGTTGACAAAATCATCTTATATTTTTGGTATTTAACTATATTTTGTATTTAAAGAAAAATTTGTTGGCTGCAGAATTGTGGCGGCAACACCTACGAAGACTGAAAACGAAGAACAAACCTCTGAACCACCAATTAAGAAAGAAATTAAATCAAAACCTTTAAAAACAAGTAATGGTATAAGTAACATGACTAACGGAAATATAGTGAGGTCCAGAGCAGCCCGTGCAGCTGCCCGATTGGCGGAAAGTCATAAACTAACAGAATATTTCAAAGAGGAGATCAAAAGTCCTAAAATAGAACATGTTCCCTCTCCACCAATTGAAAAATTTAAGACAGAAATAGATGAAAAACCAAAAGCAACAGAAGCTAAGTCTGTTATCAGTAATCATAAGCTAACTGAGTACTTCCCAGTGCGGCGGAGTGTAAGAAAGACTTCAAAATGTGTAATGGCTGAAAAGATGAGAGACTTAGAGAGGGCTATAAGAGAACAAAAAGAAGATGGATTAAAGGTAATACTAGAATTAATTTCTAGAGAGAACATCATTATATGATTTTAGACTGTTTACTAGCTTTTTGAGTAGTAGGAAAACTAAAAAAAAAACACATATCATATTTCCATTACTTTATTTTTAATTTTTGTGTTTTCTCCCTGATCCTGTCAATATATTCATGTCTTTTATATACTGGTCAATGTTAGCTGTTATTTCAAATATAACCCTCATTTATAAGTGCACTGACCATTGGATATGGTCAACTGGAACTAGTTTTTTTTGCATTTACTATGTTGTTTTTGTATTGTTACATGTAACCCTTATGGAAGTGATGAATATAAAATCAATTACCTATATTTTAAAATAGATGAAATTATTAGTGAGTGTTATGATTAGGATTAGGATTTTTTCATGTAATTTAAAGAAAATATAATTTATTTACATTCTTTTGAAATTAGGTATAGCTCAGCAAATTATGTTTTGATAACAGATTGCCTACTTTGATGGTAAAGGCCGTGGTGTGATTGCAACCAAGCCTTTTAACCGAGGCCAGTATGTAGTGGAATATGTAGGTGAACTTGTTGGTGTTGCTGAAGCGAGGGAACGTGAATACATGTATGCTCAGGATCCAAATGCTGGCTGCTACATGTATTATTTTAGACTGCAAGATCAACAGTATTGGTATGAATTTTTTTGTTTTTTTATTAAGGTTTGATGCTATAATTATAATTTTTTTATCTATGTATTAACTATGGCTTACATCATTCAAATATTACATTTCGATATAAGGAATAAGTAAGAGTAGTTTATGTAAATGTTAAGGGTTATTAAATCAAGAATGTTGGTGTAATACCTGTGTTATGTATAGTAACTATATTAATTTATTATATTTATACAGTTATTATTATATAACTGTTTTAAACAGTGTTAAAACTTACAAATTGGAATTAGAACCCATTATCAAGATATAAGTTGTAGGTGACCAAAATAAAGATTTTTTTAATTCTATACAATTATACAGAATACCGAGATCATCCTTATTATTATTACGAATACGATTTATAATACATTGCGCCCTTGCAAAATGATATAGCAAAAGGTAACGAACAAGCACACGTTTCAACACGTTTTTTTCCGAACTGTTATATTATAAAAATTAATTGATCCTATTTGGACATTATCTTCTAACATTCTCTTTCAGTATTGACGCAACTCGTGAGTCAGGGCGTCTCGGTCGTCTAGTAAACCATTCTCGTAACGGCAATCTATCAACCAAAGCTGTATGGGTCGATGGTCCTCGGCTCGTGTTGTTGGCCGCTCAAGACATCTCCCCTGGAGAAGAACTGACTTATGACTACGGCGATCGTTCCAAAGAATCGCTGCGTCACCACCCATGGCTTGCGCTTTGACCTGTGTAAGTACTATATCTTTTTAAAAACAAATACATGATTTTTGGGAAACATTATTTGAAGCATAATGACTATATATATATGGGGATAGCTAGTGAATTTGTAGAAGATTGTTGTATACTATTACTAGTATTAAGTCGTATGTATAACGCAGTCTTGGGTTGGTGAACACGATTCGTGTGCATCCCACGATTTCACTAAGTCTTATGGTAGATACCACCGGAATAGAAGTTTTAGGCATGTAAAAATATTGTGTACCTCATAAAGTACTCCTGAATTAACAGTTAAGAATATTGAGATAACATATTTTCTTGAGTATAATTCGAAATTTTCATTATTATATTTTAAAAGAACTTAATTTTAAGGCTTATTATAATTTTCTTTCAGATTGACTTCAGGAGTCTCAAATGAACTGCTAAGGATAATTTATTATTAAATTTAGCTGTTAAGTTTGTTTGTTACAATTATATAAGGTTTGATATAATGTAGTGGGACAAGTGGCCTAGAATAATTTTGATACTTTGATAGGGTGGTTCATGTACACTGTACAGCCTTACGCCACTATAACTGTTTGAAATATCTGAAATTTTGAAAATCATAAAAATACAAGTTGCTTCATAAATCATTGACTTTATTATCATCATCAATAAATAGTCAAAACCAGTGTGATGAGGTATAATTTTGCTTTTTAAATGGTTTGGTTAATTAAGTTCTTCGTTTAACATCCGTTTTCTTTTCAACTGTTCTATTAAAAGTTCTGCAAACAATTGACTTCAACATCGGGACATTATATTCAGATATTAAAATCGTAAATAATAATATTAAGATAGTAAAGTCCTGAATTATAAAAATCATATTTCAGTTTTATTAAATTTTTTCAAGGGGCATGTCCCAATAATACTAGTGAAATTTTAATATAAAGATCGGACAAACTTTAATAAGTATTTCCAATGACATCAGTATTTGTGGTATTTGTTATGAATATCTACTTAAAGTGACAAAGATAGTCTAGGCTAATAATATTTTAGACAAGTTATAATAGTATATCCACTGCTACTAAGATCTCTATTAGTACTGTACAAGTAATATTGTGAGTTTTATGAAAGGAAGTGCTTTGATTTAAAAGTAGACCTGTATTCTAAGTCCCTCTATCTAAACTAAATAGCTTGTTTACATTGTTTGAAGTGTAAAAAAAGACATATTTTAGGTAGTGAAATAGATTGGTTAATATAAAGTTAAGGTTCAGTTTTAATATTGTTTTAACATCTGTTGGTTATACAGAACATTTAGAACAAGATTGGATTTCAATTCTTTTAAGAATACAGGTTATAAGAGAAACATTTACAATTGTCATTCTAAGAGACTCAAATTATGTGTGGACTGCCTTAGCTAATGTTAAGGGATGCCAATAACTAGAGGAGTTGTTCAAAATATACATTTAAATTTCTGACTGAAAACGCTGTAAGGAATGTGAGACATTGTAAGACACTGCATGAAGATAGTACTGCCCCTGCACTAGCATGTTCTGAAGATTTTTCAGTTGTTATTGTAGCTATCATTAAAATTACAACATACTCAATTCCCAAATTAAGTTCAAACAGCAACTCGAATAAGTATCTATAAATAAGAATAGTTATTAATTTTATTTGAGGTAAAACTTAGGCCTCATCGCATAAACTGACATTTTTGGGATTAAAATCTGAATATATAAACATGATTATGTAAAATCCACCAGTTTATAGGAAACAAACTATAATGAGTATGCTTGGTAAATGTAATATTCAATATATCAAATAATTTCTTTAGAAACTTCCAATAATTTATTTTTAATCTGTATAGTACATAATTCACAACAACAATTGTATTACTTATTACCAAGAAATTATAATTTTTTTATAAGAATAACTTGTAAAGTAACAAATAATAAATGGCTTAACAGACAAATTATCAAAAATTGTTTTTAAAAGCGTTTGTGATATACCTTTATGTATAAACTATACTTTTTGGCGATAATGTTCCCATAGTGTTCTATAGAATATGTAGCCGTCCACAGACTAAATAGTGGAAGTTCGACTAGCCCTTCACATGTGTTTCCAAAGTATTTTGTTCATTTAAAGCATATCTAAATATGAAAACACACTTTTGATGAATATTTATTGATAGATCTTACCGTACGATCTACGAGGTTTAATAAAGTTTTGTTGGGTTTACCCAGTAAAAATCATTATAATATAATGTTATAGTTGTATAAATAGTGGTTATTATACCAAGCTGTACGAGAGTGAAGTTTGCCAGACGTTGAAATTGTTTTTTGCTTTTTACTTATTATTTATTTTCATTCTTGTTAAACTTAAGGCTATGTTCACATGTAGCGTTAACCGCGTCAACGTGCGATCAAATTTGAAGAGCGTTCAGATGATGAGGCGAACGCGCGTGCGAGAGTACTCGTTAGTCTAGTTCGGTAGAACGTAGAAAATTGACTGGAAGAGGCTATTATTTTGTGGTTATATTATAAAGAAATTTAATTATAAAGAAAACATTGGGTTCATCCAATTTTGAAAAAAAAATACAAATTATATTATATTTTTTATACAAATTTGCTATATTCCAACTTGCTGGTCTTTTTTCCTACTTCATCGATTAGTAAGTCGATGTCAATATCTTCAATTTCACTCATTTTAAATGCGAGAACAAAATATAATTACGAAAATGAACAAAATTACATGCGATCGCGATGAAAACGCCCGCTCATCTGAACAGCAAACGGACATTACATCCCCCTAATATCCAAGCGCCCCCCACCCCCCCCCCCCCTCCCCCCTCTGAACTTTTTCCCTGAGCGCCGCGTTGACGCGCGCAACGCGCGTGCGAACGCGCCCCCCATGTGAACAGTTGTATGAAAATACCACAATGTCAGTCGCGCGATTTGAAAACGCGCGTCAAGTTCTTGCCATCTGAACAGCCTTATTTCTCCCCTACTAAAATTTCTTTTAACGTTTGGCGTCCCTCGTAATTTTTATATGTATAAGTTTTTTACACTATTTAGTTCCTAAATCGTTGGTAAATTAATTAATATAAATGCTTAAATTATCTTACATCATAAATTATAAGTATTCTGATGTTTTCTCAAATAGGCTATGTATAAGAGTAATATATTTTAAAATTAATTGCATTTTATGAAATTAAGTAGAACATTACAATAGATGTAGATTTAGTTCGCTTGTGTATTGTAGGCGCACATTATAGGAAAACGATATGCAGAAGACTGCGTGATATGGAACTCCATATGTAACAGGAGATATTATCACATACAGATTATGTACAAAAATTACTCAAAGGCAAAAAAAATTTTTTCCAGAATTTTTTTTTTTAGTACTTCGATACCCTTTTGAGTTAAACCAATTGCACGATAATAGATTTCCTACTCAGGTACACCAAATATACAAATGACATATTTTTATAAGAATTAAATTTTAGTTAAGGCTATTTATGTTTTATGTATGTAAAATTAAATTACTGTGAATAGTGAATATTCAATGTGAAGGGCTATTTTTATGAATAGCGATTTTGTAAGACTTAATATATGTGGGCTGATGCACTGCCCTAATTATTGTAAAATTAATCAGTAGAAAATTGAGTGAAATAAACGAATACATATTTATGGAGATTTTTTAATCTGTTACATACAGACTAAGTAAACTTGTATTTTAAAACGAATCTCTGTTAGACCAATGACGATTCCAATGATTGACCTGGGTCTTTAGTCAAGATGCCTTAACAGTAGTGTATGTAGAAAGTAAAAAATTAAATTGAAAAAAAAACAAAAAAACTTTTCGACACAAACTGTAATTTCCATAAAAATTTATTTTTCTACTTTGACCCTGATAACGTCATCGATCAACACATCGGTATCAGTACATTTTATTTATATATTTTTTTGGATACAATCCTACCAGAAAATTTATCAATTATGTCACAAAACTATGTTATATTATGATGTACTTTATTTGTCAATTGGACAGCAAGTCAAGACGAAACCAGAAAATAGTACAAATTGTTTACAATTTTTAAATTTATTTTAATAAGTATAAGTAAATAACATCAGTCTGCCTATAATACATATTAAATTGATAATTGGGTTCAGGCTACAACAACATTATGATGAGATTTTAAATAATAGATTTGCGCTTGCGATTCGAGTTCCTTCAAGCTCCTTACTACAGGTTCCATTTGGCTCACGTGGTCCTGCAAGACATATTTGGCTTTTCAAAAAATTATTAAGGTTACTGTGAAAGGGATCAAGCGATGAAACCACCATTGCACGATATTTTTATTTCCTAAAAATACCTATCAATTTTACAAGATTACAATGATCGAATTGTATGTGCGTTATCGTGAGTGAATTTTAAAGTATTAAGTTGAAAATCCATTTAACTTCAAACTCTTTTATGACTTCGAAATTACTGGACTTTTATTGGTTGTATTACAATGTAACTTGTTTCTTGACAACTCTATAATAATGCCAGAAATGTACAGATTTATAAAGTTTACATTGTAGTTTGGATTCACAAAATATATTTATAAAAAACCCGAAGCATATTCAATTCCATATTTTTTTAAGAATAAAATTTAAATTGGGCTAATCAGAATAATTCTTCTTTTTACTTTAATATTGTCTAACATAATATACGTATATAAATTTCAGTTTAATAAGGTTTAGAGATACGAAACACATTGAAAACTGGTATCTAAAAAAATAAGACGCATTAAGAAAATAATACAAATCTTATACATATATTTCAAAGAACCTTACCTGATAACCGGAGCCAACTTGAGTACGTTTCTGTCCATAGACAACTTTGCCATCGAACTCATTACTAGGCACTTTCATGTCGGGCTCTACTTGTTGGATTGTTATATTTAAGTGATCTTCTATATCCGCCAAGTACTATAAGAAAATAATAATCTATAGAAGTATCCTAACATCGAGGTCGATATAATTGACCATACAGTAAAACTAAACAGTTTTTTGACACAAATAGAAACCATTCTTCATAAAAGTTATTTGTGTAAGTTTATGAACTGTTAAGTTTTCAATTTCAAAGTATATTTATTTAATCTAGGGGAATGATTTAAAATGTATACATTTTAAATAATATTCAAAACTATGTAAAGTGTACCTGAGGTTCATTATACCACATGCAGCATCCCTTGGGCCTGTCATCAATGAGGTTTGTGTTAAAACAGTTACGGCCGCGAGAAGAACACCACTCCCCGTGATACCATACCTAAAATAAATAAAAAATAGGGGTTGATCGTAGAGGGGTGAAAATTAGGGGTTGTATGTATTTTTTAATGCTGTATCATAAAAAAATTAAAAATTATCAAAAAATTAAAAAAAAATTTTTAGGGGTACCCTTAACATTTAGGGGGATGAAAAATAGATTATGTAGAGCATCGGTTAAGCCGTTTCGGAGGAGTTTAACTACAAACAACGCAACACGAGAATTTTATATATTAGATATATGAAATTAAAAAAACAATAATTTCATTTAAAAATAATGTATAAATTTTGTCAAATCAGTGTGGACTTCAGAAAATATCAAGAAATTTTTTTTTTCGAGCTTAATCACAACAAACAAATTTTGTACCTTCTCAGGCACGGTAGAGACAAGACTAATGGCCAATCCCATTCTCTCCGCTCGACCCACTCGGCCAATGCGATGCACATAGTTCGATTTCTCGTCCGGTAGAGTCACGTTGATCACTTAAAAAGCGTAATTATAGTTTGATTACATAATTATAACATTTATTACTAACTCAACGGTCAATTTTTGTTTAGAAATGTTTTTAATACGTAGTTGGTCCCAAAGTTCTGTCACTAGCACATTATTTCTACATTTCGAGCAGGATTTTATAAAAAAATTATTGCATTCTATTTTGGAATGTTTGATTATTGTTTTAAAACAAAAAACAATAACTTTCCGTAATTTTTCACGATGGAGTGGACATTGAAAGTAAACCGAATAGTTGTTATGGCGTTGCACCGCTGTGGACACTCGCCGAGTACCATTTTCAAGTTGCTCAAAAATTTGAATATAACGCTTAGGTTTGTGTATGGTACTATTGATAGGTACCTTGAAGTCTCCAGTGTTGAGGACAAGAAAAGAACTGGCTGGCCACGCTCCGCAAGAACACCAGCAGTAATCAAAGCTATCAAGGCGCGGATAGTAAGAAATCCTTTCCGAAAACAGAAGTTGATGGATTTGCAGATGGGTGTCAGTAGGAAAACAGTAAAAAAGGTTTTAAATGAAGATCTTGGTCTACGAGCATACAAAAAAGAGTGGGCACTTACTTAATGCTCGTCTAAAAGCAATAAGGCTTAAGAGATCGCGGGTGTTGTTTAAGCGGTACGCTAAAAACCGACACCGTGATATCCTCTTTACGGACGAAAAATTTTTCGATATTGAAGAGAAGTACAATAAACAGAATGATACAGTGTACGCTAGGAGTTCTGAAGAAGCTGAAAATAAAGTTCCAAGGGTGCAACATGGACATCATCCATCATCAGTAATGGTTTGGTTGGGAGTGTCCTATTACGGGCTAACTGAGGTTAATTTTTTCGAAAAGGGGGTCAAAACCAGTGCTACAGTGTACCAAGAGACGGTTTTGTATCGCCTTGTCAAAGACCTGTCCAGCACCCTATTTGCGGGACATCACTTCGTGTTCCAGCAGGACTCTGCGTCTGCATACAAAGCCAAGACCACTAAAGCCTGGTTTGAGCGTCAAAACATCGTCTTAATTAGACATGAGGATTGGCCTTCCTCCAGTCCGTACCTTAATCCTTTGGACCAGAAATTATGACAGGGCTTAGAGAGGAAGGTCTGTGATAAACCTCATGAAAATTTGGAGAATCTGAAGTCATCTTTAAAAAAACCAGTGACTGAAATCGACACGAATATGGTGCGTGCTGCGATAGACGACTGGCCGCGACGCTTAAGGGCCTGTATTAAAAATGAAGGAGGTTATTTCGAATATTTTTATGCTTTTTTTATTCCTTAATTAATGTACTAAGAATTGATATATCACTCATTACAAACTGATCAGTACTTTTGTTTTTATCATTATTTCCATTTATGACAGAACTTTGGGACCGACTACGTACATATAAAGAGTTACTTGACTTTAAAAAGAGGTCAAAAACCTGAAGGAAAAGGGTAACTATTGTGCGTATTGCAATAAGGGATCGTTCAACTATTACGTCCCCATGTGACGCGCCGTAACGTGTTTCTGTACCCAAGTATAGTAAAACGTTTCGTGACCACCTATTGACTCTTTATACCTAAAAGTTACCAATATGAGGTGTAAAGTACTGGAAAGTCGAAAATAATATTAACAATAACGCGTAATTCAATCCACGCCCCGTATCGTAACGTTTTACAAAAGGACCCCCTCCCCCAATTCGTTACGTATACGAGAACGCACCCTAAGTTATAAATAAAATTTCAATTCAATCAATTGATTTTTCTAAAGGTTTGAGATAGTTAGCTAAAATAAAAGTCAAGATTCTATAAACTAAATTTTCAAGGTCTTTAACTATAACTATAGCATAGTCTATAACTCAAGGGTTTGACTAAAAATTAACTAAGCACTTCATTTGTACTGAATAATCTGTGGTTTATGGGCAGAGACTGGAATAAACCAGTCAAAAGTATCTAAAGAGAAATATATGTTGCGAGTGACTCAGTGTCTAAATAAAAACTGTATAGGAATGTCATGCCTGATCGTGTGACTTTCCATGCAACTACAAACTACCTAACAAGTATACTTACTGAATGGCAACCCTGATATATCTATGCCTCTAGCGGCAACATCGGTACAGATAAGAAACTTCACTTGGGACTGTTTAAATTTTTCCAAATTAGCTTTTCGTTCGGCAGGTTTACGATCTCCATGCAGACAGACACACGAAAACTCGCTCCCGAAAGATTTAAGAAACCGCTCCAAATTATCACAATCGAGTTTCGTACGGCAAAACAGTAAAGCTCTGCGGGAAAAAAATTAAATTGCATTTTTATAGATATAAACAAAGCAGTTGGTCAAATACAGTATAATTAAGTGATTTTTAAAATGTTTGGTATTATTATAAATTTAAGAGCAGTGTTAGCCTAGTGGCTTCAGCGTGCGAATCTCATCCCTGAGGTCGTAGGTTCGATCCCCGGCTGTGCACCAATGGACTTTCTTTCTTTGTGCGCATTTAACATTTGCTCGAACGGTGAAGGGAAAACATCGTGAGGAAACCGACATGTCTTGGACCCAAAAAGTCGTGTATCAGGCACTGGAGGCTGATCATCTACTTGCCTATTAGATTTAAAAATGATCATGAAACAGATTCAGAAATCTGAGGCCAAAACCTAAAGAGGTTGTAGCGCCACTGATTATTATTGTTTGATAAATTCCTTCCTTATATATAAAATCTAAACTTTTATTATACCGTTATAAATTATTTGGGAGAGGATTAGAGCTGAGTATGACAGGAGTGTTAATCAAAAATGTACCTCTAATAGATATTTAATATTTGTTTAAATAAATTCATTAAGTTTTCCACAGAATTACATGAGCTTATACCATCACTACATTTATATGAAATAGTGATACTATTTGAGTTCAGAGGTACCAGCTGTTAGCATGAGAACCTTTAATGAAATGTTAAATAAATGCGACTTAATCTGCGTGCGTGTATGCGTGTTTAAATTATCCATCAAAAAACTTATGCAACATTTTATTAGTCTTAGATAATATTTCTAGTAATAATAAACCAAAAGACTACATAACATACCTGTCCATTTTATGTTCCCTAATCGCACGAACGCAGTATTCTCCTTTCAGTACTTTGACAGCTTCAGACAATGTTTCAGGGGTAGTGTTACCGCTTCTTATATTATCCTTAGAATGGACACCATCCGTTTGGATTTGCCTGCAATAAAGAAATCTTTTAAGTTTTACGAAATTTTTTAAAACCCTTTATGCTGATGATGGAAAATTTTATTTTTATTTTATTTATTTATATCACTGTTTAATAGCCTATTTAATTATAGTATATCTAAATTAGAAAATAAAGGGCAGCAATTTTTTAACACTACTAACTTCCTTGCAGTCTGCCAGAAGAGATCTTTCTGTGGATCAACATTGACCACAACATGATGAACCGTTTCTGGCACTGCATCTTCGCCTTTCAAGTCCACCCAGGTTGGGAAGTGCATTAATTTTTCCTGTAATATCATCCATAGAAGAGTCATTTTTAACATTTATTGTTTAAACTATATAAAATATTGTAAGGTAAATACATAATATATACTGCAGTGTCTGCATACAATAAGGTCACTTAATAGCTGACCCTGTAATGGTCTTGACTTGAATAAGATGATTACAGGGTATCTATCTCGGGATGTAACTTTTGCGTTTTGTAGGATAGTTAAGGACAGTTAGCTTAATAATATATAGTGACAGAATTGCTTTTGTCTGAGTTTTGATGAAACCAATAGCTTACAAAAAAAAACAGTTAATACAGCGTTATAATATTTTTGATATATGTACTTACCGCCATTTTCTTGACTTCAAAGGCATGTAGAGTCGCTGAACAAACAACCATCTGTAATCGTCGTCCATCTGAAGTAATTTTCGGTATTTGCCTATGTAGCCTTTCAATAAGCTCGCCACACCCTGCTTTCAGTAGACCATCAGCCTCATCCAATACGAAAAAACGGCAGTGTGTTAGGGCTAAATAACCTGAATAATAATAAAAAATATCAATATACTTTATTAAAACTTAACAGTAACATACAAACAAATAATACTTATTTTATTATTCCAGATTTATTTTCTGAACTATCATAAATATTGTCTTACCTCCTTGTATAAGATCTTCTAACCGACCTGGAGTACCAACTACAATATCAACACCAGAATTTAATTCATTTATTTGATCTTTAACATTTATTCCTCCCACAACTAACAATTCCCTAATTTTTGGATTGTCTAAATGCTTTTTAAATAACGTTATTTGGGAGCAGGTTTGTTCTGCTAATTCTCTTGAAGGCTGAAAAATTAGATTTAGTATTAAATTAAAAGAAAATATTTGACACCTTTTTATTTCATTTAGATGAATTTAACTAACTTCCAATACCTATCAACATTTATCAACCTGGGTACTTATATTACATGAAGCCAGCAGTGTTGGCCTGTGGTGGCTTGAGTGTGAGACTCTCATGCCTAAGTTTGTAGGTTCAAACCATGTCTGTGCACCAGACCCAAAAAATTTGTGCATATTTGAGGCATAGAAGGCTAATCACCTACGTTTCTTTGAAGAAAAATCCTTACACAACAGATACCGAAATCTGAGGGCAAGAGCAAAGTTTATAGTGTAACTGGTTTTTCTTTTATATTAATACACATGTCCCCTTCTAGAAATACAAACACTAAAAGACTGATATTAATTACCTCAATAATAATAGCTTGTGGTGCATTATTAACTGGTTTACACGAGCCTGTTGCAGCCCCAGCTGAGACAACATTCACTTTGACAAATTCCTTAGGTGCTTGACCAATAGGAGTATAGTCTTTAGGAAGGGGTTGCTATAAAAATAATTTTAACTAAACATTAACAACTTTAGGAATCAATAAAGAAATTTGTTATTAAAAGAAGAACCATAATCAAGACATGATTCATCTATTTCTCTCAATAACAAAAAAGCATGACTTCAATATTTAGTTTTTGTAATCCCAAGTTGAGCAAATCAGAAAATTGGCTAATTAATGAGCTTCTAACAATTATGGTGTTATCCAAGAACAGACTTACAATGTAGTTATTTCAATAAAGGGAAAATGGTGCAAACAAAACCTCAATATTGCAAGTCACAATTACTTTAGCCATTTGAAGCACTGGTCATTTTTACAAATCTATCTTATAATTTTCTTTAACATATTTTTTTTATATAAAGCATCTGACTCAGCATAATTTTTAATTACACTGCTTCTATTATAAAATAAGGCTCACCTTAAATGGTGTTGCACCAAAATTAAAGGTCATTTCAGCATTTTTTAAAACAACAGCAGGAAAATAGCAGTCTGACCTTCGGGACTGATCTAATTTAAAAGCAACACCTAGATCCTCACCATTCTTTGTATATTTAATTTCGCCATTGTTTAAATTTAACATACAACCTGTAATTAATTATATTTATATCATATATACATAACTAACAAAATCCAAATATTAAAGGACACAAGAATTATAAGTCTGATCTTTTTTATTACAAAAACAGAGGCTTATTTTTAGTTTAAATATAAAAACTTTATATGTTCCAAAAAATATAAAGATATTTAATATAATTTTTTATAAAACACAGATATTTGAGACATACCTATTACATCATTTTTCCCAAAAGCACTGCCATAATCATCAAACTGTTTTGCATTTGACTTCTTCCCTGTACCACCAAATCCAAAGCCTAGTCTATCAGTACCTAAATCTAGTCTTGCCTGGTAGATGAAATACAATATTAATATTAAAAAAGAAAATATTGTTCTGCTAGAATTTTTTGAGAGTTACAGTAAAGAAAACGTACCGCTTGCGTAGACCAACCAACTCTGCATAGGCCTTCATCAGTAACAATAGCTTCGTAGTAGTATAAACCCTTTGTGTGTACACCTTTAGTTGCTCTACAGCCATGCCAACCTGATTGATCACGAGACTGGCACCGTAAACCATCAGGTGTGACGGCTAATGCCTCTGTTCGGTCAAAGAACGACATGGTCCATTCTGTCGATGTTTGTGTAATAATTTTACTTGTTTTTCCTTCTTGTATATCTTTAAGAGTTTCCCATACAATTTGTATTATAGGTAAGCAAAAGGCACCAGTTTTTCCACTGCCAGTCTCTGCAGCCATCAACACATCTCCTCCACCAAGAATAAGAGGAATAGCTTCGGCTTGGACATCTGTAGGTAGCGTCCACTCCATTTCATCTATTGCTTTCCCTAGTTCGGGAAGGACTCCAAATTCTTCAAATGCAGTCATTTTAAAAGGAATTATATTAGATCGTAGGTGCAAAAATCTTGCCCCGCTGCCCCGGTAGATTGACGTTTCTAAATTCTATCTAATACACAGACTACAATCCACATACAGGTTTAGTAGATGTAAAAATTTTTTTTTTGAGTTTATGGCCTATTCTCAAAAATCATTTTTTTTACATGAATAATCGATTTTTCTTAAAAAAATAATCGATTTTTTTATTAATCGATTTTTTCAAATTTTTGAATTAATTTCAAAATAAACACCCTAAATATTTTATTTTTCATAGTTTTTTAAATTAAAAATAAACAATAGAAATTATAAACACAAATTAACGTTTAAGAATAATCAAAATCGAAATTAATTAATTCTTTTGATAGATTTTGATAAATGCTGAGTGTATTCCTTTTCAGTACAATTCAGTATTTTTGTTGTCTTTTTAATTGTATGTAGTCTTGTGCTGCTGAAAAAAATTATTTTACTTTTAAATTATAGTGATCCATTCAATCTTTAGTTTTTGTAAAATTAACTGCTTTTATCATCCTTTGATGTTTTACAAAAAAATCAATGTATCGAGTATATCAATACATCTTCAAAGAATCGGATTCAATGTATCGCATTGTAAACATTGTGTATCGAATATCCCTAATAGTTCGAGGTCCGGTTATAAAAGACCAGACATAATGTCGGGGGTGGCAGATAAAAAAAAGGATTATGACTGATTTTCAATTATAAAAATAATCGATTATTTTAAATATAAAAATCGCTAAAAAAATAGATTTTTACTTCTAAAAAATCTATTTTAATCGATTTTTTTAATAATCGATTATTTTTTCACATCCCTACCTGGTATCTAGACCTTTAGGCCAAGTAGAGGTAAATATATACTAATAGTACAGAAAACGCATAACGTATATTATCCACAGAAGGCATTACTCAAAATCGCTTCCCAACTGTGTAAACATACGTTGGTTTAACGAATAAAGATTTCAATGAGATATATTTTTATATTAAGTACCGAATTTACATTTTACTAAGGTAAGGTAAGTAAGTAAGGTTTAGGTAGGTATAAAATTTACTAGATTTTTTATAAATAAGCAAGTTGATTTCAATTTATGCTATTATCTTTATTGTTTCCTAAAACCTATATTGTTTGGCTTAAAGGTCTAAAAAAACTTACATTCATATATTGTCAACATGACATGACAGTTCGTGTCGAAAAGTTTTCATACAAATTTAGTTTTTGACGTTCTACATTCTACATACACTACTGTTAAAGCATCTTGACTAAGGCCCCTTATCATCTTAAATCTTATTTCATTCTTAGTTATTAATGTTATACATAAATATGAACGTAACCTATAAAGAAATTAGAAACTAGTTTTGTATGCGGGACTCTGATTTTTTAATGAAATTGTATGTAAATCAATCATGGAATTAGGTGTATTGGAGCAAACTGACACGAAACGAAGTAATCGGCTTTCAACTTTAGGTAAAACACTTATATACGCCACTGGTGGTCTAGCAGTTGGTGTTAGTGTTATTTGTATACCATTTGTTTCGCCAGCCTTCAGAAAAGTATGCCTTCCATATGTGCCTGCAACTACAGAACAATTGCTAGGAGTCACAAGGGCATTAAAGGGTCGCACAGGGAATTTATTAGATGTTGGGTCGGGTGATGGCCGAATTGTTTTCACAGCTGCAAAATTGGGATTCAAAGCACATGGAGTGGAGCTAAATACAGTGTTAGTGTGTTACTCGCGTATAGCGGCACTCTTTAAACGTCAGTATCACAATACAAGATTTTTTAAGAAAAATCTTTGGAGTTTTGAATTAAAACCTTATAATAATATAGTGATATTTGGAGTAGAACAAATGATGCAAGAATTTGAAAAAAAGGTCACGCAGGAAGTGAATAATGGAACTGTTATTGTTGCATGCAGATTTCCTTTACCAAACATGGTGCCTATAGAAACAATCGGTCATGGTGTTGATACTGTGTGGAAATATATTATCAAAAGATAAAATATATACATTTTAATGAATTCTTAGAAACTAGATTATATATATATTTAAAATCGACCACTTCTTTTTCTTCCTGTGTATTTAGTATCCGGTTTTGTTTCTTTGCCTTGTTTTCTTCTCCTTTCTTTTTTCTCTAGTAACCAAGCCTTTGTATTCTTTAAAGGTTTACCCCGCAACTTCTTAGAAGCTTCTCTTCTGGCATATTTTATTTCTAGACTATTATCTTCTTCTTCAGTACCTAATAAAAAATAGTATGTAAATTTGAAGCTCTAGTAAATAATTACAATTAAGTACATAATATTATATATAAATAATAATACCTAAAGCTTTTGGCAATGGAGCTGCTCCACCAGTCATAAGGACTAAGAAGAATTTTTTAGCTTTAGCTGAATTTGGGAAGTCCACCACAACACCTCCATAAAAACCAGCTTTCATTGCTTGTGATGTCAAAAGATTTAGTTGGCTCTCATTTTCTGGATAGAACTGGAATACTGCTCTAGCAGATCTTGACTGAAAAATGTAAGGTTAAATGGTGGTAATGGAACCAAAGGGTTGGGTGTTAAATACCACCTCACGTTTTTGACGATACTAATTATCTAGGAGTGTCCGGGGACCTTCATTGGAACACCTCCAAGTGAGTTTTGCTCCGGAAACGCGTCTTAATATTTTTATAAAAAATTTAAAGTTTTGTGTAATGTATTAAAATTTGTAAACAATCCGCCATTTTCTACTTTTCTATTGGTTATAAGTGATGTGACGTTCACTTAAAAAAATCGTGTTTTTAATTTATCGATTGTTAATAATCGTTTTATTTATTTATCGATTATTTCCTCATTTTTGAAATTTAAAGTTATAGAATAATCAACATTGAAATTAACCTAATTTCGTGTTGATAGATTATAGGGTTCCGAAATTTTTTGAAATTATCGATACCTACTCGTCTGTATTTTCTAATTAGTACTTGTATTTCATTGTTTGCAACTTTCTATATTATTTAATTTTTACTAGAATAAAGTGTTTACTTTAATATCCAAAAAGTACCCAAAACCGAATCAGAGCACCCCACTATCCACGTGGTCTTGTCTGTCTTACCCCTAGAGTGTATATAAATAATCGGAGGCGCGGAGGAAGAGCAGCCCCCACCCGCTGTAACAAAGCACAGGCATTATGAAAGCTGTAGCGGCTGAGGCTGGTCGCCGAAGGCGACCAAAAAGCCGAGGTTGCGGAGGCTTGAATAAAATGCCTGTGCTTTGGTACGCAAGGGTGGAGGGGCTGCATTTCCCGTAGCGCCGGAGCTGTCCACAAAAAAATTTTTATTTAGATTGGTTAGGTTAGAGTTAGTATATGAATATTTGGTCGCCGAAGGCGACCAGGACGCCGAGAAGCCGAGGCTTGAATAAACAATTACTATTTAGATCGGAGCTGTCCACAAAAACAAATATTATTTAGATTGGTTAGGTTAGAGTTAGTATATGAATATTTGGTCGCCGAAGGCGACCAGGACGCCGAGAAGCCGAGGCTTGAATAAACACTTACTATTTAGATCGGAGCTGTCCACAAAAACAAATATTATTTAGATTGGTTAGGTTAGAGTTAGTATATGAATATTTGGTCGCCGAAGGCGACCAGGACGCCGAGAAGCCGAGGCTTGAATAAACAATTACTATTTAGATCGGAGCTGTCCACAAAAAAAAATATTATTTAGATTGGTTAGGTTAGAGTTAGTATATGAATATTTGGTCGCCGAAGGCGACCAGGACGCCGAGAAGCCGAGGCTTGAATAAACAATTACTATTTAGATCGGAGCTGTCCACAAAAACAAATATTATTTAGATTGGTTAGGTTAGAGTTAGTATATGAATATTTGGTCGCCGAAGGCGACCATGACGCCGAGAAGCCGAGGCTTGAATAAACACTTACTATTTAGATCGGAGCTGTCCACAAAAACAAATATTATTTAGATTGGTTAGGTTAGAGTTAGTATATGAATATTTGGTCGCCGAAGGCGACCAGGACGCCGAGAAGCCGAGGCTTGAATAAACAATTACTATTTAGATCGGAGCTGTCCACAAAAAAAAATATTATTTAGATTGGTTAGGTTAGAGTTAGTATATGAATATTTGGTCGCCGAAGGCGACCAGGACGCCGAGAAGCCGAGGCTTGAATAAACACTTACTATTTAGATCGGAGCTGTCCACAAAAACAAATATTATTTAGATTGGTTAGGTTAGAGTTAGTATATGAATATTTGGTCGCCGAAGGCGACCAGGACGCCGAGAAGCCGAGGCTTGAATAAACACTTACTATTTAGATCGGAGCTGTCCACAAAAACAAATATTATTTAGATTGGTTAGGTTAGAGTTAGTATATGAATATTTGGTCGCCGAAGGCGACCAGGACGCCGAGAAGCCGAGGCTTGAATAAACAATTACTATTTAGATCGGAGCTGTCCACAAAAAAAAATATTATTTAGATTGGTTAGGTTAGAGTTAGTATATGAATATTTGGTCGCCGAAGGCGACCAGGACGCCGAGAAGCCGAGGCTTGAATAAACAATTTCTATTTAGATCGGAGCTGTCCACAAAAACAAATATTATTTAGATTGGTTAGGTTAGAGTTAGTATATGAATATTTGGTCGCCGAATTTTCAATTATTTTTAATATTAAAATCGAATACAAAAATCGATTTTCACTTTAAAAAAAATCGATTATTTTTCACATCCCTATTAATTTTATAAACTTAATCGGCCATTTTGAATGTGGTTTATGCTAGACTAGCGGTCAGTGTGACCAGATTTAGTAGATTTCTACTTTTTTGGTAGATTTTGAGGTACTGGCAACAGAATTTAGTATGTAAAAATTATTTGGTATATTTTAGTAGAATTCACGTTTATCAGTTATTCTAGTAGGTACTTTTTTGGCACATCGAATAAATGCGGGGTATTCCCCTTTCATCGATTGGGTGGTAAGTTCTATTGAATTTTCGTTATTTTCGTTACTATAAACCATTCGTTCCGTGACTCGTGAGCATATTGTGATTAGTGGGAATACCTTTACTGAGAATTTATATAATCGAGTATATAATGAAACGTAAATATACACAAATATATCGCGATGAATGGGAGCAAGATCCCTCATTTAAAAGTTGGTTGTCTAAATCTAGAGTAAACACGAGTGCTCATTGTAAAGCATGCAACTGTGAAGTACTAAGTAGAGTGGCATCTTTAAAGGAACATATGGCTACATCAAAGCATATAAAAAACATGAAAGGATATTCCGGCATTTCTAAGGTACGTAAGGTACTTACATTGATATGTGGAATGTAAGTCTTAGTTAATTATTTTTGTTAAAAAAAATTTAATACTTTCATCGTGAACCCGTATTATGTTCTAAACCTTATGATTTCCATTCAAAAACAAACTTTCGCTGTTTTAAGTATGTTTATTATCTACACATTTACATAACAATTATTATTATACAACTATGTGTGTTTATGCATGTTTATTTATTTAAATGATATATTAAAACTAGCAGACTCGGCCAAGCGTTGCTGTGGCTAAGGTTTTTGTTATATTACATAGTAGTAAACTATTCAAGGGAAACGGTAGGAGAACGTATGTGAAAGGTAGCTTATGTGAAACGTTGATACTTTTAACACAGCGCCATCTGTTAGGGGTAGGAGAACTTATCTTAAAGGTAGATGAAAGCTTATGTGAAACGTTGATACTTATAACACAGCGCCATCTGTTAGAATTGTATCAAATAATAAACAAATATTTTGCAATAAAATAATATTGCGACTATAATTTGAGATTTAAACTACCTTTTAATTTGGATCAAACTACACACGGTGTGCAAATTTGATTGATATCGGTTCGGTAGTTTAGGAGTCCATTGAGGACAAACATTGTGATACGAGATTTATATATATTAAGATTGCTTAGTTTTTGACTTTTTTTTTTGTCCTGCATACTTATTTTTAACTTTTTTGTTTACAGATTGATACGATTTTTAAAACATCAACTATTTCGGAAGAAGTAAAAAAAGCAGAAATCAGCATTGTAGCTGCATTAGTGGAACATAATATTCCTTTTCGCGTAATGGATCACGTAAGCGAAGTTATTTCAAGGGCATTTCACGACTCTGAAATCGCAAAACGTTTTTCCTGTAGAAGAACTAAATCTGCCGCAATTGCTTACAACGTCTTAGGCAATAACTTCGAAGAAAAAATGCTTGCAGAATTACGTCCAAGGCTGGAAAATGAAACTGAGAGAAGCCCAGTATTTTCGCTCATTATCGACGAAAGCACAGATGTCAGTACTACCAAGGTACTTGCAGCAGCAATAAAGTACTACTCAGAAAAATTGCAATCTCCACAAACAAAATTTTTGTGTATGGTGGACTTAAAAGGTGAAACTGCGCAGTATTTGTTTGATAGTTTAACATGTGCCTTATCTGAAAGAAACCTTAACATAGAAAATTTAATAGGGTTCGCTGCTGATACAACGAATGTTATGTTTGGCGAAAGGAATAGCGTGGTATCTAAAATTAGGGAAGTCAACCCAAACTGTATTTTTTTTAAATGTATTTGCCACTCAACAAATCTTTCAGTAAGTTATGCATGCAAAAAATTACCTCGTTCTATAGAGTTGTTTGTCAAAGATGTTTATTCATACTTCTCTCACAGTAGCCAACGTCAAAGAGAGTTTGTCGAATTTCAAAATTTTACTGACACTCCAACTCACCATATGCTTCGTCACTATGATATCAGGTGGCTTTCTCTACATCAATGCATTCACCGAATTATAGAGCAGTGGTCAGCATTAAAACTTTTTTTTCAAAATGAGTTTTTAGGAAATAAGAATGCAAATGCTACTTGTCAATTTATATTTGATCACCTTAACAGCGATGAAACAAAACTTTATCTTTCCTTTTTAGATTTTATATTACCCATAACTACAAAATTTAACGTTATTTTTCAAAGTGATCAGACGCTCATTCATAAAATTGACACAGATATACAAAACATGATGAGTTCCATTTTGAGTTGTTTTATGAAGATAAATTATATTAAAACTACTTCGCTTCAGTCAATAGATCCCAGTTCAAGTATGCATTTCCTTCCTATACAAAACATGTACCTGGGCACAAACGTAGCCATAACATTGGAATTATTAAAAGATGATGTTCGAATGAAATCTAAAATTGAAGAGTTTCTTAACAGATGTCAAGCATTTTTGATCGAGCTAAGTAAACAATTTCTCCAAAGACTGCCTGTACAAGATAATTTCTTGCAGGATTTGTCGTTTATCGATCCCCAAAAGGCAGTGTATGGTGAATTTCGAACTCTAATAAAAATACTACAAAGGTTTCCTAACTTAGTTACAACAGAAAATATGCAAATTGTTGACAACGAATATAGGGAATTAAAATTAGATGTTTCCGTGTCTAATTTATTGTCAACTTCGAGTTCAACTTCTGAAAATTTTATGGTGGATAAATTTTGGAGTGAGGTCAGCCAAATTTGCGATGCGAATAGCAAACCAAAATATGGCAATTTGGCCCGGTTTGTGAAGCAAATGACAATACTACCTCTGTCTAACGCCAAAGTTGAAAGAATATTTTCCGATATTAATAGAATTAAAAGTCAAGATAGAAATCGTTTTAATAACAAGAATGTTGCTGCAATTATGCATGGAAAAGAGGGGCTACGACAGTTGGAAGGAGGATGTAGCAGATTTGATCCTGACAAAAGTATGATCAAGCTAATGGACTCAAAACAGCTTTATGACAATATCCAACATAACGACGAAAAATCTTAGCTTTAAGTTTCATTTTATTATTATTAATTTAAAAAAAAATTGTAGTAAGAATTAAATTAAAAAAACTTCGCTTCTTTAATTAATCTTTACTACTTTTATTATTTTATCGTTTAATCAAGAAAATTCATGTTTTACGTTGTAAACCAACAGCAAAAAAATATAATAGATTTTTTGTATTTTCTCGTTCCTTTCGGTAGAATTCAGTAGTTTTTAACCTCCACGAGCAGTAGATTCGTCAAATGAAATCTGGTCACACTGCTAGCGGTAATTAGTTTTACAGTGCAAAGTTTACTTTATAAATCCGTTTCTTTTTTATTTTCACGTGAAAGTGCGTTATTTTATTTGCATTTTTTGAAACTTGGCTTTACATACATAATCAACACTGATTTCTCGCGATCATTTTCAGATTTATAGTGATGGCGTCTACAAGTTCTACTCGTGAAAATGATTTTGAGGACGATGGGTCCGTTGTGAATCGTGACTTGAATAGTGAGGAAGTGGTCTCATTGTGGAATCTGATTAGATTATATAAAAAAATTAGGTACCAATGAGCAGTGTGTGGCATTCGCTGAAGAAAATGGTTTAGTGCATTCTCAAAAGCAATGTAGTACACATCGTAAACCCATGAAAATTGCTAAATCGACGAATAAAACATTTGGTTCATGGTGTTGCACGAAAGGAAATTGCAGATCAAAAACTAAAGTTCCTAGAAATAAAGGAACATTTTTCGAAAATATTAAAATAGAATTAGTTCATGTTTTCTATTTATTATATGCGTTTTCGCAAAATTGGAGCTATCTTACAACCATGCGTGAAGATCCATATAAAGATGATAGACTTAAATCCTTAAGCCGAGTTACTATATGTGATTGGTATAGTTATTGTAGGGAAACTATAGTTATATATCAAATGGATAAAACTCAAGCGGTAGGAAAGATTGGTGGCCCAGGGAAGATAGTCCAGATTGATGAATCTAAATTTGGGAAAAGAAAATATAATCGAGGTAATTATTTTATAGCACTATTAATTAATATTTACTATATGTGTTATTAGTCTGTTTTACTCCTAGAGTGTAATTTAAAAACCAGAGCTGTCCAATAACCCTATTATTATCACATCTACAAAATTTATTTAACTCATTAAGCTTATTAACTAATTCTTTAATTGTTGTAGGACGACATATTGAGGGCTATTGGGTCCTTGGTATGATCGAAGACAAATCTGAAGACCTAAGATTGGAAGTGTGCCCAAATAATATTCGATCAGCTGATATATTACTTCCTCTCATTCAAAAACATGTTGAAGTTGGTACTATCATTCATACTGACTTCTGGAAAGCATACGATTGTCTGGCAGACCATGGGTACATACATCAAAAAGTGAATCATTCAGACCCTGAAAACCCGTTTGTGGCTGAAGATGGAACCCATACGCAAAGGATTGAGTCACAGTGGAGGGCAGTAAAAAGATTTTTTAAAAAGGATAATTATAATAACTCTGAAAATTTTTCAGATCATGTCTATGAATATTTGTGGCGGCGAAACAATACAAAACATAAAAAAGACCCATTTTTGGAGCTAATTAAAGCTGTCAAATATGTCTATAAATTAAACACTGACTGACCGATTTTTTATTTTGCTATATTGCTTATTTTGCTTTTGTTTACTGCTCTACACGTGCTATGGCTATGTATTGGGCCCTGGTGGTTTTAGTGGGTATGGGGACCATCGCATTTTACGACCTTGATCCCCACACTCCCCGCGCCAATCACACTTGCCCAGGCGCGGGGGCCCGTAATCGGGTTTCCCCAGGTGAAAAAAAAAAAAAAAACGCGTTTTTTTGACGCGTTTCCGGAGCAAAACTCACTTGGAGGTGTTCCAATGAAGGTCCTCCGAGACTCCTAAATAATTAGTATCGTCAAAAAAGTGCGATGGTATTCAAAACCGTTACCGAACCAAATAATATAAGGCACCTTATTTAATAAATATATAAATACTTACCAAGGCAGCATATAATGTACTAAAAAATGTATATAATCTCTTAACAGGGTGATGAGACTTTTTGTCAGCATTAAATAACCACTGAAGAGCTGATACTGAGACTGCCCCATCAAAACTGCCTGGCCTAAATGGTACACCTTCACCCATATCTGATAATACTACATCTCCTTCAATTTCTCTTTCTATTGCAACATCTGGAAAATACAAGTTGATAATAATAGCTAAAGCTTGCATAGCTTTTTATAATGTTTTTTTTCCTATATTGAAATTGAAAAGACTCACCCAACATTGCTTGAGAAATATCCATACCAATCCACATATGACCATTTTCTTCAAGAACTGTGCCTGATAATCCTGATCCACAACCAATATCCAGAAGCAAACAAGGAGTATCTTCTGGTAGTAGCAATAGTTCTATACACCGTTCAGTCATTTGTGCTTGAATGTCTATTATTCTAGAACTGAACGAAAATAATCTATGATATAAGACATTACTTAATATAATTTATAACATCAAAAAACTACGCGCTTACTTTTGAGTATATTTTCGAGCTTCCTCTTCATTGTAAAACTGAAAGTACGTACGTATTTATGATTAATAACTTTATTAGAAATTTATAGATTAAACTAATCAACATTTTTACCAGTTCAGGAGGAGCTTGATGTTCCGGCCTTCGTGACATATTTTTAATTAAAAAAAAATAATTTTAACTTTAACTCAAAATATGTTTTTTAAAAAAACATCATTAGTCTAACCTTAAAACACGTTTTGTTTTGAATTTTGACTATAGAGTTTCTTGTATAGATATAAATTGTCAGCTGTCACGTTTTAAAGATTGTACAACAGTGCGTTTTCCAATTACAGAGCATTTTTCGACTCAGTGCCGCACAATGCCGCATAATGCTGAAGCTTAATTGGAACGTGAATTAGTTTTCAAATGCATCAGCAGAGTGCGCTTAATCAGTATTGACAAAAAAATGGTCTGAATAGAGGTAGCAACCTCATTAATGTATAAATAATGTGGTAAACAATAATAATTGTTTGAAAACTTTTTACGCTTAATTTAATAATCAAATTATTTCATTAAATTTTTTTTACTGAAATAAGAGAAAACCTTTAAAGAATATAAGGTTTTAACAAGCTAAATTAACAGTAAAATATTTAGTTTCATGTAAGAAGTTTACATCATTTACGTTTTGAGTAATATTTTTTAATGATTTCTAAAAAAATATATACTTTTTCAAAACCATTGCAATTTATTCTAAAGTATAATCCTGTAAAGTAAATTTGTTTACAGATCCGAATTTTAAAATAAAATTGTATTCATATTTTAAATGTGGAATATAACATTATACCTTCATCCATACTAATATTTATTTTTTTAGCAGTTTGAAATAACTTTAATTATTTTCAAAATCTACGACGAAACGAAAGCCTTACAAATTTTTCAACAATAAATAATATTTACTAACGAAAATTTCGATAAATGCCAACTTAAAGAAAAATACTGGTCAATTTTCTGTCACTGTGTTGGTATTGTTTGCGAGAGCATTCGTTTTGAGAGTGCTCAATTGTGCGAAGCGTTGCTGTAGTTGGAACACTCAACGTTGAGCATTATGCCGCAAAATGCGCTCTAGTGCTGTAATTGGAAAACGCACAGTGTTTATGTTGTTAGTGTTGTGTTGAAATTTAGCACTGACAAATATAATTTGTGATTTGTCAGTTATCAGCTGTTTCCATAGAGTAGGTTTAATATAGGGTTTTATTATTTAACTAATTATTATAAGGATCAGTTTACAGTTATCAGTCCCCAAGACTTGGGGCCCAAGTGTAGAATGTACTTCGGGTGAACAGTTTATATTTTTAAAATAAGTAAAAATAGTAGTTAGTTGTTTTCAATTTTCTTAAGCAAATTATTGAGTTAAACAACAAAACAATATATGTATAATATAGTGAAGAAAGAATCTAGAAAATTTTAATTATGCCTAAGGTTTTGAGTTTGAAGAAAGTACGTTACAGAAACGTTTTCATTCAACTTAAGTTAAATAAGATTAATTATTATAACGATTTAATACATTTACAGTCGCAGACACAGTCTTCCAAGGGTCAAAAGGCGATAACACAATTTTTTAAAGCAGCTCCTAATAGTATTTCTACCCCATTGAACCCTGAGAAGCAAGAACCTCTTTTCGTGAAACGTAAAGCAACTTCACCTGTGTTAGTCGAGTCGATCTGTAATTCGACAGCAAAATCCTCTCCAATAAAGGAAAATATAATTGAAAATCATGTAAAAAGGTGTAAGATCCAAAAAGATTATTTTGTAAAGGATAGTAAAAAAGTTTTAGTTGAATCCATTTTAGATGATCTTCCTGACAGACCATGTAGCAATGATAGTGCTTTGAATAGACGATCACCATTAACTGCTATATACAATGAAAATCATGGCGAAAGCAAATTATCCTGTAAAAATACTGAATCAAGTTTGTCTTCTATGAAATTATTGAGAACTCCTGAGAAATGTAGTAAGAATGGACAAAGTATATCATATAGCCCAAAATCCATGGTTGAAAAGAGCCCAAGAAGTTAGTACAATATTTTTTATTGAACATAATGTATTATAGTTCACATAAACATTAACTTTTAAAGTAAAGACAATCTCTTGTACCATGTTATAAATAATACATGTTTTTTTAAGGAAAATTTGCAAATAAAAGTAGAGAGGAGAGTTCACCATCAAAATGTGGGTCAACTATCAAGTTGTTAGAATTTGATAATGCTGGAGAGAATACAGATGATCTCTTTGCTGATGAATGGGATTTAAATGAATTAAATGAGGTAAGCTATACCTTTTATCCCTCTTATCAGTAAAATAAATGCTTGTAAAATCACCAACTTTGTATGTAAACACAAAAAATAACTTCTTTTTTCTGTTTTATAGAACACTAGGGAAGATTTAGATCTAACTATTATGCAGAGGTGTGAGGTTTTATCAGTAAAGTGTCATCCTACAAAACTGGAACTGAGATTGAAGAATAATGTTGACAGTCAATGCACTTGCTGTATTGAGGGAGTCTGGTATGCTTATTAAAATCTGTGTGTAATTTGAATAAAAAATATTTTTATCTTGGCTGAAACACAAGATTTTTACAGTTACAGTAGAAGCAAAAAATATAATATTTAATATTTTACACACAGTTAACTTAAATATTATTACAAACATATGTGATTTAATATTTAGTATGTAGTTTCTTAAAGACCAACTCCATTGAAATTACTTGGAATTTAGTAGCACTTAGATTCAGATCAGATCATGTGTAATTAGTTCACCATGTTAATTTTTTGATGTTATTCACACTTTATTACACAATATTGAAACTATTTTAAAAATATTAAACAAAAATAAAAACATTACAAAATGCTGTCACTATCCCACGACAAAAATACTTGTGAGGAAGTGCAAGAGTGCACTCTATTATAAATAAATAATAATTATAATTATTATACAAGGCGAAAAATAATAATAAACTTATCAAAAAAATTAAAAGAATATACGATTATTAACAACTCCAAATAGATGGAGGAATACAATATGGTTGTTAAGTCAGTATTTTAGGATAATTATCTTACGTAATATTCATACTATTCAGGATGAACACTCCAATTCAATCTGGAGAAATAATAAGTATATTAGCATCAAAAAACTCAGCGGGTCAGTATTTTGTAAACAATAACTATGGATTGTTGTCTTTGAGACCAGATCATCTTATATCTACTACCAGTGTAGTGGCTGGAGTATTTTGCAAGAGAAAGGCAGTACTTCAAGAACGATGGAAAGGGATTGACGCCGCTAATGTTGCAGTAAGTAGATAAAATATATATACTAGAAATAGATAATACATAACTTTAATCCGGTTAAAAAGTTTTTTCTTTAAATGTGTAAAGATTATGTCAATAAAAGACAATACTAGATAAAATAATTTTATAAAATGCATAAATTCCTTTAAAAATATACAAGTAAAAATTCTCTTCCTTATATCATTAGTTACTGTTTCATTGATGTTATTGTATTTATTGTTATTTGGTAATGTTTCTGGACCTCTCCAAATGTAGATATACTTTACAGTTTTATTACTTAGGTTATATACCTATTTAAAAAAAATCTATATTTAGATGACAATTGGGATTTTAATACATGAATTGGTACAAAAAGCCCTTACACAGAATATTAAAAAAGCATCTGACTTGCGCCAGTCATGTGCACATATAATAAAAGAATCACTACACATGTTATATGACGCTGGTATTAATGAAAAGGAAGCCAAAACTAATATGGAACAGTACATAACACCTCTAGAAGATTTTATGCAGACATATTACAGTAAAAATCCGTTGGTACGTAATGATTTTATTATCTTTAAATAATTTCTTATTAAAAGTTTTCTCTGTTCATCTTTAGTTTAAGGTAATTAACGAATATCAAAATTTAAAATTGATTTGTCTTTGGCTATCCAGAAATAAGTGTGTTCTAAACCACTTAAAACCATGATTTATTTCGTTTTGAAATGTTATTCTTCTTTCTTTCTTCTTCTGTTCTCTGTAAAAAATATAAACAAATATAACTTGAAGCCATTTAGTTTATGTCCCTCTAGCCTAACACATATATTTGATGTTTTTCTAAAGTATTATTTTCTTTGAATATCTTGTCTTATGTTCATGTTACAATTTTCACTTTGCAGCATCACAAAGCTAAATGGAATGGCAGAATAGAAAACGTTTTAGACATAGAAGAAAATATGTGTTGCCCAGAGTTGGGACTGAAAGGAAAAATAGACGCAACATTACAAGTAACCATCCAAGAAAAAAAAGGTAGGCTTAAGGGGGATAGGAAGGGTGATAAATTATAAATAGCTGTTTAACATATCCAGGATTAGCAACGTTAGTTAACGTCTACGAAAGGTTAAGTCACATCAAGGTATATCATACGTTATCGCATAAAAAATTTCTAAAATATTCCGCAATTATTGTATAGCACTCTCTAATTATAAAATATTGTATTTTGATGTATGTAACTCTTATAACGAATTTTTGTTCCTTTTGTAAAACGTTACTTATATACTTAAACGCTCCCTTATCTACAATTCGCTTAAAAATAAGTGAATCTACAATCTAACAGACGATTTTTCGTATTTGTTAAGGTGAATCACGCGAAATAGTTCCATTAGAATTGAAGAGTGGTAAAGCGTCTGGCTCAGTTGAACATCGAGGCCAACTGGTTCTGTATGGTATGATGATGAGTATACAACGGAATGAAGATCCCGCTATTACAATCCAAAGGGGCCTGTTGCTGTATTTAAAGTGAGTACGAATTTTTATTAAGCTGAGCTAAGTCTTGGCGACTACGTCATTAGTTTTGTAGACTTTTTGTTTTTTTCCATATAAAAACGAGTGGTTGTCTTATGTCTAGGTCTTCTCGTTCATTCACCACCCGAAATCTTACCCAAGGCCAAGGTTTACGAGCCAAGACAGATGTCCTTCGGGACATCCGATGTCTGTGAAGGTCTTAAACTTATCCGTATAGTGATTGAATGTTCAATTGTTTGAACATGGTTCATTATTATTCTCGAACACATTATCGTATTGAGAAAGGTTGTTTACTAATAGTGCGTGCGATTCTTAAACGTGATCTTGTGCATTTTAGCCATGTGCATGCGATATGCCTATGACTGCAATTAAACTTGCCCTTACGGTATAATAACAATAATAATTTATTTATTGCAAGAATATGGTACAAAAATGTTATGGTGGTACAATCGAAAGTTCGGATATTCTGCCAAACACAATGGCGCGCAAATTTGTCTTAGGGAATTTTATATTATTAGTCAAAGTCAATTGTTATATTATCTGTATCGTACATATCATACTTTATTAAATTTATATCAACTACAGTGTCTCACGCAAAATAATCATTGAAGTACATTTTTTCCAAAAGCAATATACGCAATGCGTACAATAAGTCGCTTTTTAAAGACTCTAGTCGGAAGATCTTTTAATTCTTTTGGTAATTTATTGTAAACTTTAATTGCCATACAAAGGGTGCTTTTCTGACACAGTTCCAAATTGATTTTTGGCTCAGCCAATTTTTCCCAAGAACTGGTCGTTATTTGGAACCAAAATAGACGTCGCAGCTAACCTAAACTTAGATCATGTTCTATACGTTGAAAGCGTACATCCATGTCCTTAATTCTTATAGGGAACAAGTGGACGTGAGAGAAGTCAGTTGTGGCTATCCAGAACGACGAGATCTCTTACTGTTGCGGAATGAGCTTGTTCAGCATCTTGCTTCCGGACCGCAAAGTGTCAAAACAGGTATTTAGATAATTCAATTCATATTCCTAAAATAAATTCTTATTTTGAACATCTTGAAATTTATTTTTTCACAAAACATACTAAAAAAATATTGGTTGTTGAAAGTAGGTTTACGATCGAGATGTTAACTTGATAACGTTTTATTGGTGATATAAGTTTTTGGGAAGTAAGGAATTAATGAAGATAACAATTTTATCAAATTTTAAATTACATCTATCGTTTTATTCACACTTTTGATGATAAATTTCGGGTGTAAAATGACAAGTTTACTTATTCGACTATGATATACATTTTTCTTCATACATTCACGGAATGACTGGCAGCGCTCGAGATGAGACGGGAGATCGGTCCGTCTCTCTCTCGTTATACCTGCGATCGCGCTCGTGAGGTTTTGGTGTGACACAAGTTTCTGAACATGTCAACATTAATTACTTGGTGTAATTATTTAAATTTGCCGTTTTCAATATAATAAATGTTTTATTTAATTGTTAAGGGCCCCCGTTGCATTCCTAGTTAAATTTAGAAGTTTTAAGAACTTTACTTCTTTACGATTTCAAAAACGTTTACATATTTTCCAAATTTGTCGTGACTCCAAACATAGCTTTGTATTATTATGCACCAATGTTAATTTATTATCTTATAGAATTAATGGATATAGAAGACGCGGCTAAGACGTTACAGCAAAGTTTACCGGAGCCAGTACATCATCACAACGCATGTTCTAAGTGTCCATATTTAACAATTTGCTCTCTACACTTGTGGTGAGTATCCTTCTAAAATATTAAAGCTAATATTCTAATAAATCATATGTCCTGTTACTAGTTGTTCATAAAATTGGATTTCGTATCTTTAAATAATTTTCTCGAAGCAGTGTGGTCAATCTATAAACAAAGGAGTGCGCCGTGCGTAAGATACATTCACTCTATATTTTACATACATTATGCCCCATTTTAGGCACACTAATGACGTCATTGTCTCTGAATCGCACCCGTTAGCCAAGCTGCGAGATACAGCATTAGGTCATTTGTCATCCACTCATGTATCGTACTTCCTACATTGGACGAGTTTGTTGAAGTTAGAGGAAATGGCTCAAATGTCAAATTCACCGTTACATGCATTATGGACTGTATCACCTGAAAACCGGTAATATATTGTATACAATCATCACCCCTTTATATGATTGCCAAGTTTCTGAAAAGATGATAATCATGTGAGCTAACTTATCAAATTTGCAGTCAAATAAGTGCAACCTAAAGATTGATCTAATATGTAGAAATTTACGATATTCAAATTGTCTACACGATGTTGCTAGAACAAACTTTCCAGCATTATTGCCATACTATTTATCTTCAAAATAAGTTCCGAGTTGAAGCCAAAACCATAAACTTATCATTGTTGCACGGTGGTAAAGAGGCTAAGGAATTAGTCCACCTGATGTAAAAAAGTCCGTTGAAATGAGTACAACGTTTAATAAGGTTATCTAAAAGGAGTTTTCCAAGTATGCTAGCTCTCCGTCGGGCCGGACAATATCTGTCAGTGTTGGAAAGATGATAAAGGTTCGAAAAATATAATAAACGGGCCGTAGTTTAGGAACACCCCTGGTCCTCAAAACCAGTTGTTAGAATTATTTTTACCAGATATTTTTTTTTAAGATAAGACGTTCACGTGAAGATGTTAACGGTAATGAGAAATGACATTCAAGTCAAATCTTGGTTTCCATAAACCTAAAGTGTTTATATTTGAACGTGATAAAATTTAATAGTATTGTAATTTCAGAGCGAAACGCGGCACTTGTTCTGCGAATTTAAAGCTGCTCCGTTAAAAAGGTACATTTGTTTAAGGATAAATACGCACATGTGTTAGAAAAGTATGAATAAAGGTTCGAAAAATATAATAAAATTTATTTATTTCACAGGAACTTAGACTAAAAATTCAACAAAAAACAGTTATTAAAGTATTTGGAACGTACGATGGAGCGCGAGAATAAAAAGATATAGGAGATATTAACTTTTTAAAATTAATATAATATATGTATTTGCATTCACAAGTAAATAAAAAAAAAATATTAGTGCTTTCGCCTTGCCCACGAGCTAATGTCTGGCCGTGAACGCAGGAGATATTTATATTATAGTGCACAAATATGTGCGCACCGACAAATCTTGATTCCATAACTCCCATACTTCGATGGCTCGGATGTCCGACATGACCGGAGTAACACGAGAGCAGGCGCAAGACCGATCACGCTACATATCCGATGCAGTTCAAACACCGCCAATTTCTAAACGTAATATAAAATATCTTCAGAAAAATCGCAAAGGAGGATTTAATTTTCGGTCTCATCCGGTATTTGAAAATCGAATATCTGCTGCAGTGCTTACTCCGTTCCAACTGTATCGAAAGCATGGCAATGGTATTTATAAGTTTATCCGAGTTAAAATAATCTTTGAATTTGAGTGATTGTTAATGACCACACTGCTCAAACTTAATTACATATTAGCGTTTGATTACTGTTGCTCTTGCTTAATACATTATTTTACTGTAGATATTGAAAACCATGCGCTGAAAGGACCAAAAGAAGGGGAATTTTCAATAGTCAGTTTGGATGCCCGACCGTGGGTTGCAGCGGGTGTAGTAACACTTACCACTAAGACTGAATTACATATTAATTTAGAGAGGTACGATATACATATCTACTTTTTAAATAAATTGCTTGACTATAAATTGAAAAGATTGCGTATTCGCGGCATGGTCGCCTGTTGCACAATATTTTATTTTTTTTTGTTATGTGCTAAATTGTTAATAAATCCCAATAATAATATATAGATTTTTATTTGGTCTTTTGTACCTTACTATATGGTACAAGCATATCTTAAAAATCGCGTTACTATGTTTGTGGTATCTACTTCTTAAAAACGCCAAGCCGATTGTATGAAGCTTTTTTGTACATATTTTGTTGGAAATACGCTATAAAAAATATCGAGGGACAGTTCGTTTAAAATATAATTATATTATTATTTATTTGCTTATGTAGATTTTGTGTACATCGTACATAAAATATATGGATTAATTTGATATAAAATTTAATATAGAATATTTTTTTCGTCGCTTAACTTTGTTTAGTTGATAGTATTATTTTATTGCTACCTTAAAAGAAATGCGTCCTGTTGTCTAGTATTGTACATAATGCTCATGTAACGTAGCTCCGGCTATTACATATATATAGTATTCTTGAGAATATTTTTCCTCATATAAGTTTTACAATTATCAATTTCCTGGAGTATATTCTTAATCAGAAATAAATATCTTAAACTGTAATTTAGATATGTTTATTTTGTTTTAGGAACCTCAGCTTACGGCATAACAAAAATACAGCTTTTCACATAGACACATACGAATCATACGCCACAACTGTACAAAATTTAACGAATTTGGGAGTACTTATGGAAGATAGCGATCGTGCACTGCGATTACGAAAGTAAATCGTGTTAATTAATAATTTAAAAGTTTTAGAATTATTGGAAATTAATAGTATAATAATCTATAGAACTTTTAGAGTACTCTGATAAATCTAAAGTTTTAGGGCAATATTTAAATCGTTAGAGATTTATGAAGTAATCGATAGATGTATGACATAGTTTTATTATTTTTTTTACTATGAAAGAGGGTAGGCCCTTGAGGGTAGGCCCTAGCTTATATTATAGTTTTTAAATTATTGGTGATGTTTGCATGCTTTTAAGTTGTTACTGAAATTTGTAGACTTATTATTGAAAAAGATGAGCCAGAATTCATAGAGAAGTTGCCACGGGAAGTAGGTAGGTTGGGTTCGAAACTAATGCGAAATTTGAACATCGAACAACAACGAGCAGTTTTAAAAGCACTATCTTGTAACGACTATGTGTTATTACAGGGGTTGCCTGGCACAGGTATGTATTCTAGTTATATTATAAGATTAGGAGTAATAAACTTAGGCGCGAAGCATACAGAAAAGGCGTAAGGTGAAGGCGCGGCGCAGGCGCAGAGCCGGCGTGGAACAGATAAGGACGGATGCGACTTAAATTATATCAAAGAGGCGAAGAGACGGCACAAAGAGTCATTACGCAGGCTGACTTTATCGTGATAGCATGTCTTCCTCTTCAGATGGCGAAGATGCGAAATTCCACTCTAGTCGCGACTCCTAGCGACGCGGAACAGGCGACGAAACGACGTGCCTGTGCCACGCCGCTTGAGTATAATTAACAACGTGCCGCTTACGTACATTTTGTATTGACGCGTTTTGAAGCGGCAAGATGCCTGCGCCGCGCCTTCACCTTACGCCTTTTCTGTGTTTCGCGCCTTAGGCGAGAATGCATAGTAGCTATAGATAATAAATATATTATTTGTTCATATGTAAATATATACAAATCTCAGTCTTAGCCTGTGTATCTGATGCGAAAGTTTTTGAGTCTACAGGTTTGCTCACGATGTTGTCTTCCACTGTCTGTACACAGCCGGGGTTTGAACGCACGACTTTAGTCAGGGGTTGAGGCCCACGTCTAGCCTCACACTGATCAGACATACAGTTAAGTTACTACTGTATTGATTGACGTAAAACGCATATTTTATTTAGCGTACGCTAGAGGCAATATCGGGGAAGTGGTGGGGAGAACCCTAGATCGCATCGTGTGCAGGCAAATCGTACCCTAAATGGCGTGTGTAGAGTATGCTACTGCCGATTCAAACTACGAGCCGATTTCATCCCCACCACCATTGTCTCGATATTGCCACTGATTTTAGAGCCGTGTGTAGACGCTTTTAACTAATTTCAGGTGCATAAAGTATTTTTAACTTCATTTCAGGCAAAACACAAACAATTAGTGTTCTCATACAAATGCTTGTTTTTCTTAAACAGCGTGTCCTAGTTACTGCGCACACGCACTCCGCTGTCGATACAGTTTTGACCAGGTGGGATTTTTAGGACCTACTCTTTTATACGAGTTTTATCATAAACAATATTTTTTAACTTACAAGGTCGTTTGAAATTCTAAAGTAAGAAGTAGTCTAAAGGTACTGTACTTTATTTTACGATATCTAAGGCCGAATTTTTATAAAAACATTCTAGTCTTGCCCTTATTGCTCTTAGAGCTCGTTCCCACTATGTCGTCTGTCGGGACGATTTTTTATCGTGTGTCGTAGATTTTCATTTGTTAGTATTTTTCATATACATATTATAATTTGGATATAATAAAAATACTAATACGTTAAAAATAATAATTAAATATAACTGAAATAAGTAGTAAAATTTTATTGGCAAACCTATAAATATAAATAAATCAAAGTAAAGGGAACTGTAAGCATACTACTAAGTAATTGTTTCTTTAGATAAATATTTATTATAGCATACTTCAAATCTAACTATAGAACGTTTTATCCGTATCACTTAAAAATGAAAAACATTTTATCCCTTATGAATAAGATAGTTTATTTCTTAAATTTTGTTTTCATTTGGCACATGGATGAAATACAGCTTAAGGTAAATATATATAAATATATCAATTAGCACGCTAAACTTTTTGATGCTTTTATACATTGAAGAAATATTAGCACACTCCTTATATAAACATTCTCCTATTATACAAAGGTACTATTTGTTACATTGCCAATGTTGTAATGTAATTAATGTAATTGTAAATTTATGGCTAAGCGTAATTTTTATAGAACGCAGTAAAAAATGTTTTATAATAATCTCTAATAGTTTTTAATAAATCATTATCTATTACTGTAATTTAATCATTTAGTTTTTGACAAACAATATTTTAATTAAACTAGGTTACCGGAGTCACTGAAAATAATGAGATTAGGATCGTCATCACGCGTCGCTCATGATCTTGCTGCTAAATCGGAGGCTACCCTTACCAAAAACTGCAATACTTCAGAAGAATTATCAAAATTATATGATTCTATGGTATTTATTATATTTATCTTTGCATCCCATTCACCTTGCATAATATAAATTTTCGCATTAAATCTAAGAAATATTCAGAAACGAGCATTAGCGAACACTATTTTTGACGTACCGTTAGTCATCTATTTCCTAAATAAAATCATATATTTACGATGAATTAAACACTTACGTCAACTGGCATAAATTTAAAACTATTGCCATATAAAAAAAAACGTCAATATTGTATAAATGACAAAATGAAGATGCTTAACAGTGTTTCGTAACTAAATGTCTAATACAACAATTAAGGATTAATCTCTGATATAAATAAACAGTGAACATTTGGAAATTTAAATTTTAACGTCTTTCATTATAAGCTCAGAGCGATTTCGTTTTGGATTGATAGACAAAGAGAGATATATGAATGCTAGACAGGTGCCGATCTGTCTGGGCTTATAATGTTTTTTTTCAGTTAACTTTTTGTATATTTAAGAAAAATATATTTTTTCAGGACGTAGTGGGTGTGACTTGTTTGGGCGCGAATCACGCCCTTCTTTCTAGAACAACTTTCGATGTTTGCATTGTAGACGAAGCCACTCAGGTAACTTTTGTTTTTTAACTCACATTTATCTGTTTAGACCTACGTTATAGCTTTCGGACTGCTGAAGCTAGGATTTTATTTTATTCAATTCTATATGCAATTCTATTCAACTGAAACTTTATAAACAAGCCCTTTCCATACATTTATATATTATTTTTTTTACAGGTTTTACAATGTACAGTACTACGACCTCTTTTTGCTGCAAAGCGTTTCGTTCTTGTTGGAGACCCAGAACAATTGCCACCTGTTGTTAAAAGTAAATCTGCTAGGTACAAATATTATTTCATTTGTTATCTTTGCGTTTGGAATTTAAACGTGGAACAATTTTTGCAGTAAATTTTTCTCTATTAATTTTCATAGTTGCTACAATTTGAAATGTACATGGTTGAGGATCTAAGTATGAACCAAAATTTTTCTTCTGTAGGAAACATTGAATATTAAAATTTCATAAACTTAGAGACAGAGAAAACGGGAGACTTCTTCCTTATTTGGAACTACTAAAAAAAACGAACACAACAGATTTGGTTTAATAGTATAGTAGACTATACTACAACTGGTACCGTTACGATAAAGAGTACGTGTTTGTAAAAAATACTTAACATGTATAAAGACTTTTGGAGATCTAATGTTTTCTGTTGAAAAAATCTTTGAATGTCACGTTGCTTACGCGTTTAATGAAATTTCGAATTTCTCGTGGCCATAGTTTTATTAACTGACGATGGACATTTTTTTGTTTGAACAGGCGTCTAGGAATGGAAGAGAGTCTTTTCCATAGACTTATGAATGATAAATCGACATGTACACTACAACTACAATATCGTATGAACCAGGCCTTAGTGGATTTCGCTAATAAAGTCGCTTACAGTGATAGACTAAAGTGCGCGAATAAGTCTGTTGCGGAGTCGACTATGAATATTGACGATGAGGTAAGGTTGAAACTTATAAATAGTAATATGTTGTCTTTTATCGCAAATATCACTCATGAAATCTTGCTTTATGAGTGATAGAAAAACAAAATTGTGTCCTAACGCCGACATTATACGCAGGCCTTTGCATACGTCAACCGACCCCTCTCGTACCAATGTACAAAACACTATTATAATTTAACCGATAAAGTACTCTTCCAATTCTAAGAGATGCTTGTGATATTGTTATTGGATTGGATGTTTGAGAATGATTTAGGATTTCATTTACATATTTGCAGATGTCCTATCATATTAAGTTGACTACTCTAAGTATAGTTACAGTATATCAAGTTTTATTAAAATCGGTTCAGTAATAATAATAATTTACGTCTCGTTCATCGTTATTTCTCTTCCTTTCTATTAAACAGGTATTTAAAACCCGTACAATCATCAGTACGAATGTTTTGATTGACAGACTCAGTTTGTTCACTGAGTTCAGAAGTTTATTGTGTATTTGTAAAACCCAAATTTAACAAGAAAAAATATGAATGCCACATCAGGCCTTATGTAACTTATACTTATAGAAACTTGCTGCCCTCGACCCATGGGAAATAGAAGCTTGTAGTAAAGATGTGGATAAAGCAGCTCTTTTCTACAATGTGGAGCCAATCGAGACTAAATACCATAAAGACCTTACTAACACCGATGAAGGCTGCGTCGTACTCGCCTTAGTTAAACTATTTATACAGGTAATATAATTTATTTATTTATTATAAAATGGTATTTTGTTTAGGATGAGTTTAAAAATGTCTAACTGGGATTAAAGAAATATATGATGACCTGTGTATTTAGTAGTTGATTTAAAAAAAATCTGTGTCTTTGTATTTTATATAGGAAGCACACATGGTGAAACAAATGATAACAACTTAACTAGACACAATACTAAAGTTTAAATTTTATTGTTGTTTTTTATTCAAATACAAAATCAGAACGACATAGGCTATGTTCACATGTAACGCGCCCACCCCCCCCCCCCCCCCCCCCAATCAAAAGGGGGGCGCGGCCGGGGGGCCCCCCCCCCCCGGCGGGGGACCCCCCCCCCCCCCCCCCCCCGGAAAAAAGGAGGGGGGGGGGGGGGGGGGGGCTGTGTGTTGGTGTTTTAAAAAAAAAAAAAAAAAAAAAAACAACCCCCCCCCCCCGCCCCCCCCCCCTTCCAAAAAAAACCCCCTTTCCCCCCCTTTTCCCCCCCCCCCCCCCCCCCCCCCCCCCCCCCCCCCCCCCCCCCCCCCCCCCCCATCCCCCCCCCCCCCCCCCCCCCCCCCCCCCCCCCAACCCAAAAAAAAAAAAACATACATAAATAAAATACCCCCCCTCCCCCCCCCCGCCCCCCCCCCCCCCCCCCCCCCCCCCCCCCCCCCCCCCCCCCCCCCCCCCCCCCCCCCCCCCCCCCCCCCCCCCCCCCCCCCCCCCCCCCCCCCCCCCCCCCCCCCCCCCCCCCCCCCCCCCCCCCCCCCCCCCGGGCAAAACCCCCCCCCCCCCCCCCCCCCCCCCCCCCCCCCCCCCCCCCCCCCCCCCCCCCCCCCCCCCCCCCCCTTAACAAGTAGTAAATAAATCATCATATTTATTCATTGTCAGGTTGGTGTCAAAAACTCAGACATAGGCGTAATAGCACCATACCGCGATCAAGTGTCATTATTGCGTCAAATGCTTGCGACAACGCATGTCGAAGTCAGTACCGTTGATCAGTTCCAAGGACGAGATAAATCTGTCATCATATACTCATGTACTAAAAGGAATTCATTTGATGATAAAGTTAAGGTCAGTACCAAGTTAAGCGTATCTCGTTTGGCTTTTTAGTTAGAACCGTGACCGCTTCGGAAACTGTCGTGTCGTTGACTTTTAGCCCGCAAGTTCCGATTTCGATTCTCGGAACAAATTAAATGCATTAGCAGTACTCCGGGGTCCTTGTTATAAAGAACACTGTTCCGACGTGTTGTAAAATTTTAACTTGATTTTTCTTGTTTTTCAGGAGGGTGAAGTTTTAAACGACCAACGCCGTTTAGCAGTTTGCGTTACTAGAGCCAAACACAAGTTTATAGCAATAGGAAATGAACAAGTTCTACGGAAATATACACCACTATCTAAACTTATTGATGCATGTACACAAATTGTGATGGACAAAAATATATTACTGGAGCTGACTAAACAATATAAGAGTGTGTGAAATTAAAAGCAAAGAATAAACAAAACTTGTTTTTAATTTTAATGTTCCTTCTATTTATTGTAGTGTGCAATGCTTACAGGTTTTGACATATCACAAATTATTACATTGATACTTTCATCTCTAAAAGTTATCTATGAATTTATGTTAATTTATTCTTTTCCCTCTATATGACCACAGAACAAGACATTTTAAGATGTGCTTATTTACTACAGAAAAATTAAAAGGCAAAGAAATATTTAAATGCAAAACATTAATTATCAGGGTCCTTATTGGTTCTAGGCTTATTGTCCGGTAAATTAAAAAATTTGCTGACATCAAATTCATCGGCAGCAAGCAGATCGTCCCGCGGTATCTCGTCCACTTCAAGGAAATTGTCGTCAACCATACTTTGAACATCAAAAATATTGTTTCGGTCAAAAGAGGGGGGCAGAATGACGTCTTTTAGTATTTCGTCTGGCTCCATAAGAGTCAAATCAATGTTTTGTTGAGTGGAGCCATTGGAGGAGGTCAATTCTGGTTGTGCACGTGGAACACCTGAAGCCTGGGGTTCAGTAAATATGGCATCAAGGTCGGCGAGAGTGTACATATTCTCAGAGTCGGGCAAAACCCGCGAGGGGCTCGACTGTGAGGAAGAGCGAGCCGGGCGCTCGCGGGCGGGCGCTACACCCGCCCTTTTCTCATGTTATACTCTCTTCTTCTGGCCCTTCTTAGCCATGCGCTCTTTAGTCTTTTCAATTAAAGGCACAAGCTGTTTTTCCTCAGCCAATATTGTTAGTAATGTTATTATAAACGGCATGTAGTTGTGTCGGCGTCGTATCATCTCCTGCTGGTATTTGTGCATTTTTATATCTTCATACTCAATTAGCATCTTAAGTCTTCTCACTTCATTTTCAATATCTCCAGAATCCATACCAAGCATATGATTTTCAGTTATTAACTCATCTATCTGACGTTCATATATCATCTTTCGGTTAGATACCAATGCCATAAGATTGAAATGGATTTCTCCCTCAGTGTAGGTGTTAATTCTCTTCAATATAATTGGCCGTACAACATCCAGCCAGTCCTGATCTGGACCTATAGGACCATGATCAATAGGGCCATCCCGTAGTCCATCCAATTCATATAAACGACCATCTATCGGTATGTAGCCAATGAAATGGTATGCATCTTCCTCCTTTGTTTTTGGGGATTTACTGTCAAACTCAAAAAAAGTCTGCTGTGCCATAGAATTATGGGATGCACGAATTGTTTGTGAATTACTGAGGGTGAGCCCACGCATTTTAGGATCAAATGACATACTAAATTCTTTCAACTTTGTCAGTTCTGGACCTAAGTGAATATCAGGGTGGTTGCAGTTCAATAATAAACTAATTACCGCTTGAGTGGCGCAAGCATTATTAATTACCTGTTTTGCGAAGAAAATTTTTTGAAGACGGTCATCTGTCACAACAGGATTAGTAGGTTCTTCATGTTGAACATATTTAAAAAGGAAAATGAGTCCATGAACTGGTCGCAAATTTTCAAATATTCCATCATCGATTGTCCACATTTCTTCTACCTGTGCTCCTGTTACACCAAATTTTTTTATGAGTTCTGTAAAAACTCCAGGATCGCTTTCGATCAAACACCAATCCCCCGCAGAATCCATTGTGTTGATTTCGGAGAGCCACTAAATTAAAACCGCGTTCCTGTATTTAGTACTTCAGTTTAAAAAATTATCTTTGTGTTCATTCTACTTTTTTTGCTAGTCACGTTAAAAAATTCACTGATTTTGATTATTTATTGTAGTTTAATGTTTATCAAAGACTACAAAAATCAAAGAGAATTATAGTATACTATTACTTTGGAACAAAGAAGCCACACTCGAAAAAAAAATATTTTACGCCCTCTTAAGTTCAGCCCCTTAAACTAAAATTAAATTGTGATTATAAACAGGATTATAGGTAATTCGACATATTCCTGTTCCTCTAACGTCAAAATACAAAATCCCAGCGCTCGATTCTGTAGCTTTCTTTTTTTTGCTTAAATAAATTTTAAATGAATTTTGAGGGAGTATTAATTTTTTGATATACATTGAAACTATAAGCTTTTTGATAGATTTACGTAATTTTATTTATACAGTCCAAATTATAATTGACACAGAGTGTAACACGGTAGTCAGTAAATATAAAATAGATTATTTAACGATAACCGCTATAAATAAAACATATATGCAAATATAAAATAATAGTATCTCTATTTACATTTTGTATATATATGACAGTTACACTTACAGTATCCTCATTTTCTGAATTTTAATTTTTAGTACTGTAAGACGTACTTGTACAGTGTGACCAGATTAGTAGATTTCTACTTTTGGTGTTTTGAGGTACTGGCAACAAATTTAGTATGTAAAAATTATTTGGTATATTTTAGTAGAATTCACGTTTATCAGTTATTCTAGTAGGTACTTTTTGGCACATCGAATAAATGCGGGGTATTCCCCTTTCATCGATTGGGTGGTAAGTTCTATTGAATTTTCGTTATTTTCGTTACTATAAACCATTCGTTCCGTGACTCGTGAGCATATTGTGATTAGTGGGAATACCTTTACGAGAATTTATATAATCAGTATATAATGAAACGTAAATATACACAAATATATCGCGATGAATGGGAGCAAATCCCTCATTTAAAAGTTGGTTGTCTAAATCTAGAGTAAACACTACGAGTGCTCATTGTAAAGCATGCAACTGTGAAGTACTAAGTAGAGTGGCATCTTTAAAGGAACAATGGCACACAAACATATAAAAAACATGAAAGGATATTCCGGCATTTCTAAGGTACGTAAGGTACTTACATTGATATGTGGAATGTAAGTCTTAGTTAATTATTTTTGTTAAAAAAATTTAATACTTTCATCGTGAACCCGTATTATGTTCTAAACTTTGATTTCCATTCAAAAACAAACTTTCGCTGTTTTAAGTATGTTTATTATCTACACATCATAACAATTATTATTATACAACTATGTGTGTTTATGCATGTTTATTTATAAATGATATATTAAAACTACTGACTCGGCCAAGCGTTGCTTGGCTAAGGTTTTGTTATATTACATAGTAGTAAACTATTCAAGGAAACGGTAGGAGAACGTATGTGAAAGGTAGCTTATGTGAAACGTTGATACTTTTAACACAGCGCCTCTTTAGGGGTAGGAGAACTTATCTTAAAGGTAGATGAAAGCTTATGTGAAACGTTGATACTTAACCAGGTCTGTTAGAATTGTATCAAATAATAAACAAATATTTTGCAATAAAATAATATTGCGACTATAATTTGAGATTTAAACTACCTTTTAATTTGGATCAAACTACACACGGTGTGCAAATTTGATTGATATCGGTTCGGTAGTTTAGGAGTCCATTGAGGACAAACATTGTGATACGAGATTTATATATATTAAGATTGCTTAGTTTTTGACTTTTTTTTTTTGTCCTGCATACTTATTTTTACTTTTTTGTTTACAGATTGATACGTTTTTAAAACATCAACTATTTCGGAAGAAGTAAAAAAGCAGAAATCAGCATTGTAGCTGCATTAGTGGAACATAATATTCCTTTTCGCGTAATGGATCACGTAAGCGAAGTTATTTCAAGGGCATTTCCGACTCTGAAATCAAAACGTTTTTCCTGTAGAAGAACTAAATCTGCCGCATTGCTTACATCTTAGGCATAACTTCGAAGAAAAAATGCTTGCAAATTACGTCCAAGGCTGGAAAATGAAACTGAGAGAAGCCCAGTATTTTCGCTCATTATCGACGAAAGCACAGATGTCAGTACTACCAAGGTACTTCAGCAGCAAAAAGTACTACTCAGAAAATTGCAATCTCCACAAACAAAATTTTTGTGTATGGTGGACTTAAAAGGTGAAACTGCGCAGTATTTGTTTGATAGTTTAACATTGCCTTATCTGAAAGAAACCTTAACATAGAAAATTAATAGGGTCGCCGACACATTTATGTTTGGCGAAAGGAATAGCTGGTCTAAATAGGGAAGTCAACCCAAACTGTATTTTTTTAAATGTATTTGCCACTCAACAAATCTTTCAGTAAGTTATGCATGCAAAAAAATTACCTCGTTCTATAGAGTTGTTTTGTCAAAGATGTTTATTCATACTTCTCTCACAGTAGCCAACGTCAAAGAGAGTTTGTCGAATTTCAAAATTTTACTGACACTCCAACTCACCATATGCTTCGTCACTATGATATCAGGTGGCTTTCTCTACATCAATGCATTCACCGAATATAGAGCAGTGGTCAGCATTAAAACTTTTTTTTCAAAATGAGTTTTTAGGAAATAAAATGCAAATGCTACTTGTCAATTATATTTGATCACCTTAACAGCTGAAACAAAACTTTATCTTTCCTTAGATTTTATATTACCCATAACTACAAAATTTAACGTTATTTTTCAAAGTGATCAGACGCTCATTCATAAAATTGACACAGATATACAAAACATGATGAGTTCCATTTTGAGTTGTTTTATGAAGATAAATTATATTAAAAACTACTTCGCTTCAGTCAATAGATCCCAGTTCAAGTATGCATTTCCTTCCTATACAAAACATGTACCTGGGCACAAACTAGCCATAACATTGGAATTATTAAAAGATGATGTTCGAATGAAATCTAAAATTGAAGAGTTTCTTAACAGATGTCAAGCATTTTTGATCGAGCTAAGTAAACAATTTCTCCAAAGACTGCCCTGTACAAGATAATTTCTTGCAGGATTTGTCGTTTATCGATCCCCAAAAGGCAGTGTATGGTGAATTTCGAACTCTAATAAAAATACTACAAAGGTTTCCTAACTTAGTTACAACAGAAAATATGCAAATTGTTGACAACGAAATAGGGAATTAAAATTAGATGTTTCCGTGTCTAATTTATTGTCAACTTCGAGTTCAACTTCTGAAAATTTTATGGTGGATAAATTTTGGAGTGAGGTCACCAAATTTGCGATGCGAATAGCAAACCAAAAATATGGCAATTTGGCCCGGTTGTGAAGCAAATGACAATACCTCTGTCTAACGCCAAAGTTGAAAGAATATTTTCCGATATTAATAGAATTAAAAGTCAAGATGAAATCGTTTTAATAACAAGAATGTTGCTGCAATTATGCATGGAAAAGAGGGGCTACGACAGTTGGAAGGAGGATGTAGCAGATTTGATCCTGACAAAAGTATGATCAAGCTAATGGACTCAAAACAGCTTTATGACAATTCCAACATAACGACGAAAAATCTTAGCTTTAAGTTTCATTTTATTATTATTAATTTAAAAAAAATTGTAGTAAAATTAAATTAAAAAAACTTCGCTTCTTTAATTAATCTTTACTACTTATTATTTTTCGTTTAATCAAGAAAATTCATGTTTTACGTTGTAAACCAACAGCAAAAAATATAATAGATTTTTGTATTTTCTCGTTCCTTTCGGTAGAATTCAGTAGTTTTTAACCTCCACGACAGTAGATTCGTCAAATGAAATCTGGTCACACTGTACTTGTATAATATGTCTACGTATCTGTGTCTTGTGAAGTCGTGTCTATACCTAAGATTAATTTAAGTGAATACTTTCCCCGCCCATTTTGATAGCTATTTAAAAGTATTTTCTATTTCGCGCACAGATTTAATTCTTAAATAACATTTATATGAAAAGAACTTGCATGCTAACTGCTAAGTCCATGCCAAAACAACTCATCATAGTTGATATTTTTAGTGACAACCTAATTACTGTGAACCCGAAAATTTATTTAGAAGGTAACATAAAAATTGAAAATACTATAATGCTTACTAGAACTTTTTAATATTATGGTTTACTTAATTTTTAACGATTAATTTATGATATATCAGCAATATATTATAATCCTGACCCTGAAATTTTAATTATTTTACACGATAAGCGTGCAATGTTAAGTAATTTTGTATTAGCAGATAAGTTTAACATTAGGAACACTTAAATAAATTTGTTTTTAAATATATTTTAAACTAATGCTATCGCATTTACAGCATAGTAAAATAATGGTGAAGGCAGTAGTGATTATCACTGTAAGTGATACCTGTTTTAAGAACCATGCCAAAGATGAGTCAGGACCAGCCTTGGTTCAACTTGTTAAGGAGCAGTTTCCAGATGCATACATCCATACAATTATTGTTCCCGATGAAAAGGAATTAATTGAACGCGAGCTTAAGTACTTTTGTGAATCAAACATTGATTTAATTCTGACAACGGGAGGAACGGGCTTGAGTAGTAGAGATGTGACCCCAGAAGCCACCAAAGCTGTTATACAGAGGGAAGTTCCTGCAATTCCAATTGCTATGACCTTAGAAAGTCTTAAAAAGACTCCTATGGCTATGTTATCAAGAGCGATGGCAGGAATAAGAGATAGGACTTTGATTATTAATTTCCCAGGAAGTAAAAAGGCAGTTGTAGAGTGTATAGAAGTTGTAAAACCAGTTTTATCTCATGCTGTTTCATTGTTAGCAAATGATCTTGTTGAAGTTAGAGCTGTTCATGATCAAATGCAAAGTGGGTGCCCTCATAAAACTAGCAGAGTAGTTTTGAGTAAAGTGGCATTAAGGCACAGAGAGTCACCATACCCAATGCTCGAGATGACAGAGGCGTTTAATATAGTGGATGCTGTTATGATGCACTGGACTGAGAGGGTAGAGGAAGTGCCTATTGATCAAAGTATGGGCAAAGTGGGAGCACAACCAATATTGGCTAAAGAACCAATGCCACCATTTCCAGCCTCTGTTAAGGATGGTAAGTTTTGAGGGTCATTCAAAGCACTATTATCTAACTTACAAAATTCACTTAAAAGCCTTACTTAGTTAGGAAATGAATTGATAAATCTGTCCTTAAATTTTTTTGTATATAGAAATAACATCCAAGTATTTTTGTTAACTATGCATATATATATAGTTAAGGTTAAAAGTCAAAGTTTTAAGGTCTCATCTATCTTTGCAATTCATTTCAGTTACTTTTTGTATATTTTAGACTGCCAATACAGACAAATAATTTAATGTTGAGAACATTAATTTGATTTATTTATTTTAATTATATTTTTGCTATTCATATTTTTAACACCTTTTAATGTTTAACATTAATGCAAAATTTGGGTATTTAATGTTTTGTTTAGATCAAAATTGAGATTAATACGAAACATTCTTTGCTACCTACTTTTGCCATTCCAAACAGATGTCTTTAATGTCATGGTTACTTGTATAGGCTACGCCTGTTTAAGTTGGGACGGGGTTGGTATACGCAAAGTGCGTTCAGCTGTGACAGCTGGGGATACGCCCGCTGCCCCGCTTGCATCGGGCGAATGCGCTCGTGTAAATACAGGCGCGCCCATACCTACGGGAGCTGATTGTGTGGTTCAGGTTTGTTTATTTCACGCATAATATACATATATGGTACTAAAAAAAATGAATATTTTATATTAGATTTTTTGTAAAGAAAGAAAAAGAAACAATAGATATTTTTATTAACAAGTGTAATTGGATACATTACGGATTTTTTATTGATATTCAACGTTTTGTAAGGCAAAAATTTTAGTAGACGCAAAATCTAATTCCTACCTATATCTATATATATATAAAAATGAAACCCGTTTTCCGTTGTCACGACATAACATGAAAACGGCTTGACCGATTTGTCTGATTTTTTTTAATAATATTCCTTGAAGTACGAGGATGGTTCTTACGGAGAAAAAAATTGAGTGAAAAAGTTTAAAAACAACACTTTTCTATATTCCCATACAAAATATTCGTAAGAATACTTAAAAGTCAATTTGAAGTGAAAGTGGAAAGTGGAGGGGTTACGGGAAGGTAAATTTTTATTTTTTGACATAATGTATATTTGTTGTCTTATCAACTTTCTTTTTTTTATCTTACTAGCTAGACTAGCAGAATAAGTATTTTAAAAAATAAAGAATCGACTGTTAGGCGGTACGATGTTCGCCAGGCCAGCTAGTCCTTAATAAATGTTGTTTATATTTCTAGGGAGTACCATAGACTATATTTCAAATAGATCCTTACCAAAACTAATACAATGTAACCAAGAAAATTAATTATTAATTCATCTACCAGTCTAGCGTGCGAAGTCGAGTGATTCATCACTGATTCCTAAATAACTTTGTATATTTTTTTTTATTAAATAAACTGGCAGCAGTCATTTCATTTTAGGTTGAGGATACGAAACTGGTGAAAGCCACAGATGATGCCGAGACAGAGCTGGAAGTAGAGATTTTAGTAGCTCCCCAACCGCATCAAGATGTACGACCAATTGGTTTTGACATATCTTTGGGTGCTGTGCTCTTGGAAAAAGGTAAGTTCTTTATGTTCATATTTAATCACGTTAACTGTGTGCTTACACAGTCGTTTATCTCATTAAATTGCTGTCTAAAAAATGGAAATATAGGTAGGTAATGTATGCTAAAGGAATTTGATAATTTAGGCTTGCTTCAGGAGCTATGGAAGATACAAACATAAGTCACGGGTAGACATTAAATGAAAATTTCATAAATATGAGCCGTTTTGGCCAGCGGTTTAAGCGTGCGCCTCATAACCCTTAGGTGCGTTCGTATTACGGGTGCACCAATGAATTGTCCTTTCTGTGTCCGCAATCAACCCGCTCGTACGGTGTAAGAAAACATCGTGAGCGACTAGCGTGCCGTAGACATAAAAATGGAAGGCCTGTCGGGCACAGAAACATTTTCTTTCTTAGCAAGGAGGTTGGGTTAGACACCTAAAGGTTTTTTATGTCATAGATTTCTTTTGCGTTAAAACGGGCACCTAAAGAAATTAACGTTCTAAGGTCAATTTCAGTTAATCAAATGAAATTTAATTGTCCGACGTAGTCTTTGTATGAATGGCAATTTTGTATGAAGTCTTTAAAACTGATTTACATGGAGAAACAATCAGAAGTAGTCGGCAATAAAGACAAAAAAAAATCTTGACGGACGTAAGAGGACTTTCACGCGTATTAATTTACACGATTATACGTGTAAAGACTACGTCAGACAATTAAATTTCATTTAAATAACTGATACCGAGCTTAGAACGTAAATTTCTTTAGGTGCCCGTTTTTTTGCAAGAGTTTATTTGTAAGGTACCCGTTGACGATACATTTATCACTCAGGACTACACGGCATTTTTTATTAACCACGATGGTACAATATCTAGGTTACCTAATAGATTTAAAGTTGTCTGTATTGAATCAACTTTAAAAATAGATTATTTGTCACCTTGCAAAGGTGAGCGATTCATTGAGCTCATTAAACATAATTTGATCTTTACGTACCTATTTGTAACGAATAGATATACATAGGTCAACATAATATAAGATAGCTTTAACAATAATACCATTACCGCTTGTCAATTATTGATTATAATTGCAAATAAGTTACCAAAAAGATAAACATTTAAGTGACTTCAGAAAACAATTTTTTTTGATTCGATGTTAATTTTTGTACGGACTTAACACTGAAAATGAATAAGTTTGACTTACGTGTAGGAACGAGCGCACTATATATGTGTGTAAAAGCTTGATTGAATATGATTTTGAATCCGACGTTGCTGCCCTTTCATATAGAATTTATGTATTTTTATTATAAATTTTATATGTATCAATATCAGTTAGTGAGCGAATCTTTTTAACCGCGTAAGCTGCAGAACTAAACGTCTTCGCCAATCCGTTAATATGAGGGGACCACTGAAGTTTTGAATCCAAGAAATACAGTTGTATCATCAAGATTCGATTCCTCATCATTTATAATTTTGTCTAGTATCATGTAGTAGTATAAATCTGAGATAAAGATATTTTAACGTAGAGAAACGGACCCGAAAGACGTCTAAAAAATATCACCTTATACAAAAAAACACAATCTTAAATCATTCTCGAATGCACTTGAACACTCACAAAAATTTCAATTAACAGAGTAAACAAGATATCTAGATATTTAAAAATATCACTGTAATCTGTAAGTAAATTCTCTATAAGATTTCTACAATCAAATTATTTATCTAGTTATATCTTTTTTTGATTATAACTTGATGAATGATATTCTGACCTTGATATATCTCGAGATAAATTATTACGTTATTCAGCGAAATTATATATACAGGCTGCGAGTAGCAATTTTACCAAAAACCTTTATTACCTAATATAACCGTTTCCTCTGTTAAGAACATAACAGGACGGAGATACGATTGTAAGTTCTTTTTACTTTTGAAGTAGTTCTAAAATTTGTTACTGGTATGTAAGTCGGTATATATATATTATATATTTATAATTATTGTATGTCATAAATAAATAAATATTGAAATGCCGTGTCATGGCATCTCAAGTCTGCGACATCAGAGCTGCGGATTGCATTTGAAAATTATCGATAGTTTCGTCGTCAATCACGTAATTAACTGTAATTATTACGTACGTACGTAATTTACGTACTTACAGTTTTAGCTGTATCATGAAATGATTGGAAATCAAAAAGATAGATTTAAAATCGGACGTGCAAACACTTTTAGACTGGTAAGCGATTATAAATAAACACAAGTAATGCTTTTTCTCATTATTTACGCAGGTGATTTAATCGATGCAGCAAAGATAGGAATTTTGGCTGGCGCTGGCTACCTTAAAGTGCCCGTAAGAGTTTGTCCCAAGGTATGTTTATTTTTTATCTACTTTTTTTCAATAAATAAATTTTAAGTATTGTTTACTTTTTTCAAAGGGATATATTTCATGTCTACATGAAATGAGAATAGAAAGTTGCATTCAGTCTATGAAGTGTAAGTTGGCGCTCTAGTATCGGCGGCGCTTCCTGTACACTGACTGTTTTTTTCCAGGCTTTATGAAAATAATATAAATAACATGAGTTTTAATTACCACTTTGTACACGAGAAATAGGCGATAAAAATCATATATAGTTACGTAACCTATATACTACAATCTACATATATCTAAAAATTCTCCTATAAAATGTACCTATGTATTACATTATACATAATTGCGATTACCTCTAGAGAGAAACCCTTTCACTTCTCTATACACTAATCGAATTTGTTATTTCAGCCATAGAATAGTAGAACAAAAAATTATAAAAATTCCTATTACAGGTTGCGATATTATCAACAGGCAACGAGTTGCAAGAACCGTTTGAGAAAACACTTCGTCCTTCGCACATAAGAGATTCCAATAGGATTATGCTGAAAATGCTTCTTAGGTATGTATATATTTATTACTAACTAGCAGCCCCAAGAACTTAATTTCGCCTTAGTGTGTAGTCGCCAGAGAACGAAGTTAAATTTCAAAATACTCCAGCCGTCTTCGAATTTTAAGTTTAGCAACATATTTTGCGTTTAATTTTTATTTATATAGATAGATCTTGCCTACTCTTTAATTAGGCTCCTTCGAACCCCAAAATACTTATGTCAGTCGACCAGTGATGTTTCTATGTAATTTTGTAGTAGTTTATGCAAAATTTATATATAAAGCAAAAGTTTGGCTGATTTTTTTTCTGAAAAACACTGCACGGATTTATCAGTATTTTCGTATGTCGCCTTTGAAATATGTTCAAACGAATAGAACGAACCCGGTTAGACATTTTTATAAATTTTAATAACCATCCAATCAATTCAATAAAATCTATTCCTAAAAAATTTAGGCATTAATAACATCGATATATTCTTCATCGGATAAAATGTTACTTTATCTTAATATTTAATTGTAAATTGTAGGTATTATTTTCAGTATTTAAAAAACAATTTACTAAATTACATTTTTTCGTCATGGCCAACTTCAATGGATACGTTTACCGACAAACACTTTTCAAGGAAACAACTGTTTAAACAAAATAAATAATTTTATGATCAAAGTATGTTTTAACATGTATTGTTTAATCACAATGTCTATGTTATATGAGAGAGGTAGGTACTTACTATATCTTGTATAAATGCTTGGCCAAAACAAAAGTGGAAGTCGTAATTTATCTCTAGTCTAAAATATATCTATCTGTAGGGAACACGGTTACGACAGCATAGACTGTGGTATTGCCCGGGACGAGCCCGCAGAGTTAGCGTCTGCGATCGCGGGCGCATTGGCCAAATGCGATATACTTGTATGTACGGGTGGCGTTTCTATGGGCGAAAGGGATCTACTCAAACCTGTGCTTGCTAATGTAAGTTAATATTTTAATATTATGGATTTTATGGACCTTTAACCTTTGTTAATAGATTCTATTTAAATTTTTGTGTCTAATAGCATTTATAATCGTTTTTTTTTCTTACGTACGGTACTTGTCTTACAATCAGTATACTACTCTACTATTTGACACGTTCCTATTGTTATTATTGAAGTATAATTTATACAAAGCTTAGAGCTTAATAAGTCACATACAAAACTTCAATTGTATAACGCTTAAGATATAATGATACATGTATAATTATTGTATGAGGGTATATACCGTGATAGCCACTACAGTAATTTGAAAGTTATACGAGAATCGATTTGATTCATTTTATGCTAAATATGAAGTTTGCCATCCGAAAAATAAAACGAGATATATAGATGATATTGTTATGGAAATAGATACTAATTATGGTTGGCATTATCACGCGAAGCAGAAAAAATGTTCTAGCGATTAATTTTTTTACTTAAATTAACTCACGCAGAGAGTTCCTTGGCTTGATGAGCTGGTTGCTCACGCGATGATTATAAATATTAAACATACATATTTCTTGCTCAGTAAGTAGCTACTGAGTTCTAACTTAAAAGTCTAATTATTGCGAAAACTTTATATAAATGTTTATTCGCAAAAATTACCAAAATAAAATTTGAAATTTACTACACATCATGCATAAAAATAAATTTAGTCTCGTATTAGCTCGTTGCCCAAACCCATCTCAGATAAATATGTCTTAAGCTTGTCTAAATTCGATGAATGTTTGAAATAATGGATATTGTAAAGAATTAAATATCGACTGGTATCCTGCATTCATAAAATTGTTTTCAGGATTTCGGAGCGACGATCCATTTTGGCCGCGTGCGCATGAAACCGGGCAAGCCCAGCACGTTTGCTACATGTGATTATGAAGGAAGAACCAAATTTATATTTGCTCTGCCAGGTATATATAATTATTTGTATGGAAGAAAATGATCTTCGCAAGCTCTTTTTCGTATATTATCTACGTACTTTATTATTATCTTGTTTCCCGTTTTGTATTGTAGATTATATACTTACGTTACGCTTTTATAATTATCTAATATAATATATTAAATATCCGTATTTGTTATTTGATAATTATTTTTGATGATTAATAATTCTTGAGCTTAGAAAAGTCTCAACTAACTATAAAGATAAAGCTAATTAAATATTGTTTATAAATTTCAGGAAATCCAGTGTCAGCATATGTTTGCAGCTTATTATTCGTAGTGCGTGCACTACGTCAATGTACACGTTATACGAGCGAGTTCGCCCGTATGCGTGTACGTCTCGCGCGTGACGTCAAACTCGATCCAAGACCTGAGTACGCACGTGCTGTTCTTCACTTCCCTGAGAATGAGGAGTTACCTGTTGCTACGTTGCTAGGCAACCAGGTAAATAAATATTTATAGTTGTTTATTGTATTAGCATTTAAGAATAATTTTTGTTGCAAAAATTAATTCGTTAAATGAATTTGCTTAGCGAAAATAAAACATATGTCACCGTAAAATTGTAAACACCGTTAGATTGTAATCTATCTCGCGAGATTGTAAACTGTCGAAAGATTGTGAACTCAACGTACTGCTTACAATTTAACGTATTATTATTCGGTAGATTGTAATCTATCGAAGTGAAACCGTCAAATTGTGATACGGCCATTTTCTACTTTTCTATTGGTTATAAGTGATGTGACATTCTCGGTAAATTAATCGGATCGATTATTTCCTCATTTGTTATTTTTAAAGTTGAACCTAATCGAATCGATTATTTCCTCATTTGTTAATTTTAAATTTAAACATAATTTAACCATTACATTAACTTCATGTTTCAATTAGTGTATGGTTCCGAAAATTTTTAAATTATTCAAAAAGTACCCAAAACCGAATCAGAGCACCCCACTATCCACGTGGTCTTGTCTGCCCTACCCCTAGAGTGTATATAAAAAATCGGAGGCGCAGTGGAAGAGCAGCCCCCACCCGCTGTAACAAAGCACAGGCATTATGCAAGCTGCGGAGGCTTGAATAAATTGCCTGTGCTTTGGTACGCAAGGGTGGAGGGGCTGCATTTCCCGTAGCGCCGGTGCTGTCCAAAAAATTTATTATTATTCGGTTAGGTTAGGTTAGTATATTAATATTTTTTTTTAAAATAACTGTTCAACTGAAACTCGAAATCGAATACAAAAATCGATTTTCACTTTTAAAAAATAGATTATTTTTGAATAATTTCAAAATTTTCGGAACCCTACACTAATTGAAACATGAAGTTAATGTAATGTATGTACATTTGACAAGTAATGGTTAAATTAGGTTTAAATTTAAAATTAACAAATGAGGAAATAATCCATTCAATTAGGTTCAACTTTAAAATTAACAAATGAGGAAATAATCGATTCGATTAATTTACCGAGAATGTCACATCACTTATAACCAATAGAAAACGAGAATGTCACATCTCTTATAACCAATAGAAAAGTAGGAAATTGTCGTTTCACAATTTGACGGTTTCACTTCGATATATTACAATCTACCGAATAATAATACGTTAAATTGTAAGCAGTACGCTGAGGTTCACAATCTTTCGACAGTTTATAATCTCGCGAGATAGATTACAATCTAACGGTTTTTACAATTTTACATTAACATATACACAAAGGTAAGAAAGCGCGCTATGGTCAAGAAAACTATTCTGGCCACACTAATTTTTATGTAATTTAATTGAATGAATATTGGTTATTTGAACCATAAGGTTAAAGGTTCGGCTAAGAAATTTTGTTTTTCTTAATAAGATATGATTACATTTTTAAAATGGTTTATTGGTCAATTTGTAAAATTTCCCTCTTTTAGGGCTATTATACAAGTGTTTTTCTCACTGAAAAGTTCTGTGAAGAAATACTTTGTTACACTCTTGCAATGTGATGAATTGTCATATATCCCTATTAAAATGTTAACTACCATACAAGATACCATACAAGCAAGAAGAGATATACCACATTTTACAGTTATGGGCTACAATTTGTTCCGAACTATAGATGTAAATTTAGAGTAATCAAAGCAGCTTCTATTATTAAACCCACTTAAAACGGTTTTCAATTTCACTATGACACAACTAATGTATTTCTTATTTTGTTTACAGTGCAGTAGTAGACTACTTAGTGCTTCTGGAGCCAGTGTGTTACTTGAATTACCAGGTGCTAGTGAAACTTGTAAAGTTTTACCAACAAACTCTGTTGTATCAGCACTTGTTACTGGAAGAATTGACTTTAGCAGACCGGAGTTATATGTTATGTGAACGGTAACCCATGTTCTCATTTCATTGTTATTACTTAATTCTATTATTGCAGGGAATCTAGATGTAAAAAAATAGCTTATAGCATATGTTATATTAATTCAAATGGTGAATAAAGTTTTCTAAGATAATGATCATAGAGAATTTAAATTATAATGTATATTTTAAATTACCATTGATATCAAGCGAAACAGACTTTTAATATTTGTTTGAACAACTTAGCATATGTTCCTTTGTTTTGTATGTAACATAATTGTTAAATAGTTGTAAGTCAATTTTTTTATCATATTTTAGTGTGTATTTCATCATTTGAGATGTATAATGCATATTATATACTAAAGTTGTGATCTGATGTTAAGTTTATGATAAAAATTATTTAATAAAACAAATTGTGTGAGATTTTCTTTTATTTTAAATCAAGGACAAACTACTGAAATTTCATATAAATGTATAGCATTTAAAAATGTTCAACAACTATAGTGTGCAAATATTAAAGCCATGGGACTTGTATTAGCATATTTTTTGAAAAGTAAAGTTGAATTGTGAATTGACTAAAATGAAATTGTTTCTTTCAACAGTAAACATTTAACACAAAATGATAAACAAATATTTAAATAATTTATATTATCTTGTATAAAAACATTCTCAAACCACAGATCACTCAAATTGTATAAATAAATAGATCTTAGATTTTTTAAATTTATATTATAAAACCTACTATAAATTACACAACACGTTGGACTTCAAAGAACCTTTTAAGGTAATACACTTGCCCAAATGTCATAATGAGAAGAACACACGCTTCAAATATAGACCACATTACAACTCTGGAGTTTGTGCTCTCATTGATATCACGATGAATGCGGTCACGAACCTGGAATATTAAAAGAAATAAGAAAATTCAACTTTGTTTAATCATTATTAATACCCAAGGATTACATTATATATATATGTCACCAGAAAATAACAAAATTCGCAATCCGCAAGTTTATCAATTTCCTAGGAAATTTATAAACTTTCATTGGATTTTAAACTAGAGATAAATTGTATTATTTTAGGCCCACATAAATTATAAATTTATAAACTAATGAGTATCCATTAGTCTAAATATAAATTTCCTAGGAAATTTATAGACTTATGTTATATTCCGGTAACATATATTACCAAGAGGTAAGGAATGTGTAACTATAGACGGGATGATATAGTTTTGTTCAGTTGTCAAACAGAAAGACATTATAAAACGTGTCTGGGATTGAGATTAGAGCCCTTTCACCAACTACCTAATCCACTTCATGGGGCTTGGCCTCAAATTGCATCTGTTTCTTTGATAATTTTTCTTTTAAGTAGGCATCATTTACATAGGCCCAATACAAATCACAACACAATATTTGGGTTAAAAACATACAAATATTAATTCAGCAAATTATAAGAAAATTTACAGATGCACATACATCAAGGGTTTGAATTTACATCTTCAGTGTTGACTAACTGGCTTTGTGGTTGGACCACAAGGCCAATACTGGTCATGTTCTGGTTTATTTAAGAAAAGTCTAAAAGCTCCTTAAGAAAATGTAACAAGTCAAAATAGAAAATTTATTGCATATAAAGGTTTGTTGTTCAAAACAGATATTAAATTATCATACCTGCATGTACTCTTGTTCATGTTTTACAGTTTTTAGAGTAGTTCCCAATTCCTTAATCATATCTTCTAACTTATTGTGATTTGCATCATCATCTTTTTCACCTGCTTTTTTGGCTGGAGCATCACCCACTTCGAAATTGAACATTACTACCTATAATATAAAGACAAAGAATTGTCTTATTACATTTGAATAGTCAGATTGTTTAGTTGACTCTATCCTAACTCAGCATAAGTCACAATGATTATGACTGTGGTTTTAAGTAAGATACTAGAAAGAAATAATACAAATAATCTCTTAAAACAGCAAAAGACTAAAAAAACTTTTAGGCATAATATATGTTATTCAATATAATATCAGTATCAGAATGTAATGAGACTGCGATTGATTACCTTTGGTGTCATAGTGGACATTTGATTGCTAAAACAATATGTATAGCGTCCAGATGTTGCTGCTGAGAATGTGTACATTCCAGATGATTCCCTCTGTCCTGTGTATATGACAGCTCCATCAGGTCCTGTTATCTTAACATCTATATCTAAGAAACCTCCTTCAGCTATTTCAAAGGTTAAACCTGTAAGTCAAAAAAAAAATTCTATGTGATGTACCAAACTAATAAATTAAGTTTAATACACAAAAAGTACTTGTTATTAGCCACTCATTTACGACCTTTAGTTTTTAAACAGACATATGTTACTAGAAAGCTGTGACCGTTGAATTATCTCACCCATTTTAGTATCGGCATCTACATTTTCAAAAAAACATTCTTCTGCATGAGCATCGACTGTAATGGTATAACTGTAACTAGCCGTTATTACTGAACAGATAGATAGTAAGAAAACTATATGTCTATTTGAGCTTTTCATTTTAATTGACTAAATTTATTTAACTGTAACCTATTTTGTTTTCAATTTATTTTTGAAATAATATTCAATGCAAAGCTCTACCCTCGTCAGGCCACGTAATGACATCTGACAATTATAATAATTTATAACATACAAATTACAAACGGCTGATGTCTGCTGTCAAAATATGCACTACTCAATTTCAAATTTGAATGACATATTCTTTCGTACACTGCATTATTCCAATCGAATTAAGTAAAAGGTAAACAAAGTACAAACTAAATTACACTTATGAAACATATTCACAGGTCTTAGAATACAGTTTATTTTATATTTATTAATTTGTTGGTCGCGAGAATGATATTTACTTTTTTTTTTAATTTGTCATCCGTGTGAGACAGCCGCACGAACGAATACGGAATAGACCGTTGACAAACTCTGTGAAATATTGTAGTCATAGTTTCTGCCAAAGATAAAGTACAAACTGCTTTAATGGATTTCTATTTTTTAGTTGTCATGAAAATAATAAACTAAAAAGCCAAATGAACAAAAAATGATTGAATAAATATTCTGATCGAATCTGTGGTGCATGGTCAGATTAAGATAAATGGGCGCCAATAAAATATTTAGGTATATACACCTTTTTATAACCTTATACCTAATTCAATTCATTAACCCGTAAATATGATACAGTAGACTGTTTAAATAATATTAGTTGTAAAAGTAATACATCTAACAAAATTGTATGTGTAAAGAATGTCTCGTATCTGCGAATTTGTATTTTATTGCTGGCTTCCTTGTTTATTTTAAAAGCTTCTAAATACTTGGCTATCTCTTCGTAACTCGACGGCAGGTAAATTGTATAACATAAAAAACAATATATATTATATTATAATCTCTTTAAGCTTAAAAATTTTGACTGTGTCGAACTTTTCTAAAAGTTAATCCAAACAATAATAATTTAACGACTGTACGTAATGAAAGAGCCAAAGTTCAAGGAGAATTGCTTATTTTTGTTTTTAGAATAATAATGGGATTCAATAAAACCAAAATAATGTGTCTGTGCAAATTTGCTATGAAAACAAAAATCAGGTTCGTCTAATAAAAATGTGTACCATTGCATTAAAATTTTGAATAGATAAGTACTTATGTCGAAATAGCATTGCATATTTATTACGACAATATTTACTATTTACGAGGTCTTTAAAGTTATTCAAATTAGTTTTTATTATTATAACTATCCACTATAATAATTATTAACCAAGACTTGTTGAAGTTACATGTTACAGTTGCCTAGTATGGTAAGTATTTGATAGAAATAGCATTAGAGGAATTTTTTTTTATAATAATGGAAAACGTTTAAAATTTATGAAGTAATGTCCAATGTGCTGTGCGGCACGATTTGGACAATTTTGCATATTGATAGTTAATAGTTTATAGACAAGTAGGTGCCTTTTGTGGCGATTTTTAGGTCTTAGATATTCCGATTTTCCACACGACGTTATCCTTAGTCTTACAAGCATTGTTAATTTATTTTGTATTTATTGTTAATTGTGCTCATATAAAAAAATCATTAATCGCGCACCTGTTGTGACCTGGAGAAAAGAGTGTCGTGGATGCGATTCCTCATCTCTCCAAAGAACCTGATATTAAATTTATGGCCTATAGAGAACAACAGACAACATACAAATTAGTGCCAGTGTTTCTTATAGAAAAATGGTGCCGAATTTGAAAGTCTTAAATTGAAAATCTTCATGCTGTTCCGTGTATCAAGCTGAACTGGTAGGTATTCTTAAAGCAACTCAAAGGATCCTTTGTCACCCAGAAGCAACCTACAGCGAATATAGTAACGCCCGATGTCTACTCGAAGGTATTGCGGGTGATCAAATTTATTTTTATCTTTTGAGTTAAAGCGTATGCGGGCGTGACGGGTAATGAAAAAGCACACCAACTGGCAAAGGAAGGTGCACATCTAGAAGAGGCGCCAGTGTGCAATAGGTTCCCCATGTCGCATTTGAAGAACTGTCTACGCGAAAACTCGAAAGGCATCTTTCTGGAATTTGCTGTACCTAAATGTCATACAAAAAGTTGTTAACAGTAATAGGTAGTAGTGTTTTATCAGGTTACCAATACCATTTACGTAAGTTATTTAATACCTACACAACAACATAGTCGGGAAATTATCTATAAAAAAAATATCACTTATAGATGGATAAAAAACCCTTTAATGGCCTCTGTTACAGCGTTTAACTAAGGTATTATATATATTTCGTGTCGCTTGGAACAGCAGGTTAAAAGATTTAATCGCGATAATAAATATTCATATGCCGTTTGAAAGCGGACCGGAAATCCCAGAAGATGCTGAAGGGGACATTTTTTTGGGGTTAGCTAGTAGACGTACTGGGATCCGAAACAATAGCTTCTTACTTGCTGGATTGGGATCCCGGTACTGAACAATATCGCACTTATATTACGATATCTGATAAACATTATATTTCCCGATTTATTAGCTTCACTTGAAGCTAGTTTACTGATTCTATAATAATGAATCAGTTAAATAAGTTTGTATTGTATTTTTAAAACGTTACTTATTTCTAATTCAGAGCGAACGAGATTAATTTTATTGAATGAACTTATTTACGTCACACTGCGAATATTTCGATCCGGTTCAACGTTTCAAAGACCATCCTATTATTCAACAATTTTATGAATGCTTATGTACAATATTAAGCAAACGGGTTCAGTAAAGACCAGATGGATACTTAAAACGAGTTTTCGCATGATAATGAATTCCATTTATATACCTAAACTAAATATTAGTCAGCAGAGATTAATAAATGAGAGACAAAATATATTCTAGAGATTTAATACTTTTTTTAAATAACATAGCACAAACATATTTAAGGCTATTCATTACTAAACTAACCTAATTAATATATATAATTATCAACTATTACGTTATTGTTACGTTTAATATTTATTGCGTCCAAATACGCACGTTATACCTAACAGAAGTCGGTAGGAGACCACAACTGCCAAAATTTGACAATATTTTAATAAATCTGAGCAATTAGCGACCCTGTGTTAAACCAAACAGTACTTATACGGCAAAAAATATTGCACGTTGACCTTTGAAAATAATTTTCCAGTATTGGCTTTGTAGACGTTAACTCTATTGTATGGATTTCAGTATACATCAACTGTTTCAAGTAATTCTTTTGATATTCAAATATGATCATATTTTAAACTAAAGTTACTAATAGATAAATTAAAATTAGCTGAAAAACATTAAAAATATAAACCCGAAAAATAAAACAACTAATAAAATTCTCATATTTACCAACACAGTTGTTCATTCTATCATTTCGTTATATACCGCACCAAACTAAAGTGGCAAGAATTACTATTATATTAGTTTTTTCATACCAAAAGTACATGCGAGAATATTCACGAGCTACGTTAAATTTCAACTTAGGTAATTATTACGGTAATATCGCTCTACGAAATCGGTACTTCACTATTATCTCTTTTTTGGTCGATATGTACAATCACCAAGCGTTGTAAATGTCAAAACAATTATATTAATCGATTTCAAGTTTTCTAAACGCGCCGGCGGTTCCATAAATATCATTGTCGTATTTCGGTTCGGGCGCAACTTGGCAAAGTTCGTTAAAATTACGAAGGTAGTCCCTAACTTCTTCTACGCGTTGCCGCCATTTTTTTGTCAGCACGTCAAATGATTCTTCCTCGCCACCCCATTCCATCGGCAATATGCGAGCTGGGAAGTGGTCCAACAGCTCCTCTATCTTGTTGTGTAGATAATACTGAAAGTAGTAGTTCCTTTACAATTACTATACACGTTATATGAGACTGATACAAAATATACACAGATATTGAACTTCTTACAACAACCCTCAAAGCAAACTTATTTTTAGACACTCCTTAGGGTGTTTTAGGGTGTGTCGCTTTTGTGGACCGTTCACATGACCTTTCTATATTTTTACTAAACTTATATCGGTTTGTAGTATCACCGTTATAGTGTGATACGGGTTGACCAGCCGTTTACCGTTATAATATCTTATCAATTACCATTAATCTTAAAAACGAAAAGTCAAGTAGTAAGGCTAACTTTCCTGCTCTAGTTGTGACTGGTAACTTATATAATACACTAACAATACGTACTTTAAGTAATGATACATAACATATTTGTTGTTATATTTGAATACCAATGAGGAAATACGTAAAAAATGTTATTGGATTGTTAGAATATTTAATTTGCTTTATTTACATACCCGATTGCGAACTTTTTCGTTGACACAAGACCTCATAAGGTTCAAAGAAGAACCGACAAGGCCAGCCGCGCCCACTACGTGTATTCTGCGCATACGCTGCGGATACGCGCCCTGAGCTAAGTATATGCTACGGCGGATTGCGTTCGCACCACCCGCTACATATGCCGCCATTGAAGCACGGACGTTGCTCGCCTGTTAAAATAACTTAAATCAAATGGTTGTAAATAAATAAAATTTAAATTTTAAATATCTTGAATGAATAACCATTTACAAGTACACGGCAGCCCCGTCTCTCCTCCCTTGGACAAGCAAAAAAGCTGGGGTGGCCGCAGATCAGATGAAAAATAATAAGCGGCTCAAATATAAGTCGTTCCTCCAACTTCGATTTGTTACTTTTGGACTACTCCAAAGTCTCTAATCTGTACAGACTCTTTGGCCGTGGGGTTAAGTGTGCTAATTCATGATTTAGTAATAAAAAACACCGAAATTAAAATCATATATTGGTACCCAAGAAATAAGAGAAGAAAACGAGGTAGACAGTTTCGAAGGTGGACGAAATAAAAACCGTAACTGGAAAAATATGAACAAGGAAAGCTCAGAACAGAGCAGAGTGGAAAGAAATGGAGGAGGCCTTTGCCAAAGTTGGGCAAACAGATGGGTTGTCGGTGTCACCGACTCACTAGAGACACTAGTTATTTATTATAGCTAGGCTTATATTATTATAATTATATAATTAATTAAAAAATTAAATTGGCGCCTGGTAGATAGTACTGGTGACCCCAGAGCTGGTGATTTTCTCGGTCAACGAATAAGTATCGCGAGGAAATGCTGCCAGGTGCACTGCCACAGGGACCAAACTTTTTAAATTCGTTTTAATTTTCTTTTTATTTATTTTTAATTACTTTTATTATTTCTATTTAGGTTAAGAAAATTGTAAATACTGTATATTTGATTGTTATGTTTAGGTTTTAATAAACGATATATTTATATTTTAAAAACAAAGTTATAGTTCAGGAAGTGTAACCATGTGTAACAATAATGCGACGTCACAGTCGCTCATTATCATTTTATAGACATTTGAATTTTTAATTTCTGATAGAACTGACTTCCGCGGCTCATATTTACAATATTGTTTAAAAATTTTCCTAATGTTTTGTAAATGAAAAAAATTACTTTAAGTTTTGTAGTAGATTTGGTATAAAGAAATAAACAACTTATTATTAGAAGTAATAAAATATGAAAAAATACTGATATAGAAAAAGGCCAAAACGCCATGCGTGTTGACGAGTTTTGTGCGCACTTGGACTTCAACAAAAACCATGCTGAGTTTATGCATTGACATTTAGATCAAATTTAATAGTATCAATCGCTTATAATGTTTGTTTGATTTTCCATCTTCTGACAGTTTCACAATAAAATCAAACCTCACTTTTTCCATATTTCGTGAAATATGTGCAGAAAATGTTGTTTTATAATAGTATCAATCGCTTATACTGGGAATAAATAAGGCGCAACTGCGTTTCTCTGTGAATACAAAAGAAACAACATTTAAAGCCTATATTCTAGGTTTTATAAAGTAAAATAATATAATGGAAAAAATAAAATATCTTACATATATTATGTCAAGTGACATAAATTAAACATCGTCGATCAGACGGCAAAGACGACATTATAAAAGAGTTTATATAAAATACAATATAGACAAGAGTTTGTATAGGAAAATATATTATGTTTTCCTTACATATAAGATAATGCTTAGAACCACATACTAAACGTATTACGAATGTGTGAAATTTCTTATTCATATTACTTGATTAAAACGATGAGCCAGTGCAAAGTCCAAGTAGGTACCTACTTGTACGTCCTATTATAATTCTTAATCTGCAAGTCAATATGACGACTTTGAGTTTCTTGTAAAGTCGCAGTCTAGAGTGTCATACACAGTTCAACCCATAATTATGAAAGTCTTGGTTTGAAACCCTGCTGTGCACATACAATATATTTTCTCTGCTATCAAAGAGAAGAAAAACAATGTAAGGAAACTCGCATATCTACTAAGAAAAATATCAATGACGCAGTTGCAAAAATGTAGCTATATCATGCTTCATACAATTTCCCGCATAATACGCTTTCTCACTTTAGTCGCAGATTTGATTGGAAATCGTCTTAAACTAGTTGTACTGTATGTTAATTCAAATCTAGAACGACATTATAAATAAAATGTCTACATACTTCCCAAATAAATGCATCTCCTAATATAAGTTTTTCGTCAAACAGCCTTGTATCAGAGATGAGTAGGATTGCCTTTACAGCCGATGTGATGTCAACAGCGCTTTCAGGATATCCTGGTCGTACTCTAAAGATTGTTACTCGCAGACCTTCATCAGTCAGCTTCGGAAGAGGTACTATATCCCTGGAATACATTTTCAGGATTATATTAACATTAACAATATGTTTTAATTGTACAAACTTTGGTACTGGTAAACGCGTATGTTTATAATCCGATCTGATTACTTTTACCGTATTTTGTAATGGCATGCATTATACTTCCTGGTTTCCGGAAACTGTAATTTGTATTGAAACTAATTTATTAAAACAGTCCAATTTTTATTCTAAGACATATCCGTCCTATCCGTTATATTAATCACGTGCGATCTTATAAAAAAACAGTTATGTAAACTGAATTTATGGAATACATTTTTTATAAGTTTAAACTTAATTTTAAAAATCATTATAATTTTATAAAATTAATTTAACGGAGCTAAAATTTTTGACCTTCGAAATGAAACGAAAAGTGTTATTGAAATCAGCTAAATATGACATATTTTATCAATATAATCTATGCAAGAAATTTGTTCTTATATAATTATTTATAATTATTATAACAGCAGTTCTTATTTACAAGGAAAGAACCTGAGGAATTGACGTAAAGTGTTTAAAATAAATAAGTTTATAATAATTTGTTACAAAAACGTAGTCAGCCTTTGTGTTTTATTATGAATTTTCTGTTGCCTAATCGGAACCTAGGTTTCGGTTGAGAGATCTTTCCTCCTTCAGATAGGTTCATACAGTGTCATACTCATATATGCCACATCAGGGGTTCTATTTTATACTTACAAGAATTTTGCGACATCGCTGAGTGGAGGTTCATTGAGTGACCGGTGAATATATAGGTCTCTGTAGCGGCATCGTGCGTAGCAAAACGCTTCAAATTTATTTCTTGCTCGCTCAAAGTCCATCCTGCACCCGCGGATAAATACTTTGAATATATGGTTATCTGTTAACAAATGCTTAAAATTAACCATGGATCTTATAAGTACATTTCAGGCGAAAGGCATCAAGCTAGAATATTCTTCTTCATTATCAAATAGTAAAGATAAACTAAAAATGGCTTTAATTAAACATTTAAGTAAAATAGGTTTAATAAAATAATGCAGTGCTTGTTCAAATATTTATGGAACTTCAATCGCGTGCCCTTTTACCCAAGCGAAACTTGGAGCCGTTATTAATTTTAAAAAAACGTGACAAAATACTTGATAATACAATTTTGTGCATAGCTACTACACCTTTTTGAGTAAATGACCTAAGTTCAGCAGCAGACACAACAATATCTTATAAATTATCTCATTACAATGGATATACCAAGAGTAAAGCAGTTAGTCCGTTTTTTCTAATATATATTTTTTCTTATGTTCAATTAATATTTGACTTAAAAAGACGTAAACGTATTCTCAAAAAAGCACCGTGGCTTTATCTACGTAGTATTTACCTCAAAAATTAATTTAAAGCACTAAAGCAGTTCACACAAGCGTAACAATAGTAATGAAACCACGTACCTAAGAATTCACGAAGTACCGACAAAGCAAACTATTGTTGTATTATTGTTTCTATAGTTGATGAAGAAGATGTAAGAACTATTAATTAAGCCTTATTCATCGTAACACTTCATCTAGCTTATAATTACGCAAATCAGCAAATAGTAGGTATAGATAAGGAAGCTGTCCACACAAGGCCTAATAGAATAATTATTCCATTTTATTGTCAATTTATGCGAAAATGTTTTGTACTATATACGAGATGCCTTAAGTGATGAAGATTTTATATGGTAAGTATTATTGTATAGACTATAAATTCGTTTTAAATTTAGTGCGAAGTTTGATTTTTGTTTTATTTGAAAGATATATTAGATGCGTCCGATCTCCAAATGATATAAAACGTGTTTTAGATTTTTGTTTCGTAGTAATATTATATCAAGATGATGGTTTATTGTATTCTTATAAAAGAACATTTTAATAGGTTTTATTGTCATTGAATTTTCATAATTTTGGCCAGGACTACAGTGCAATATATTACTTATTTATGTTTGGTATATTGTATCGATAAGGCCAGTTGCCAGTAGCCAGATGACTATAGGGCTGTGAAGATTAGTTGTTTGAAACCTGATTTAGTAGTTGTATAAATAGAATCATCGTAGTAAAACAAAAAGTCGAGATGACAACAACCTCCAGCGCACTCCGCGCCTCCACATATTTTTACTTTTTATTCCGGTTTTAGCGCATATTTATTCTAGAATACGTGGGAGTTTTAAAAAACTTAAATTTTTCAACATTTTTCGCAATTAGCCCCTAATTTGTTTATTTATTATAATTAGACATAAAAATTGTTTAAGAATGAGAACTAAACGGACTTAAATTTAATTAGGCATTCTTTCAGCGAGTTTAAATAATAAAGTATAAGAAAAAATAAAATATCTTATTTTGTGGGAATAACAAAAACATATCAGGTCAGAATTTATAATATAAATTTAAAATATCTTATCTAGCAGATCGTTGATTTTTTTAATATCCATTGTTGATTTTATTTGTTTATATACATACCTATTAGTTTTTTTTTAATAATATAAAAAAAAATAATATGAGATAAATCCGCTTCACAATAATTCAACATGTAGGTATGTCATCGCCTAATTATTGATACGCTCTCGATATTTTTATTTTAATATGTTTAATTATAAATAATTATATCAAACAAAAATATTAAAATTAAGGAAGCCATTTTTAACTGTGTTTTTGTTTATTTCATTTAATTAAGACCGTTACAACCCATAAGGAACAAGAAAAGAACGTATTGTTTTTTATCCAGCCATTTTAACTGTAAGAATTATCAAGAATTTTACCATACAATGCATTTTTCTACAAATGCAGATAGTTTTAAACAAATAAATATATTTTTTAAAGTGTTATATTATCTGGATTGGTTGGATAGACCGAAACTTGGGTTTCAATAGTATACATTAGTGATTAGCTTATCCTTTTATATTATTTTTGTTTAGTTATAAACATAATGTTTGTGTGTAACCGTTAAAACTAGGTTTACAGTTTCACGTGTGGACTTTACACTGCGTTTTAATTGCCCCGCTTTTTGTATTAAATAACGATTGTCCCGCTCCTGAATTAGGTTTTTATAGACATTTGCTCCTAATTTTTTAATAATATATTTATGTACACTGACCATCATTTTTGTTAATAAATCTGGACATTAATTTCAAAGAACTACGGTAGGTAATAAACTTAACTCATTTATTTGTTTTTTTGGTTGTTTTCCTGCTATTCTTTTCTTTATGCTTTTAAATTACAAACCTACCAATGTTACATGTTTTTTTCTTTTACAATAAAGAACACAGTTTTAACAATCGTAATTTGCATTTCCGCTTTGGGGTCAATAGGTAATAATTTTATACTATATTTAAAGGGTAGCGCATCTTTAACTACATAATGTCGCAATGTTGTCATGAATAAACAAATATGTACAGTCAAAATCTATTATACCGACATCGAAGGGACTACTCATATTTGGTCGTAAAAACCGATAGTCGTAACAGAAAATGACGTTGTTATTAAGTACCTAATATGTACTTATTATTGAATGTGTGATTAGTATCATGTATAAAATAAAAACTACATTTTATTTATTTCACATGAAAATTATAATAAAAAGACATTACGTACATATAATTATCATTTTTCTACATTAACAAAATTTGTTATTTTTTTTTATAAGGCGGTCTAATAGAATTCAGCCGGGACCTTTGATTTTGGTAAATATAACCTGTATGTTGTTTTAAACGATGTCGTCGTAAACGGTTTTGACTGTATATAATGCCTCTTTCCTAATAAAAAAAGTATATATTTTACTTTAGCTATTGCTCAATAGTCGATCTCTCTTTCAAACAGATACTATGATATAGAGACTTCTTTAAAACCTTCTACATACATTGCTATTATTTACATGGCATTATGTAAGCAACATTACACTGAGAAATCCTTAGTGCTCGAATAAAATATCGATTAAATACCCGTCATTTGCGAAAGAGTACTTTGACAGAATTCTAAAAAGATTGCATAGAAAAGCTCGTACATTATACGTGACAAGAGTTAATTTGATTTGTCAATGCACCCTCGAATCTACCCATAAAAACAATTACTTTACCATGTTCATGGCACACTAGCTAACTTATCTTTAACGCAGTGATGCCAACTCCTGCAGAATGTTACCCCTAAAACCCTCTTCAAATATATATACTAATAAATAACGATTCTCTCTGCTCTATTTACATTTAATGCATGTATAAAAATACTAGCAGTTAACAAGTAGGATATACAAGAAACCTTGGCGTAAACACCTGGATATGCTTTGTCGTAAACACCTGGACCGAATCTAGGAGTTGCTAGAGAAGGGACAAGTCAAAAGTGCCCATTATGTCAAGAAAGTGGTTGAAGAGAGGTATGTCAGGAATGTAGAAAGTGAAGATAGGTGGTCTCTGTCTACGTCGGGTGTGATGATATAAAAAAAAAGAAATCATAAAAACAACTCATATGATTAGGAAATTTAATGGTGGTCATAGATTTTGAACCGAATCAGAATATTCTATGTAATAATGTAGTCAACGTTAGCTAAGACTTATTTACACTTAACAAGCATGTAATATAAATAAATACTTGAGGTTAATAACACAAAGTGAATAAAGATGTATAAGTACTTGATCATACGCGTTTAAAAACAAAGCTATTATACAGTAACACTTAACTAGACTAACATAGAATTAAAATACATTTTTATACAAATATTGTTGTTTATTTCCTTGGAAAATTACATAATCTCTGACGTGTTAACATATATAAATATCATGTTGATTCGTCATAATCAGCGTTATAGTATTACAATAGTCATAAAATTTTAGTATGAATTGCTTTGCTATGGCATTCGATCTAAGGAAATAATTGGTTATAATTACACAAGTTCTGACTGATGCCCGCGACTTCTTTTATGTAGGAAATAAAATCACACTAAAGCGTGAAGGCATATCAACCGACCAAAAAAAGATACTTAATTATTAGTAAAGATTTTAACGTAATGAAGTAGAATTGAAGAAAATAGGTTTTAAATATTGAATAATATATCAGTGTTCGTTCTACATATATTTTACTTTATTTTGTAACATTAAATATATATTTTACAAAAAATATGGAATAAACGATGTTTTGCGATAAATTAATTGATTAAGATTTCAAATTGTTTTTTTCATGTTCATACATACGCCATATATATAATTAATATTTTTTTTCACAAAAGCAATTAATCATTACAAAATTTAAGTAACGTATAAATAAATTTAGTTCGGGACTCAGGAGGTCAATAAAAAGTATTTATTTATTGCAACAGAGAACTTACGTTGATTCGCATAGAATGCGTTGAAATCGTTGTAGTGCGATTGGTAGTGTTTATCCTACCAATAATATACTAATAAATAGCTAATTTGGAACTTATGTGGAACTTATCCATACATTGTGAAACAGACCCTTAATCTATCAGAAAATCAAGGAATTCATCGATAATGAATTATTATTTTTTGCCAACACTTATGAAACGATGGAGTCGAAAAAGAATGACGGAGTTATGCCATCCAAACATTCATTCCCAGATTGAATATTTTAATAATCCTTAATTTTTTATTACATATACATCAACTAAGCAATACAATGAAAAATCATACCCATTTAAAATCATCATACTCAAAGATATCAAATGAACTCCAAACTATTTTTTTTTAATCTTCAGTAATAAGTATGAGCATGCGTTACTAATGGTATCATTTAATAATTAGATGACTGTTTTTTAATATAAGTTCATAATTTTTGGAAACATGGGGTTCTTAGTAGATTATTACTAAGCCTATTTATTTGTATATCAATAACCCTTTTTCGGATTCAAACACGAATTTAACACATTTAGTAGCGAGAGGCTCGCTGACCTCGATTGTGTAGATAGATAATGTATTTTTGAATATGTAAAAAAAGTTTTATTTAAATATAAATCTTTAATTAAAATTAGGTACAACGTGTCATATCTCATATATTTCATCACTTCCAATGAAACAATTTTAAACCCACATTAAGTCAATATATTTAATGCGTGAAAATGTCAATTAAAGATAAAATGGCATGGAAATAATTACCAATAGTATCCGGTCGTGGCAGATGAGGGTTGGCAGCACACATACTCCGGAGATCTATCACGCCCCTCTCAATATCACCGGGATTCTCCCCAAGTTCCTGCTTTATCATCTCTTCCTGTTTACTCGACGGTACTTGGAGCAGAGACATTTTTACACGGCACTTAAAGAACTGTTCTAAAAAGGAACTGCACGCTTGCTGAGTAAGGATAAGACTGCTAGCGATACGAAATTTACGACTTTTATAAACAAATGGCATACGAGCACGCTGACCGCTAGCCTGACGCGATGTAAATGTGCAAATTGTTAGGATATATTTTTCTTATAGAATCAGCATATTGATGACGATATTTTTCCCTTAGTAGACAGAGTGAACACTGTTCACACTGTGACTGGCCGTTCAATGCCTTCGTTAGATAGTAGTACAATCTTGTATTAACGGATTTAATTGACTGGAATTTAAATTCTTAAATATTAATTTAAAATTATAACTGACTGTCTATTTATATATAATAGGCTTATATTACAATATTAACGATGTTTTTTAATTTACTTACTTTGTACTTTACTGATGTTTAATGAAGACACCATGTAAAAATATTTCGGCTTAAATATCGATACTAGCGTAAGTTACGATAACATAGTTTTAAAAAGCGGACGGTTGCAATTTTATATTGTCTTAACAAACAATTAAAAGAATCATCAATAGGTACATTGCCTTATACTTCTAGAACGTTTGTAATGCCCTCATTCCAATATCTTATTCAATTCAAAAATGAGGAAGGTGATTTATTACTTCATTTTAACAAGTTTCAACAATCTTAAAACACTTCCGTAATTTTATGTCGTGCTTTTTAACTTAAAATTTGACGATTCTTCTGTTTTTAGCATTGACAATGATTTTTTTACGTAAGTGCCTGTATTTTAATATCACAATATTACGAAGAACTACGGCCAGTATTTTTGAAGCAGACACGAGTTAGGTAGTTCTTCAAAAAATTGGTAGGTATTGACAACTAAAGGTGTACTCATTTGTGGAGGAAGCTCTACACTATGTACTGTTCCTCCAACCTAAAGGTAGAATTCTGGACAGGTCTTACCACTGACTGGCCGCCGTTGCTCATTTCGAGAAGTTATACATATAATACACGACCCTAGCTAGCGGCCGGAATAACTTCGTTGGCGCGTTTCAGGGTATAACGTCATCGCAGTGATTCGTAAGCGCAGATTTCACTACACTTTGAATCCAAATTGGGTTTTTAGTCTTAGCTACTGGTTAGCGTAGCCAAAAATGTGTTAAGGCTAGACGTATTTTTTATTAAGTCTAAACACATTAAGTGTTAATTAAAACCCTATTTGTTATAAATCTTGTTTGTAAAAACAATTAACAAACACTTGTAAATTCCATTGTCATATTCGTAGTTTTTTTATTTCGTTCATATTAGATCATAATTTGACGGTTGGAAAGCCAAGCGTCTAATAGGTTTGTGACATATTGTTAAGAAATAGCGGATAAAACAAATAGAGACAAAGAAAACCATGCTTAAATCAGTTATTTTTTTTATCAAATTTTAAAAATGTGCAACAAAGAAGATTGCTTTAGTATTTTATTTACGAATGTATATCTTTATATAGCTTTATATGTAATTAATTATCTAAATTACAATTAAAAAACATAATATACCCACATTGAAATAAATAACTAACCTTAACATAAACTAAAATATATTATTAAAAGGAGTCCCTTTAGGCAAGGTTCCGAAGATACTGGCAGCGTTCCCCCTTTGAATCGCTAGACTAATTCTTTGTCCGAGGTAGCTGCCAGATCTTCGGTCTCCTGTGATGTCGACTAACCTTTTTGAAATTTCTTTAAAAAGCCTTAAAGCGCTAGGACCCCACGGACCAAGGGTCTCGACACCGAATGGGACAAAATCATATTCTGAGCCTAGACCCCTGTATTTGCATGCTTTATTTTTTTCAGCCGCTTCAAAAGCCGCACCAGCTCTGTAGTTGGTTCCATGTAGATGGGAAGGGGCCAGCGTGTCTGAACAGGTTGCATCCCATACCAGTACCCGACCCATCTTCCATGGAATCAAACTCATACCGTCCGGTCTCTTGCCATCGTCTCTTGCAATACCACTCGGCTCAAGTAGACTTGGCACGTTAACGGTGGCAAGGGAACGGCGTATGATATCGTTAAGTGCGGCATGTCTCGAGAAGCGGCCTGCACTTTTTTGGCATGACAGGCCGTGATGTCCTAACTTGTCGACATCACTGCCATATTATGTTATGACATATCTTTTATTTTTATGAACATTTTTTTAAATAAACTAAGTTTATAATATTACATAGTTTGGAAACTATTTATGTATTTTAATGGATCACGGGGTGTGCGAAAAGAACGTCTTTATCTATTGTCTGTGGATTGAGGAGTTGGTAAGTCTAAGTCAAAAAATAAAGTATTCTATTATTGAAAGCTGTCACATGAGACCGTGACAGTGACACAATCACTTCAAATTTAAATTTGTATGCAGTATTTTAACGGTCACGTTTGTTAAAAACATTCAAAAATTGTAATCAAGATTGCTTTGAAATGCAATTTTAAATAAAGAACAATCAATTCTATAAATTAAAGTATGCATACGAGTATATGATAATTAATGAAAACGATGGAGCCCTCAAAAGATGCCATTGCTGTGCGCGTAACTCGTTTAAATCGTCAAATAACTGGTAAAGTGATTAGTGGTACAAATAGATTGAGCAGAAAGGTGGACCGGGAAACGCTATTAGATGGTTTAACTGTTTTGTATGATGAATGCAATGAAGATCCAGTCAAAAAAACAGATGATCTTGTTCGTGTTTTTGTCGACAAATGTAAGTGTGATATATGATGATGACCTTTATGTGTACATGCAGCATGCAGCTGCAGTGGGCAATGACCCTGACATATTGATGAATGTGTTTAAAAACACCTACTAACCATGCCTATAATATTTTATTTTATCCTTACTATGTAGGTATGTATGTATATGAAATATGTGGTTGCAAAATCAGCTTACATTTGAGAGTAATTAATTGCTTATTTATTTTACCACATTATTATATTATTACATTATAATTCTATAATTCAAAATAAATCTTATACCTAATAATAAAATGAGCACTTGTGAACCCACCTCCAGTAAAAACAAATAGGTGACCAAAGGAACCTTATACATGTATTGCTTGTGTAACCGGTGTCATGCTAATTGAGTTGGTGTGTTTAGTATTTCTTTTTAAAATGAATTGTTTTTTTCAGACCGAAGTGCATTAGCAGATCTCCGCAGTGCTCGTGTTTGTGTGTCTGATTTTGAAATATTGCAAACTATTGGAAGGGGACATTTTGGAGAAGTACATGTAAGCATAAATTATTTATAATTTTAAAGTTTTACTATTTTAATTTATTTAGATTTTATAAAGGTTACATATTATTGTGATAGATGGTACGTGAAAAACAAACAGGGGATGTCTATGCATTAAAAAGTGTTCGCAAGGAGCAAGCAAGGAAAAAAGTTTCAGGAGCAGCTGATGAAAGAGATATTTTAGCTTCAGCATCAGGCCAATGGATTCCAAAATTGCAGTATGCATTTCAAGTAAGTAAACTTACATCTATTATGTTATTGAGTAAAAAGTCCCTCAACCAGCACAAAGGGTTGTATGTAATTCATAAAAATTTTCTAAAAAATAAAAATTTTGGGGTATTCCACCCATTAACATTTATGAAAATGAAAATAGATGTTGTCTGATTCACAGACCTAGCCAATATGCACAAAAAAATTCACGAAATACGACTGAGCCAATTCGGAGGAGTTAAACTACAAACACTGTGTCATGAGAATTATATATATTAAGAATAAACATTAAATTTATATTTTTTCAGGACAACAACAACTTATATCTTGTTATGGAATTATGCAATGGGGGAGATTTAGCTGGGTTCATATCTCGCTGCAGTCATCCCCTATCAGAAAGAGATGCTGCATTCTATGTAGTTGAAGTTGCTCATGCACTCAAAGCACTGCATGGTATGGGCTTTGTTCATCGAGATTTAAAGCCAGCCAACATATTAATTGATAGGTATTGTAGAATTAATTTATATATGTTTTAGCTTAATTCTCAATCTTTTAGACACAATACACCTTTCAAGTGTGACAAAGAGATAGCTTGATTATTCCTCTTTGAAAATTATTTAAAATTAAACTATAATTTTAGGTGTGGCCATATTAAGCTAGGCGACTTTGGATCATGTGCGCGTCTATCTGAAGGCGGTTGTGTATCGGGAGGTACAGCTGACTACATAGCTCCGGAGTTACTCGCCGCCGCCGACTGCGCGTCACACACACACACTGTCTGTCTGCAGTACTGCCACATTACTACTGCGCTTGTGGGTTATGCATAGATACAGCCTCGTAACACTGGGACAGTTGCTTATAAAGATTCGTACAAATATTAACAATTAGTGTTTTTATCCTGTTTTATAGATACCAAATAAGGACAGGATAAAGTAATAAATGCTAAAGTAAAACCCACTCGAGTATTCGTTTTATAATTTGTGAAACTCGTGGTTGAGCAATCTAAGAGACATTTTTTTAAGTTTTTCATTAAGTTATATAGAGGTGGCTTCTTGAAAAGGGAAGATACAAGTATTACAATAGATTTAATTTATATAAGAAGTCTAAAGCAACTTTCCATATGTTATTAGGTTCAGTCTGTAGATAGAGTAAACATAGAAGTAGATTAAGTAAACAAAAGCTTAGCATGTATAACATAATTAATTAATTTCAAATAGTACTAACTTAGAAACTCAGACACTTATGTAGTTGCTTATGTAGATGTAGCAATAACAATGTTAATCTAACAAAAATAATTTTCTAGATTGTAGCAATAGAGTACAGAAACTTTTTTTTCGTTAGCCTACTTTTCCCATAACATTCACAAATGCTGGACAACAACACACATAATAGTGTTTGTTTATTGCCAATCGACGTTTAGAGATGTTATTGTGGTCACTAAACAAAAATACGCCTATGGAATGGGATTTTATTCTTGACTAACTTCCCCCGCGAACTTTGTTTCTCCTTAACTTGATTTTTTCATATCCTACCTTTTTAG